GTGTAATTTTGAAGTGAAGTTTCACCCTCGTCCAATTCTCCTGATGTTCATCGTATTTCAACGGGATGGCCAAAACCGAATACCTAACTATTCAGAATTTGTTTTAAAAAATTTCATGCATTTGATGAACCCATGCATTTTGATTGTCGAATTTAGGTCTCAATCGACAATTTGCAAATTTTGATATTTTAAAATGTGCCCAAAAGAAAGAATTTACTATCGAATATAACAAACTTCTAATATATTTGACTGTTCAGTTTTGGTCATCTTGATTTCAGGCTTTCATTTCATCAAGGGCTTGTGCTAGTTAGAAGCAGTATGCTCCCTAGGGGGCATCATTTTAAGTGGGTCTCATGTAGTTTCGTACCTAACATACTTCTAGTGGGCATAGCATAACAAATTTTTCACGTGTCAATCCTAACTAGGGTTGGATTATCCGGATAGCGGTTAACCGGATAACCGATTAACCAAGAGGTATTTTGCTATCTGATAACCGGATATTATTGTAACGGTTAACCGGATAATAGAGCAGTATAAATAATGCATATGCGCATTAGTGATTTTTTTTATATATTTTGTTGAGTGGCCAATGACATCTCTCAGAGCATATAATATTCACTTATATCCACACCACTCTGCATATTTCAGTCATCCGTGTAATGCTGGAGTGAACTTGACTATAGTATTACATCACAAAACACGCAGAAAAATGTGATTATTGCGTATTTGCAGTATAGAAAAGAGCCCGACTTACCTTAAAATAAAAGCATTTCTACTCTAGATATGAAAATAAATGGTAAGCTGCACGAACAAATCCAATTTCCTATTTTTGCTATCTTGAAAATTCATCAAATTTGAGCTATTATTGCAATTCCAATGAGTATAATTTATTTAGTACAATAAATGCAGATATTAATTAGCTTATAGTTATATATCAACATTTTCGGGAGAAAAGTCGGGTTCAGTTTCGTCGGTATATAACGCCGATAATTGTTTTATTTCGCCCGGAACTGAAATGGTCGCAGTATGTTATCTATCGTCGTATCTATCTATCGTTAAGAGAGTAGATCTGAAACACACATTTTTGACTGACAATAAGGAATTGAATGCTAACGAAAATACCACGACTCTTGATTTATGAGCCAGTGATAGATAAAACAAGACTCTATTTTAGGCGCTGTTGAATCGTAATAATCGTATTTACTGAATTTACAACAAGGGTAACTTTTCACGGGATGTAACTTCTTTTCAAATTAAAACTGGCATAATGCCGATGTTAATTCCCCAAATAATAACGCGATGCGGAAGAAAACGATCGGCGATGATAATACAATTAGCCTGTAAAATTCGACCGCCTTTATTAGTGACGTTTTCGAAAATTTCAAAATGAGGAGGAAAGGCTGTTATTACATTTATGGTTTTCATGGAACTTTCACAAACAAATTTGTTTGCAAAATGGTCTATAATATTTCAGAAAAGTTTAATGTGACAGACTCTGTATCATGTCATGTTTTTCGTTTACTCTTTTAGGGTGGTAAGTAAAGTTGTTCAAAAACTGGCGCAGCATTGTTTTGGCTCTGTTAATTTAGTTTAAAAGGTATTCGAATGGAAATAGATTTAAAGTTGTGGCCTAATTAGTACAAACGTGAGAATATTTACAGTGACATGTTAAATAAGTGAATTTTGCAAATTAGAAGAAATTTCGACCACTTCGGTTTTTTCATAATCATCAATTTGCTTTGTTATTAAAATTTTTGTTCAAATGACTTATATTTTCCTATACACTTCACGGAATTTGTTCCCCCTATATTCTATTTTTTGGATACTTCTCTCACCGAAATAAAATGTTCGAAATGCACGATTTTTTGTGTTCATGATTTCATTTATATGTATGCTCTTGTGGTATATATTAACAAAGTTTATTTCGTCGTGCAAGAAATCACCAAATATTATAGAAAACAAAATACTATACATGACAATATTAAATTTCATTGCAATTGATAGGAAGGTGCGGATGATCAGAAATGATCATTGTGAGTCTGCGACACTAAAATTTAGTACGAGTCGAAATTTAAAGAAAAGAGGCTCTAGACACAAAAAGAAACTTTTAAAAAACTTTACAATAAAGTAGAAATAATATAAATCTTTACATATTATTTGAATAGGGAAAATAACTTAACAGTTGGGGGAAAAAAAATTAGGACACAATATTTTCAAAAAATGTTTCATTTTATTATTCCGCTGTACATCGGTACGACTACTGAGCTTAAATTATTATTTATTGACACATGCAATATTAAAATGCACAATAATTCATATTCAAGAAAAATAATACATATGTGAGTATTTACAACAGAACTGTGTGGTGTTATTCGTTCAATTCACCGCGAAAATCCTGCGAAATCGGTTCTCTAAAATCAGCAGTAACTATCCGGTTAACCGTATATTTAAAATACGGAATACCCGGATATATCCGTTATCCGGATAGTGAAAATTATAGGTATCCGAACTAACCCTAAATTCCTAACCCTCACCTGACTATGCCACCAAAATAAATTACGTCACTATGACGAACAGTGACGTAATAAAGACCTACAATTACAAACTATACGAACTGTCATCCAAGACGCGCAGACGAGGACCCGAAATCGAGCAAGCTATTGCTCTCGTTTTCTCGTCGCAACGATCCCAATACCAAAGAGATCGATGACGTAAGTCAGTTCTTTATCATCGGCGCCAATGCCATTTCGGGCGATCGTACGTATATTTGGCAAGCTCTATGACGTGATTGTGATGTCGTAGTCAGATGGGGGTTGGGATTGACATACCAAAAAATTGTTATGCTAAGCCCTCTAGAAGTACGTGTACTGGAATATGTTCGTGTTGTGGGAAATATCAGAGATTTAGTAGTGCAGTAGTGTGTCAGAAGGGCGTTAGGGTCTGGTATAGTTTAGTACCACATCCACTTCTAGTTGGCCTGGCTCAACAATTTTTGCATAGCCTATGTCAATCCTAACCCCCACCTGACTATGCCACCGAAAAATTACGTCATTCCGACGTCACAGTGGCGTAATAAGGCCCACCGAAGTATGAGGATGGTCGTCCAAAACGCGCAGACGATAACCCGAAATCGAGCAAGCTATTTCTCTCGTTTTCTCGTCGCAACGATCACGATAGGAGAGAGATCGCCGGCTTTTTAGCAAGTTCTTATCGGTGGCGCAGATGCCATTTCGGGCGATCGTAATTATACTTTGGCAATCCCTATGACGTGATGGTGACGTCGTAGTGACGTAATTTTTGGATGGCATAGTCAGGTGAGGGTTAGGAATAACATATGCAAAAATCGTTATGCTACGCCCACTGGGAGTACTTGTGGTACTAAACTATACTAGACCCGGGCGCTCCAGACCCAGACGTATATATGTGTACAAATATTGAGGTAACTAATTTTGTTCTCCTATTCTACATCAAGTTGTGTGAAAGGACGGAAGCCTATGGGGGTATATTCACTTGGCTAACACAAACTGTCCCCAAACTCGTAATAGATCTAAAATGAGGGAAATCGAAATAAAATTATGGCCTAGCCCTAACCCTATCCTGGTACACATACTACGGGAGTACCGTCAGAAGCGCAGCAGGTTAAGAAATTCCCAGTCCAAAGCTTCTGCAACCTGATCGCGATGATGCCACTTGTTGAAAGAGCCAGCCTTTTCAGCGGATAATGGTTTTTTATTTTGCTCAAAATATTTAATCCATGACGGATAAAAAATGTCTTAGTACGGTACCATTCCAAGTCGGGTATGGGATTAGTTTTACTGTATTGTTTGTTTTCGGAAGCATGGACTTGGTGGTGGAGGAAGCCGTAACCGACCAGCGGTTACGTGAACCACCTAACGACGGCGAGGAGTCCAGCAATCTTCTCGCGCATAACCATCCGTGCATGGGATTCGATCCTGCGAACCCACGCAGAGTAGTTAGAGGTGCGGTGGCGAGCGTATTCCTAACGCTTAGCCCGTTGAGCCACACCGCCGCGCCCGCGCCATTTCCGTTGTATAATATCTGCAGACATTCAAATATGTAGTAAACCTGTCCGATCAATCATAATCCGATAAAAAAACGATTTAATACATCGCGGACATAAATAATTCCTATAACTTTGGTAATTGTGATATAGTTTCCAACTTAGTAACTTAATGGTTAAATTTTGGCGTTTTTCGATGTCCAACTTTTTTTTTATTTGTTGCGGAATCCTCAACAAAAGTTACGGTGATAATATTTTATAACACCGTTTTTCAGTTGTAAAATTTTAGTTGTAGATTCACTCTATCAATTATCTCAAGCGTTTTGTCACCGATGATCGCAAAATAATGAGTTTTTCGCACTGGACGCACAGTCCCGGGCGGGGAAAAAATAACAATTAACATTTTTATGGCACAAAACGTACGTTCGTAAAGGGACACTTAGAGATAGGGAGAATTTCCAAAAAATAGCTCACAAAATACAATGCCGAGGTTATCGGCCAAAATGGTCACATCGAGCTGACAAAAACAGTCGGCGTCTTTTAAATAAAATTAGCCCTCGCGAAACTATTGTCAAAAGTACAAATTCTTCACAGTAATTTCCAGCGAAAGGAAGTGTCGCCCAACAGTGCTCTGGCTTCTCTTCCGACCATAGACTAAATCCGAATATCTTATATTCATTGAAAATATTCGATTCCATAAAAATATTTGGTCACCACTGAAAATTTTGTTCAAATTTTACCATTTCATAAACGTTTTGGACGCAAGTCAATAACATATATCAATAAATACCAATTATATGATTAACAAATATAGCTCATAAAAGATCTCGATCCCACGGGCGGCTGTGAACCTTTTACAAAAATGTTATGCGGCATTACATTGCATTACTCCGACAAGCTTTCATTTGCCTATTATTTATTCTGTAACTTTGTTATTGCCTAAATCCATGATGCTAAAGAAAATTGTGCTTTCATTTAGATGTCTCATAAATTAATGTACAGCTATCTTAGTTGTAGGTTAACCAGAAATAATGCTTTTGTGACATCAGCATTTTCTCAACAACGGCATTTGAGTAAACAAACTCATAATGCTCCGCCGTTACATAAAGATAAGAGCGGTGTGCTTGACAATGTAAACAATTCTCTACCAGGTTTAATAATGATACTTTGTAATAAATGATTAACAGATTGTATGTACCGGTACTGGATGTATGCCCCATTGCTTGCCTTGCAAGTTCTCATTTTGATATAATAATTTGATTTTGAGTTAAAAAAAATTCTCCAAATTGTGCAAATTATTTTGTTATTCAGACGTCTTTAGCACTAACAGTAGTTTTTTTTTTGTTTTTATACTCGATTTATTTAAACTGTTAGAATAAATGAACAGAGGTCCATATCTTGATTACCTGTCATTCATGACTGTCAACAGATATTCACAATAAGATTTCTAAGCTTTTGTTTAGTAAATTATTTAAATATTATGCTCTAGTTGGTAAATCTTAACTGTTTGGTAAAGTTTGTTTCATTCATTCTTTGTTTAAATATAAAGTTTAAAATTGTATTGCCTTTTGTTGCAAACATCAAAATTACTTGAAAATATACAGTTTTATTCATCTCTTGTAACTTATTATTCTATTGTTGTATTTTTCATAATACAGATTCTGCAGATGTCGTAGTTATTGGAGGTGGAAGTGTAGGATGCAGTACAGCATATCATCTTGCTAAATTAAAAGCAGGGAATGTTGTTCTGATTGAGAAAGACAGGCTGACTTCAGGAACAACATGGCACACTGGCGGTGAGTTATTGCTTGTTCACTGGCTTATCTTATTTCCTTATCCGAGACAATTTCTAGTTGTATTTGTTCAGGTATTGTTTGGAATCTTCGAGATGGTCGACCTTTGACTCAAATGCAAGTTCAAACAATTGATTTGGCATCTCGAATTCTACCTGAAGAAACAGGATTTGATGCAGGTTGGATCAAAACTGGAGCAATATTTTTAACAAGAAGTAAAAATGAATTGGATGCTTTGGAACGAAAGTCCTTGGTAAAATTTTAAAATAATGTGATTTATTTCAAATTTCTAGGTAGAATGAAAATGTATATTGTGAATTTATTTGTTTAATAGATTCCGCAATTCCTGAACAATCAGGTTTTGCAACTGAATTGAATAGAAGTAGAAAGTAAATTTAAATTACGCCTTTATATCAAGTTCATGATTATTAACAATAACCAGTCATATTTCCACTAAAAACATTTGACTTTTTCTATTTACTACCATGTAATGGCAGAAACCTGATTTTGTCAATAATAGAATAGTCTACTTCTTCAAAATTATTATAGTTTAAAATTACTCAAGGTAGTCATTGGCATATGGTACTTCATATAAAATAGTACCCTTGCCTTGCTATATGTTTTCACTCTATTAGATGATGAAATGTTTAGCAACGCTTTTACACATGATATCTGTGTTTTTTATCAGATAGGTTCAGAATTTGGAATAGAAGCTTCTCTGGTAGATGCTGACCAGATATCCAAGTTACATCCTTTTATTGATACAAAGAATCTTCTTGGGGGTGTATATTCTCCAAATGATGGATCTGTTGATCCAGCAACCTTGTGTACTTCTTACATTAAAGCTGCAACAAAATATGGAGCCGAGGTAATAAATTTAATTCTTTGTTTGAACATCTTTAACCTTTTAATCTAATGGCATTGATATTAGACACTTGAAACAAAATAAATGTCTTCTTTTTGCCTTTTAAATTATTTTAAACCCTATTTTGTTTTGTATGAGGATTTGGAGAATTGATCATTCAGTTTTAAAGCAAAGTTCATGTACCTACTGCGTAAAATGTAGGTAAAGTAAAATGGGCCAAATGATGTTCTTTAAAATCAGAATATATTGCAGAAAAGCATTTTGTAATGAAATCTTTTACGATAATGATAGTTTTACTCATAAAATGTAGAGTATTATAGTAAAATTATAAAAGTAAAGATGGACTTGGACTTGATATGAAAACTGTAATTCAGATGTTGTAATTGTTTCTAAAATGTTTAATGAAGCTACAAATCAACTAAGCTTCTTCATTTAGTTGAGTTATATATACTATTTTTTCCATTACTATGCTTTTCATATTGTATTACTCCCTTACTGGTAAGACTAACTATTCATTAAATTCCATTACTGATATGGCAATCTCACTTACGGTAATTTAATATGTTTTTTTGCTCTTGTATTGCAGCTATATTCAGATGTCTACCATTTCATAAAAATACATGAGTTTCTAAATATTGAACTGAATTTCTAAATTTAACTTCGATCATGTTATTAACTTAACTTCATAAACTTAGACATCTTTTATGTATTGGACACTTGATAAATTTGAACATTATCATTTCAGGTTTTTGAAAAATGTGAGGTGAAAGGTATCAAAACCACAGATGTGCTGGGATTGAAACAAGTTAATGCCATTGAAACAAACCTTGGAACTATTAAAACTAACAATGTAGTTAATTGTACAGGGGCATGGGGTCCCTATATCGCAAAGGTAAACAAAAGAACAGAAAATTTAAAAAATTCATTTATTATGTCCTTTTATCAGAAATATAAATATCTTTGTCTTAAATCACACATCCAAGAGAATTCTCAGATATTTGGGCATTCAACTTGAATGTCTATCCCAATGTCAGCAAAATTACACTCAACTGTTGGAAGAATTTGTACCACAAGTCACATAGAGCTGTATGCAAAATTTCATGAATAGTATATTTCTTTAAATATCTTTTGTTAATCTGAAAATGTTTGAACAAAAATAAGGGTAATAGCTTACTGCCAACTTTTTAATAAGTTTTCAAGTACAGAAAATTTATATTCAATTGGTACTTAGCAGTGGAAAAGGCAATTTTTCATAACTCCAGGAACAACTACAATCGCAACAAGAATATAAACAACAAACATTCAGCAAAACAATCTCCATTTATTTACTTTTGAGTTCAAAAAATGATGTACACCTCCAATTGATGTGTTCAATTTCAAATAAGGATATCACAGCATCACACATGGTGGAGCTGGAGATTATAAGGAGTTTATAATTGTATAATCTAATTTTAACTCAACAGTTTTATATACATCAATAAACAGCGACCGAATGTATCGTTTGAATATTGAATTATTTTCGAACAAAAACATTTTTAGATGGTTGGAGTAAAACTTCCTCAAACAATATACAAGCTTACATACGTTGTTACGCAAGGTAAGATATTGTTTCCAAGCTTATATGATATTTGTAGGATTTGGTTCTATGTTGATTTAATGAATAATTTGACTGTATAGTCATGTTTAACCACAACAATAAATAGAAAATGCAATACGAAACGCTACGAAATTATATTTGAGTTAGTGTACAGCAAGACTCTTGAATCTCTTTAAATAGCTTGATTTTATGTTGTCAATATATTGAATGTTTGTTAGGCATTCAAGGAATGGAGAAGACTCCTCACATTCGTGATTCTGAAACTGGGATGTACTATAAAAGACAAGGAGATGCTTTGCTATTTGGTGGATATGAGAAGAACCCTGTGTTTGTTGATAAGGTCATATTAAATATGTGTCTTAATTATTTCCCAAGCACTTGCGATCTGTATTTTGCGGGGTTTGGTCAAATTCTCTTCAGTAATATGAAAAATTAATCTTGGCTGTCGCGTTTTCGATAAAATTAAATTTAACAAATGTAAAAAAAAATGGCTTCGTAGGAAAGTAATCTAAGTTGTTATGTGGATAAGTTCATTTCAACCACACTACACATGCAATCAATTTATTGTTGTTAGATTTGATTTGTTTGGATGTCATCAAAGGCCCTCTTTGTTTGGATATTGTCGAAGACATTGTTGAGGGTTAATCTTTTAAGGAAACATTGCATTTTATGATCTAGCAAAAGTTTATTTACTTAAGTTGTTTGCATGTTCTACCACACCTAGACACTATGTCTACATAAAGAAGGTACCCAGAACTAGCTGACTAAGCTGTGCTGCATTTTTCACTAACTGTTTACCGAATACATCATAAGCAACAACTAAAATTAATTTAAACTAAAATGAACTGATGGGGGATGCAAATTTATGGAGTTCTGACAGAGTTCTTGGTTTGAAATGTTGCATTCCAATAGATCATCCTTCAAAACAATGATGTTTTCATAGTTGGTATTTTCATGCACTTTTAAAACTGACCTCCATATTGGAATTTTATATGCACTTCAGAATTTTTTAAGCAAAGTCAACTTCAGATAATATACTTTGCACTTAGTTTAAAATTAATTATCATAACAAAAACAAAATATTATTCAGTGACACATATTTATGCTTAATTGATGATGATATTGGATTTTTTTGTTTCAGGTTCCAAATGACTTTGCATTCAGTTTGTATGACATGGATTGGGAACAATTTGAAGTTCATATGAAATCTGCTACGGATTTAATGCCATGTATTGAAAAGTCGGGAATTCGATCAACTTTGTGTGGACCTGGTAACATATTCTCTATGGGAGTGATATTTTATTTTTATCTGTATTAATCTTTCTTTCATTCTTCAATAAAAGCTATATATTTTCACTTTCTCAAATTTTCTCGGTATGCATAAAGATGTTATCAATTTGCCATATTTCAAAATACTGTATCGATAAAATATTAGTAATTAGAAAATATTTTTCATCCTTATTTTCTGAATTATTTTGCTGGAGAAAAAGTATCAAATTACTCTTTGTTAAAAACTAACAAAAAATGAATCATTAGACTTAGACATTATATTCGCAAATATCGAAGTTTCACATAATATTTAATTTTGCTTTTATAGAAACTTTTACACCAGATGGTAACCCACTTATGGGTGAATTCTTCGATGTTAAGGGGTTTTTCAATGGCACTGCATTCAATGGTGGTGGAATGATGCTGGTATGTAGTTTACTAAATACTTGAAAATTTATTGTCTGAAGTTGGAGTTTTTTTTGTAACAATTTGAAAACAAGAGTCTTTGCGATATTGCAGGGTGGTGGTGCAGGTCGACAACTTGCCCACTGGATAGTACAAGGGAGTCCTGAATATGACTTGAGTACTTGCCATGTGAAGTAAGCTGATGTTGTTGGTTCTTCAACAGTGTTCACTCTTTGTGTGTTCGCAATTCAGTTTGAATTAAGTGTTATGAAAGATGGTTCAGCTTAATAGGAATTTTAATCATGTAATGTGGCATATATAAAAATATAAGTATAAAGATATAAATAAGATGAGATATATGAGTACTTGATGGGAGAGTTTTTCATGACATTTCTCCGCGGGAGCTCAATGAAAATAATATCCTGAGAGTGAAGACTGTTGCTTAATCAAAATAATTCATGGCATGACAGTAATTGAATTCTGCATGCAATTTTACTTAATTTGCAAAGTTTTGTCTTTATTCTAAAAAATTACATGGCAACTTCATCTTAGGTGACAATGAAATTGCTGAATTGCAATTATTGTAAAAAAGCACATTTTTTAAAATAAGACAGTTTTTTTAAAGTAATTTTTTGCTTTATGTTTCTTCCAGACCAACTTATCCTCAGTTCACACAACACATTTTCACCATTTTTCAATTAGGCTCAAACATCTGACCATTAGTAAGAACAAGTCTTACTTGACACTCCTGAGCAATTGTCTTGAAAATCTACTTGCTATTAAATGTTAGAATGTCAGCCCTCCTTAGATGAACCTACATAAATGGAGATTAGGCTACAAATCCACCCCAACTGTGTGAAAGAAAAAACTTAAAAAATCAAGAATTGGTATCTCAATTTGAATCCTAAATGAGAATATGGGAAATCGAACAGTCCTGATATATATATATATTTTTTTTAAATTATAATTATTTTAATTTTAGTTGTTTTTGATTACAATTAAACAATAACCTTGTACAGTGTAAAGTTTGATACATGATCAAATATTTCTGAATTAATGTTTCGTCTTTGATTTTCAATTGCTTCAAATATTCAGACAATGTGACTATTCTTTAGTATGCGTGGAAGACATTCAGTTCTCACTTATTGCTAGCCCATTCACATAAGTTTTATTCAATATTTTCTAATATCATGACTGGTGGTATATATAATATAGGCCTATTGATTATTTGAGGGTGATGGAATAAAATAAATAATTTGTTGTTATAAAAATCATCATATTTAATAAAAGATTAAAATTGAAAAAAAAAGTAATTTTTTTATAATAAATTTTTATTTTGTACTGAAATCAGAATTTGACTGAAGTTTTTTTATTCTGTCTGTTAAGATTTCAATTGCAAAGAAAAATATCTCGATTCTAATATCTGATATGAATAATTTTAAATATATTCCATTATCGAATTTGGTTTAGACATATTTGACTGTACATCCAAATTTTTCAATTTTGTATTTTGACCTAGAAAAATCTCTCAGAATTCATCATACTTGATAATAACATCCAATATGTAACAGTGGTCATGTACTCTATTGCTTGCAAAATGTGATCCAAATGAAGTAAAATTAACCCCTAATGAACCCCCTGCTTTAAAGAAGAGTTATCCTGGGATTTCTGAATTAAGCAAATATTAAAATCTTTGCCATTTCAGCCGTTTCACTCGTAAAATTAATGACCTATGGTTGGTCGAATCCTGTCATGATCATTTTACCACAAAATTTGAAGTACGTCATCCTGATAAACAAAAATTGGGTGGAAGAAATTTGAGGACTACTCCATTGACAAAGGTAGAGCATTGTAAAGTTATGCTTCGCTGTTATCATTACGTTGGTATGAATTTGATCTTGAGAAAGACCATTTCACAAAATTTGTTTTTCTGCTGTGTATAAACTGGACATCTAGATAACAGCATCGTCCTCTCCATAGATTTGATCATTTTGAATGATATTAATCAACATTTACTCCTATGTTCAGACTCATCAAGGGAATGGAGCTTACTTAGTCTCAATTCATGGTTGGGAAGTTCCAGCTTATTTTATGCCTGGTCAACACCTACCTTTGTTAGAATATGATTATTATGGAGAATACGGAAACTTGAAACATGCAACTTATAAATACAGAGAACAGACTACAAAAGACACGAGTTTATGTACTGGCATTGATCAGGAAATTCATGAACAGGTGAATATGAGCAAATTCATTTATTTGATGTTATAACATTTGTTTATTTTAAGTTGTAAGTTATGGGAATGGTTTGAATCAACCATAATCTTCGCCAGGCAAAAGACTTTTGAGAGTTCTCTAGCCTAGTGCTGGGAATGTGTTCGCCTTCTTGAAAATAATTTGGGTCTAAATACCACTTTCAACTTCCATCAATATTACTTCATATAATGTGATTTTGAAACTGTTTTTATCAATCTTTTGTTATTGTTTATTAACTAGGATTTTTTCACTTTTGGATGACCCTGATAAATTGCATACTTAGCTGTAAATGGTGTTGTAATCCAATAAATTCTGCAATGTTTATTTCTAGTTTATTTTAATAAAAACCCACTTACCAATACGAAGTCTGACAAAAGTTAGAATTATTGGTTTTAATTCAACATACACATTCAACAAGAAGATTGGAATGTTATACCTCAAGTCGAGTTTTCTCAGCACATTTTTTGCTGAAGTTTTTGACTAATATCTCAGAAAATCTTATCAAATTTGGGCTTTAATATGTTAATGATAAGTGATTCAGTTACACATATTATCTAAATTCCAAAATCTTCCTTTACAGATCATGAAAGAAACACTTGCATGTTACAAGTCATCTGCAATCATTGATTTATCACATTGCTGTAAATTTCGATTAGATGGACCCGGTTCTGAGGAAGTTGTTAATTCTTTATTTTATAAAGATGTTAAATCATTCAATATCAATACAGAAACAAAGAATTTCATGCTGAACAGAGATGGAAAAATTATTTCGAGTTGTATTGTCACTAGGTTTAGTGGTGAGTTGTTTGTTGGTAATTATCTCTTGAACTTGTAGTTGTAGATTTTACTGAAAATTCATTCATTACATGTATTCCATATCTATTTTGTCTCTGTTGTCGGTAAATATTATTCTAATGATTTTTCACAGAAGATATTAAAAAATGTAGTATTAATTCCATCTAGATGGTGTGTATCAAGTTACTGCTCCATCAGAAATGCAGGAATTAATCAAACAACATATCAACCATTTCTTGCATGATTTAAATATAACCAATTGTGGTTTTCATGATATAACTGATGAATATGCAGTATTGCATGTTGCGGGACCAAAAAGTAAAAAATTACTTGAAAATGTCTCATTGGATTCATTTGAATTGAATCCTGGCAATATAATGGATAGCAGGATAAACGACCTGAACGTCGTGGTTTCCAGGTAATAAATTAGCAGTACATGTACTAAAACGTTCTAAACTAAAGTGCATAAATTGATGTTTTGTAATTGATATACAATTTTTAAATATCTATATGTATACTCCTACCAACTGTGTTCATAGTAAGTTTACAAGCACGAATCCTAAAGTTATATATTCTTTAGTCTCTGAATGTTTTTAAAAGCGACCTAAAATGGCTCCTTGCAAAAGCATTCCTTAAAAAAATTATGTCTACCTTTAATAAGTTTATGGAAATGTAGTTTTTGTTAGAATGTATAATTCATCCATGCTATTGCTCATTAACCTCACATGATTAATGCGTATTTCTTCGACGGTATATTTCTGATCTTAATAATTTTAGGTTTGAAGGAAACAACTTTGGCTGGTATGTGATTCGATGCCCAATGAAAGATGTGCATTCGGTCTACACTGCATTAATAACATCGGAGATTAAACCAACTATGGCAGGATTGAGGGCATTGAATTCTGTGTGTTTGGAATCAGGTGGAACTGCTTTTAAAATAAATCTACAAATATAAAATTCTATTTTTTTTTGGTTAGAACTCAATTTTATATATCATTCAACAAGTACACAGTACCCTGTAAGAACTTTAATTAGTTTGTTACCAATAATGATAAAAATATTGATAGCATTCTTTTTTATTAATGTTGCATTCAAACAGGGATACATAATCCAATTTCAACTTGCCTGAATGGATCAAATTTACGGGAAGTATTACAAACGAGTCAGTTGGAATTGAATGATACCAGGCAATACATTGGCAAGGATGCTTTAATCAAAGCAGCAGATCAACCTCTGACTTCTAGATTCATCCAATTGAAAGCCGAATCGTAAGTTGTGATTTCCCATTACTGTATATATGAATAACCAAACGATAACTATCCTGATAATGATTGTAAAGAACAGATTTGTATAGCAAATAAATTGAGAATTGCGATTTTGAGGTAAATCTGCCAAAAAGGCCATACTTTTCCAACAAAATATATAATAGTTTATTTGAGACTATGTTCAATAAGGGTTGATATATAAATAAATATATTTCAGAGAGTTGCCAATCTTGGATGGAGATGTGATATGGTATAATGACTCATATGTTGGAATTATTGGAGATGCTGCTTACGGATACAAAACTGGAAGATATTTTGTTAATGGGTGAGACATTTGACAATAAATGTGTGTCAGAGATATATCTGAGATTGATGAAACATTGTTAAGGATACGATGAAGAATAAATATGAAAGCGGTACCATTAAAACATAAAAATATTGACATTCTGTAATTCGGCAAATGTTTTCAATTTTCTGTAAAACATTCTAACAATCTAAATATTAAACAAATTATTTAGTTTAAAGTAAAATGAATGCTAAAATTACCATTAGCATGTTAGCTTCAGCCACAAGCACACGCCAAAAAATAAAGTCACGCTTGTAACGTTACACAAGCTGAGATCTAATGATAATTCATAATTATGTGTTTGGTTTCTGAGTCTTAAATCAGTTCGCCCTCAGAACAAAGTTGTGGAGTTGATTAGTATTTCTGAGTAAAATATTTGTAAATGAGCGAAATTTTCAAAATGAGACTAATGAGTGTTGCCTTTCGGATTTAGCGCCAGTGGCGGGGTTTTAACAAATTTTAAAAGTTCTGCTACAAATTAAAATTCAATCAAGATTTAATAAACTCAGTCAAATAAAAATGTGAAAAGATATTTTGGAACTTATATTTAAAGGAAGAACAGTTAAAATAGCAGTTGTCTTGAATACAATAATATTCTTAAAAAAAATATACTGAATTATACACTGTATTGTCATTCTTCCATGAAGACAGATTCATTAGGTGCCAAAAACCGCAAGGAGTCATTGTTTTTTAGCCCGATGTCCAAATAGATGGGCAAAACATACCCTGCTCTAATGAATCTTCACAGCTAATAAAAAAAAAATTCTAATAAGATTTGTTGTGGTTGGCAATCATAATCATGATAGAACAAAGGGAGTTTGTACAACATATCATTGAATTGGGCTCTCAGATTTCCCCTGTTTTTTTTTTTCTAACAAAAAGTCTGATAAATCGTTTTTTAAAGATTTGTGAAGTTACCTCTAAAGGAAGAAGGGAAGTTTACTATTGGAAGAAGATCACACAAGGTTCAAGCAGAGGTGACCAATGGTTCACAATTGCCAATATAATATGAATCTATTATGTGAAGATTTACTGTATTCACCTATGCCGTTTCTGATATATTTGTGTATGTATGTTAATGTTAGGTTGTGTTTATATTAATATTGGTGATTGTTTCTGTGCCATTATATACGAAATAAAAAGGCAACATTTTATGTTTAGCAATACCATCCATACCATCTTGCTTAAGGTTAATTTCAACATTAGAAGAAGACGTTTAGTAATGTTGACATTGTGCAATAATAAAATCATTATCAATGCCAATCCTGGCCATTCACAACACAACACTAACTATACAACGAGAATATCGGTCAGAGACCGAAAAATTTTCGATCGAAAGTTAGGGGATCCCCCAAAACAGCGCTCTTACTCCATAGTGAAACCTTGTGTCCCATCACTAATTAATTAATAACTCGCTAATTATACGACATAATTCACCCAAAATCGATAGGCTTCTGGTCCGACATATGATGAATGCACATGCGAAATCTGGAGCAGATTCAATCTCTCTTTCGTGAGATATTGCGTGCATCAAACAGACAAATACCTATCAACATACTTACCGGCCGTTCAGGTTGTGCGCCATCTTGGTGCGCATACTTCAGGAGGTTCGAAAAAATAAACCAAACTATAACTGATATTCATTGTATTGTCATTTTCCCACAAAGACAGATTCATTGGGCACCAAAAAAGTCATCGCATATAGGTCGACGTCCAAATAGATAGGGATAAAATACCCTACTCTAATGAATAGTCACAATAAAAAAAACTTACTGATAATAATTATTGTGGTTGACAAATCATAATTAGGATAGAACAAAGGGAGTTTCTGCAACTTATTAATGAAATGTGTTGAGAATTGGACTGTCAGATTTCCACTGTTTATTTTAACAAAAAGTCTGATAAATTATATGGTTGATATAATCAGAGGTGTAATAGGGCCCGAATGGCATAATGAAATTGATACCGTCCATAGATACCCCAAGGTACGGCCACAGTAAGCAAATATGGAAAAGTGTTTACCATAAACTCAACGAAAAAATTCCAGTAACCATTTTCCAGATCCGGAAGATTATTTTGAAATTCTTCTATTTCCTTAAGTACGCAACACTGGAACTGTACAATCACAAAAATGTACAGATTTCGATAAATGATTTACTAAAAATGCTTCGCGGATCGGCTGTTGAGAAATACTGTTTCAACCACATTATTAAGAATGCGAAGAGTTCATTATGTTTTGCGTGATACGACTGACTACACGCTTTTACAATGTAGGCTATAGTACTATACATATCATCAACTTGATAAAGATATAACGTATGTATGTGTTCATTCGTCTCGTAATATGGGAAATAAATAAATTGACAATTATTATTATTTAGGACAGGATGCATGAACAAGACCTACTGGCCTAAAACACAGATGTGCGGCATTCACCCCTTTTGGCAAATATAAAACAACAAAAAAACGTTAGATCAAATATGTATAATATCGTCACGCTAATAACCGAATGGCGTAAGTCATTTTCAGCAGTCTTGAGAAAAACGTAAAAAACTTCCTAATGATATTCTTATGCCATTGAGAGTCAATAATTTGCCATGGTTCAATTTTTTAATCGTAGCTGGATTCAAGTTAATAATTTGTATGACGCAGTTATGTGGCGTCATAATGGCGCACTGAGACTTAGGCAGAAATGTGTCTATGACTTGGGGACATACGCAATTTTGCAACTTGACTATATGCACCAGTCCTGAAAACCAAACATTCCAAAAACGAATGTAATTCTCAGTATTTACGATGTCCAATCCCCAAAATAGCTAATCTGTTTCAATTACATTATATTTTATGTTTACAAATATATATTTCATCAATATAACACGCTCTGCACACCCGCCGAAATAAGACTAAGATTTAATATAAAGAATAAAACAGCAATGCACTCAATATAAAAGCCAACCAAGGTGAATTGGACTCGGACAGTGAATATCACAAGTGCACGCCTTCATATACTGTAGTATAAATTCAAATTTATAAGCGCTAAACTAGAATCTGAGATGAAAATTCTTGAAAGCAGAGGTCATTTTGCCACAATAGTCCTGCAGCAACAATGATAATTCATTATGACGAAACAATTGCACAAATGTGCATGTCATACAAAATCTCCATTTTTATGGGTTTCGGGATTCTTAAAATAAAATCTGAGTTATCAGACAGGTGCGCAGCATTACATAGATACCTATTTTATGAAAAACTCAAAATCGCCAAAAATGATTTAGGCAGGAGACAACACAACACCAAATACACATATACATAATGATGAAATCAAAATGTAGGCGTAAATACAGCACCTTTGAGTGGTGATACCATATAATTTGTATGGGCGAAGTATAAAAGGTAAATGTGCAGTTCTTGTGCCTATATGGTATGCGTCACTCAACTTTGATAGAATATGGCTATTTCAGCGAAAATGTGAACCATACAGATTTCATTGAAATACTTCAGTTCGCGTATCAAATTCTTAGGTCTTCTTGTTTTATTTGTAAAATTAAAGCCGAATGTGGTGAGAATTTTAAAGAAAAAACAAAGTCAATGAAAAGCATTTCAACAAAACCTATCATGATTTCATTTTTGCCAGGAGAAACGAAATGAATAAAAAAAGTACTATTTAATTAAAGCTAATACTTTATAAAGAGAGGCATTGTTTCCATGTCATGGATTGCCCTAATTGCGTTAGAATCTCAATAGAATAATATAGTTTCCTGGCTATAGTTGAATGTTCCATGCAATCAAACAGAACTTAGCTTCGTTTATGACTTGACTGTCCTAGATTTTCTATGAATACACGGAAGTATTCAACATTAAAATACCGTGCATTAAATAAACAATACAAGGACTGGTCGTTAGGATTTTGTAAATATTAAAATAGACTTGGTACTGCGAATATATAAGTTTTTTTATTGTTGTTGAAGTCGTTAAAGTTAGTGGTTGAAAGTTTCAATCATAAAACTCAATGTAACGACTCAATAAGGTATATTTTATAATAAAGCGTTGAAGAAAATTGTCAGTAAAAGTTAAGTGAGCTTGACGATTTCCAGTCAATTTGTATTACACAACAAGCATGTTATTTAATATAATGACACTCGTAGCCGCAGCATTGGTAGTTTGTGTACGTTCACAAATACTTCCAAGTGAAGCCTACAATCATTCTGCAGTTCTGAAATTAGGAGTAATAAAACTGTATTGGAAGTTTAATGATAAATATATAACTTTCGAGGTGAGTATCTGTTCGATTTGAATAGAGTAAAATTTAAAATTTTGGCGCTTCAGAAGTATGTGCGCCATCTTGGTGACCCTAACCTGAAACACATACTATGTTTAGGTTGTGCACCATCTTGGGAGTACCTAAATTTTAAACACGTGGTTGATAATTTCACCGATAGCCGATTTTATCTAAATATCAATTCAGAATATAGTGATTGTTAATCCTCGTTTCATTTCCCATACGTCCACAAAGAATATTCAAACATGAAGACGTAACTTGCTTGAATATGCAATTTGATGTCATATAAACTAATAATGTTTATATTTTATAGATTTTTTAACTGTTCTGAAAAAATCTAGCAGTCATCGAAACAAAGATGACAGTTAATACCGTCATCTTTATTTTGAAGACCGCTAGATATTCATTTCATTTTGCTCAGTGTTTTTGTAAATCAAAGACAAGCCAGATGTCAAGTATATATATTTATATACGTATGATTTAAAATACATCATTTTATTAAATGACGGCTGCGTTTTACTTGATTCCACATTCTCTCAATAAACTTTATACTTTTATTTATTATATAAACATGAAATCGAATATTGTTACAGGTGATCGCTAAGACTACAGGATGGGTTGGAATTGGATTTTCAGAAAAGGGATCAATGATAGCGTCAGATATAATCGTAGGATGGGTGAAGAATGGAATTGTTGAAATTACGGTACAATATTATTCACTTATTAGAAACGTTAAATTGCGAGTCCATGCTTCTAACGTATATAAAAGTGAAAAACAAATGGAATTTACTCTTTGCAGGATAGACATGGAGATTTGAATGGGTTCCCTCCACTTGATTCGCAGCAAGATATTAAAATATTAGGAGGAAAGCAAGATGGCAGTTGGACAATGCTGAAATTTTCGCGACAGATAGCCAGCTGCGAGAAAGATTATGATATTGAACTGAACGTATGCTATTTTACATAATTCATACTATACATTTTCAAATATTCAACGTCTTTAATGTCTTAATCTACTGTGGATGGTGAAGCATGTTCAAAAAATTGATCAGAAAAAAAAGATTTTCCCAAAATCAGAAAATATTTGAAGAATTTGCTTTACAAATCTTATATCAAATCAATTAACTGCTATTGTATGTTACTGGGCGCCAAATTCAAGCGATCCACAATTCAGTATTGGTTTCATCTTAGTATTGTTCAGATAGGTATTGGCAATATATTGCAACTGAGTATAAGGATGATAACACGTTTTGTAATTTCAGAGAAACACACAAAGAGTAATTTGGGCATACGGAAATAAAGTTCCAATAGGAGATGATATTACACCTCAGGATTCTCATGGAACGAATAGAGGTTTAGTGTCAATTGATTATGTTTATCATATCTTCGCCCATGCCAGATAGATAAAATTCCCTATCTATAGTATACATTGAGAATATATTGGTGATTGAGAAAAATAAAATAATTTATAGCCTTACGAGCATTGTTATCTAGGAATCACTTGGGTATTGATATAGTTTCTTTTTAATTTAAAAATAAAACTGGTTTATATTTATACGTTAAAATACATATTAGTAGGCTACTGTCTTGTTTAGAAGGGAATTATCATAGTGGCATTTGGTATGATTTTCGCCGATTTCGTTTCATGCAAATGTACAAGGCACACAAGAAACACATTTCAACGTTAAATTAAAATAACTTTAAGTTTTCTTTATGCTGTTGAAACATTACAAAATGCAGGTGTGAAAAGTCTGATTATACTGACATCACTTGAAAAACTGTATGATTTGCCAAAAGGACCTGAATACAAAACATTTGACGTGTTAGCAAATAATGTCAAAATTCCAGCTGCAGCTACATATTATAACTGCAGAATACATCGATTTCCTGAATTTACTAAGAAACATCATATTGTGAAGGTAATTTTACCAAAGTAATCATTTTTGTTTTTGATTTTCAGTATTATTAGAGTAGATATAGAAAGAGTATGGAAGTTTTAGTTGACCGTATGCATCGTAGTTTTCATATTGCTTGACCAGTTTATTTCATTAAATTTTTAGGTTGAGCCCATCATTAGCGAGGGTAATGAAGAATATGCTCATCATATTGCTCTGCACCGATGTGGAGATGTGTTGCCTGTAAGCTTGTTAATTAATTATTTTTAGTTAAAATGTATCTTATTTTATAACATACATTTTCAAATCGCTTCGAAAAGATTCGAGTTGAACAATGGAGTTTTGCCTCGCAATTTTCAATTTTCAATCGATGCAATTAAATTGCCGTGAGGTTTATATTGTTGCTATAGCGTTTTCAACGATTGAAGTCGGATAATTTGAATTTAAATTGACGTTTCAGATGGTCTTTTAAATTTGTGGCCAATATTTTTTAACATTTTGTTTTTCTTATTTTTAATTAGGAGAAAAAATGCGATGTATTCATATATTTATTTACTACTAGCCAATAGCCATGCATTTTAACGTTGTACGTTGAACTTCTTTCATGATATTTACTATTACGTATCAGTAATTCAGTACGTGCGTTTTCCTTTTTACTTCTACAATTTTACACCAAAATTATAAACTTGGAACTTTTTTTCAGAATAAAACGTTATTGGAACTGGACGATAACTGTTATTCTTCGAATATAAAATTTTTCGAAACCTGTGGAAAAATTATTGAAGTATATACAATCGGTGGCGAAGTAAGGTTTAAGCAGCTAATTCATGCAAACTCAAGCTATTAGTTATATTAATAAATACAGTATATTCATTCTATTTTTAAAATTCGCAGTCGGAGATATTTCCGGATATCGCTGGTATATCGGTGGGCGCGCCTGGTGATCCGATCTATGTTCAGCTAGAAATACATTACAACAACCCTGATTTACGTTCAGGTGAGCAATATCAATAGCTCATTCATTGGCTAAATATTGTCACGCTAATAAAAAAATTGCGTAAGTCATTTATCGGTTTTGAGAGAAACACAATGAAGATATTGTCATGCCAATAAGGCAATAATAGTAAATAATTTCAATTTTTTGATCGTAATTGGATTGCAAATTCTCTTGTTTGGCGTTGGCATATGACGTCATGATGGCATACCGCGACTTACGCAGAAATGTGTATATATGACTTGAATATACGCAATTTTGCAACTTGAATATATCTACCAGTTCTGCTAATCAAACATTCCAAAAAACTATATAATTTGCAGTATATACGATGGCTCATCTTAAAACAGGTTTTCTGTTTCTATTTTTTATGTTTGAAATGCTCTGCACACCTACCTAAAATCCGCCAAAAAAGTGACTTAAACAATTTGGGTATTAGCGTGACAATATGTTGAGTTCGTTACCTTCATATTCTTGTATATAGTTAAAAATACGTTTTTCCTTCATTTGAGACCTCTTTTAGAATAAGCTTTTTTTATTTATTTAAAAGTACTTTACCCATGAGACGAAGAAGCGAATCTTTAATTAAAGCAAAACATTAGAAGTTGCGTACAACCAAAATAGACAGCATGAACTTGATAATTGAATGATTGATTTTCTAACCTTATGGTATTCTATGCAATATCTATGTGTGTGAGAGAGAGTTCATGATAACTTGAATTTTAAATAGGCTGCAATCGGGTTTCAAACCAGTCTACAAGAAATTTGTCTATTCCTTCTTTGAATTTCTATTTATCATAACTGTAGCCGGTTTGGTTTGGTTATTTGAATATGTTTCAAACTTAAATATATATGGATAAAATTAACAACAAACTTAAATATATTCAGATATTGTTGACAATTCCGGTCTACGTTTCACCTACACTTCTACCTTGAGAAAATTTGATATTGGTACATCGTACATAGGTGTTGTACCTTTCGGATCTCAAACTTTTATTCCACCGGGATCCGAAAGTTTTAAAAGTATAGGTCAATGCAATCCTACGTGCTTGGGAGATGTGAGATTGATTTTTCTTTTGATTTTTTCATATTACCAATCAGGCCCAGATTCAGACGATGCTAGGCTATGTAATTGGCGCTCCAGAAGTATGTGTACCAATATGAAAGTAACGTATTTTGTTCGCTTACTTTACATCAAGTTGTATACAGGGACTGATTACTATGAACAAGGAGGGTATATTCACTTGGCTAACACAGACTGTCCCCGAACTCGTAATAGAACTAAAATAAGGAAAATCGGAATAAAATGATCGTCTAACCCTAACCTGGTACACATACTACGGGAGTACAATGCAATTTATGGAGTCCATCTCAACAATCACGTCGCAAAATAACTTATTACGCAGTAAAAATAAATGACGTCATGAAATATACCCACCACTTTGAATGTAAAATGTATCACGATGCCATAAATAAAATTTCAAATTGGGTGAAATATGATATTTTAGTTACAGGCCAGATACAGACATACGCTAATTGCCAGAGTAGATCGGATAGCAAGAAAGAAAAGAAAACTGATTACTGATAAATAAAACCTCAATGTTGAATAGAATTATCATTTCATCTTTTGAAATAAACGGGCATGCGATAAAGAAAATCCACTAGTCAATTCTCTACAAATAACAAAATATTTGTCTTATTTTTTTTTAATTTATATGAGATGCTATGCAAGCATCCTCATCTGCGATAACTCAAAATCGACTCATCTTTGTTCAGTAATATTTTGTGTGAAATTTGATTTCCAGATGATTGGGATTTTTTTGTAGACCTTGAACCACAATAGTTTATCGAGACAGAGTAATCGGTATTCGTCCTTTACTTATGCAACTGTCTTGATGCATATATATATGTCACTGCCAGAAAATGAAATAATTCTATTTTAGAAAATGACCACATCCGGTTTTGAAAATATAACAATATTTAGCGTTATTCTACATTCACACCTGGCTGCAAGGAAAGCGAGACTACGTCATTTCAGGTGTGTGTTTCAGGTTTTGGTTATGTGGGAATTTAACATAAATATTATAATATTCAAAAATCAAGATATAGATTGAGTTCAGACGCAGTCATCTTCTAGTTTCTTGTTTAGGAATGGCACAGAGCTACCACTCATTGCGTCTGATGAACATTTTGACTTTAATTACCAAAGACGTAGATATTCTAATGCTACTGTAAAAAATACAGACCAGTTGGTTATGGAATGTGAGTACAATACCAAAGATCGTTTAGAAGTAACAGAGGTGAGTCTATATTCTTATGCCCAATGAAAAACTCTTTGGGAATATTTGGCACTAATAATATACTAAAAAACCATGTTCCTGTTGCTCTGTAAAAATTTGGAGCAGATTTTTTATACCTTTGGCCTGTAATGGAATTGTTCATAAAAATCAAACGATCAAACAAAAAAATGACTCTTCCACAAGTTAAATTATCGGCTTGATTGAAGGAATGAAAAGAATGTACTTTGGCGAAATAGTTAAAATAATTGAAAATCATATTCTTTATGCTCAGGAAAATAACTAAAATTTTATTTTGCAAAAATTGAAACATTTTTGACTTCTAAATACTCAATCAACGTATAGAACAGTGGCCTTCCCAGCCTTTTTTTCGAAGAACCCATCTTTCAATAAATTTTGAAAAATCTCGTGACGCAAGAACATGCTCAAATACAAAACGACGAAAAATCTGAAGAGTAGTATTTTTATAACCGCAAACTTAATGACTAATATAAAGCAGAAATTACCCCGAAGTGAGAATACGGCGCTTGTCTGCCATTAGCGAGTTTTTGAAATGCTGCCGAATTTTCACAATTTAACCCTCCTCACATATACAATTACCATTGGACAACAAGGTTTTTGTTGAAAAACAAACGACCCATGACAATTTGCAGGCGACCCAGTTTCGGGTCGTTAGCCATAGGTTGGGAAACACTGGTATAGAACACAATCTAACATAAATGTGTTTAGGCTGGTTTTGGAACAATGAAAGAAATGTGCTTCGCTATTGTTTACTACTATCCATTGATAAATTTGAGTTACTGCTTTTCGAGTGTACAAAGAAGATTGTCATGGAGTTATTTAGGAGTCGACCTCGGAAAAGTAAAAAGGTAATGGTAATTGATAACACTCACTTTTATATATAATATTACTACCCAATACTGAAATATTTAATTCTTTTGAACAACCAAGATCTGATGAATCACATCCGTACTTGAATGTGGTGGATGACACCAATACATAGGCAAAGGAATCTGTGTGTTTTTGGTTCGAAATTTGAGTTAAATACGCATATGAGGTAAAAATAAATTGCATAAGATTCATGAAACCTGCACACATTGATTTTTGATATTCAAACTTAGAATTCGAACAACCCAAATGCAGAAAAATATCTATGAAGATGATTCAAAGCGGACATTCCGCCAGTTTTTTTTTTTTTTTTAAGCTGTAGGTATTGTTACCGAATGATTACTTAAGATCATTCTGCAATCTTGAGTGAATTTAATCTATATATGGTATGAAGCAATCGCGCAGGAAAACATATGTTGTACGCGAGATGTCTGACCCGTATTATTAGCCCGGACGTCTATCACATTCCCATCTATTTAAATACATATATATATATATCTTTTATCAATTTTGCTGGCCGTGGACCATTTTATATGGAGATGCGCATGTCTGATACAATGTACATTTGGAATATAGATCATCTCCGCTCCTTCTCTTCTCCTTAGTCCATTTTGTTACCGTTTTACAAACTTAACACTTCGGTTGACAATTTTGATGACGTCACACTCTAGTTAAGATGCTATTTATACGACGGGCATATTCAAATTACCTAAATTGACCTATTTGCTCTCAATTCCTCTTCACTTCTCATTTGGAATATTTTCAAAGGTGTATATACATTATTCAGGAACATGCTCATAGAAATGCTTTTTTACGGAACTCAATCAGCGAGTGTAATTGTTTATATCTTACCTAGAATTGACGAAGAGAATCCAGATTTAGAAGCATTTGTACTAACAGGTCCTGATAAGCAAGCTGGTAAAACGATACTGGAATATATGAATGAGGTGTGGTGGACCTTTTAAAAATTTTTATATTCGGGATTTTGATAGTAAAAACTGCAACAGGATGATATGTTGTTCTGTAAACGAAATATTACATGGCTTCGGCAAACACGAAAAAAAATCTGTCGATGTTCTGATAAACTCTGTCACAAAAACACAGGCTAAATTTTAAAAAAAATGTAATACAAGGTTTTTTGATTTTATTTTTTCGCCGCTCCAGAAGTATGTGCTGCACCAAGATGGCGCACAACCTAATAACCCTAACCTGGTACACGTACTACGTTCAGGTTGAGCGCCATCTTGGTGCACATACTTCGGAAGCACCTATTTAGGTCCCAGTCACCCCAAACGTGATGTTGTAACATTTATGACAGATTAGTTTTTTTACGAAGGAGAAATAGAAAAAATGATATTCTGCTAGCATTGAAAAAACTATTAATTTGTTGAAAATTTTAGTTACGTAAATGACTTCGAATATCTCTGAAATATCACCAGCAGTTGGGAAAAAAGAATTGTACAAATAATTGTCTAAATATTCGGCTTGAACATATATATAATTAGAAAAAACGTGAAAGATTTGTCAGTACTATTCTCGGTATTTACTATAACCTCTTTGCATGTGCATTTATATGTGTGCCTAATTGTATTATATACAGTTGGATTGGAATACAAAAAATATTTCACAATTTCAATTGAACTACAACGCAATGGAACATTACGAACTTTGTTATGAATCGGATCGAAGCAACCCTGTGAGTACCATCTTAATTGAAAGAAAACAAATGCACCCTCATTCACAAAAGTCAAACAAAATAATTCCAACTTTTGTGCCGCATCTTGTAAAAGCGGCTTGACATTTGCGATATTCGGCTATACTTTGAGCATAAAAAAATTGTAAATTCGGTGGTAATTAAAAGTCTTCACAAACCTAATGTTCGTATAATAGTAGAAGAAGTAAGCTTATTCTTGATATTATAAAACTTTTATGAAAAACATTAGATGATTTCTGGCGGAACTTTCTAATTATATAAACATTATTTTCAATAGACTATTTTTGTTAAATATTTGTGAAACGTTTCTTCTCATTCCTGGGACATCTCTTGTTGGGCATTGACAAGTTAGTAATCTTTTTAACTGCAGAGAAATGGTCATAGAATTACAAAACTATTCTTCAAGTTTAAACAACCAAAAACTTTTCAGACGAAAACTGCTTTCAACCTCACTAAAATAGCAAATCCGTACAAAAAATCAAAGAGAAAATGTCATCAACCAGATTTGGATGAAAATGAATCTGTGTCGACGTAGTCGAGATATTTCTTGAAGACAACTTAGTAAAACTGCGTCTACGTAGTCTAAGTTACTTGTCATTTGAATTCGTGTATTTGTTTATTTGTTCAACTTCGGAACTAATAAATGAAGAAAGAAAGATCTTATCTGAAGAGTAAGCGCAAATCGTATTTATTCAGGGTCGTTCAACCCTCTTTACTAACCCGATCGGTTGCTTTTGTTTTGGTTGGTGCAAATGGTTGCAAGTTATAGAGATTGTCACTTTTAGCTAAGAAATTTCAATTCAAAATAATCAGTGCATCATGACCGATAAAATGCATAAAACAGAGAGAAAAATGTTTCAATATGACTAGTATTTCCACCGGAGTGTGGCAAATTTCCATCATTCAGCAGCTCATACGAAGATATGCAAGTTTTCTACTAAAAAAAACAACAACAGATATCTAAACGAGAACAACATCAAAAATTTAGTTGAATGATCCATAGTGAAACTTTGTGCTCAATAACTGTGTAAATGTCAAAACAATCGATTCGTTCCTATAAATAATATGCAGGTCATTTGGATAAAATGGGCAAAATCATTGCGTTAGATTAGGTCGATTAAGAAAAAGCAAACACTTCAGAGGGTGTTTTTAATTGTTATCAGACGGAATTGTTATTGCTAGATTTCATTCGTTGAAATATATTTGAGACTACCAAATTCATTACCATTGTTGGACATGGTCAGTCTGTGTCTTAACCTGTCGCCAGCATTCACATTTATTTTCCCCAGGATCCAGGCAACGAAGCGTGCGAATTTACAAAATAAATTTGGGTATATTCCACCAGGATTTATACCTATAATGGTAATTAATGTTTGGTAATTTTGCTCCGCGAAGAGATTATTTTTCGAAAGATTCGCCATTCTCGGATGAGGCCAATTAAAACCCTTTAACTCCGGGAAGGTAGTTATGTGTGGTTTAAATATGGCCCAAGCATGATTGGTATATAAGAGTTAACATTTCTTATGTATACTTCTTATCTTAGGCTTAATTCAAAACAAAACCAATAAGACATTTTCGCGCCTTTTTCAAGCATGATATGGGCTTATCCGAGTGTTTTTGTCTTCCGGTTGTGCGTCACTCCCTTTTGGCCTAGTTCCAATTTTACGAGTTTTATATCTATAAATATTTGAAAGCTAAGAAACATACAAAGGAATACGTTATTACTTGAAAGAAAGTCATTTGCGCGAACGAGCGCTCATTTTTCCTCGCGTAAACACACTAATAAACGCACTAATAATTACCCACACAATAATAAACAAACACTGCACGCAAAGAACCGCGTTGACTTCACAAACATACCGCTTCGTCACTCGGGAACTATTCGTGCTACACCATTGCCTGTGGTATCATTTTATTAGGAAAGCAAACAGCGAGACGTCTACAACGCTTGCGAGAGAATGACGTTATCATAAATAACAATTCAAAGGCCATAAAGAAGAAAGATTCGCATGTGTTTACTATCGCCGATAATTTTCTCACTTACGTAAAATTTCGTACATGAAGCGGTCCTTTAGCGACCTCTTGCGTATAGAGAACAATAATACGATTCAAACAAGCGTTCGATGGCCTTTCAAGCCATCTTGGTTAGGCGACAAATGCTAATTAAAAAACGTTAAAAAATTTAAAAAAATTTTTGGGATTAGAGGGTTAAACGGTTAAAGGTTGCATATCCCCCATATTTACCTTGTTGAATACTTCGTATTTGACTGATTGTGTTGTGTAAATAAAGTTTACTTTCTTATTAGTAGTTAGTACTTTCTTGTAGTTTCGAATACTTATACGAATGACTTTTGTTCGCTGAAAATTGCGCAGAACTCGTTGAGGAACTTTTTGAAGACAGTAGTGCAGTGATTTTCAACTTTTCTCGAACCGCAGAACACTTTTTTTTATAGATCATTATCATTTAGATTAGATTAAACCTCAAAACGAGATTCTGGTTTTTCAGAAGTCGCCATGTTGATGAACGTTAGTGTTTCTCCGAGCATCGCTTTGTTTATTACGTATTGACCAACCAATTGAAATTAAGGCGGCCGCTCAGACTTATTGGCCCGGTTTATGTGCCATTTGTCCGTTTTTATTAGTGTCTCTGAAATTTGGACATAAAACAAAACTCTTCCACGATGGAGAAATTCTCTATGAACTTCTACCATTAACTAATTTTAGTGCTGTTTGAGAGCTGTTTCAAATTTCCACAATCAATATTTCGTTCTCAAATATTCGAGCATCTGCCATTAATACTGAACCTATTCCAGTAACATATCCTAGCATTTTCGTAATCGTTTTTTTTTTATTATGGTACTTCAATTGAACCAAAGATTCGATGCGTGACCCAGATTTGAGCAATTTTATTTATTATAAAGATCGTGATTGGTCGAGAGAAGCTTTTAATTGAAGAATACAATACACAACCAGGATTTCACACGTTTGAACTAGAGACTCGGAAGCGGACAGTTGAGGAAGAGCAGTCACTACACGCGCGAAGTCGTGGGGAAATACTACTGCTTGCCCTAAATATGAATTCATTTGGAAGCTATTTTGCTACGCTCCACAAAAATAAAACTGTCAAACAAGAATTTTTTTTGAAAAAGCTTTGAAAGATTGCTTACTAATTTCAATCACGAACCCGGTCCGTAAGGGCCTGCTTGAATATGACCTTCACATTTGTGGCGAGAACGGAAAACATCTCCCAACAAGACCGATCGACATCTACGAACATATTTCAATTTGAATTGAAAGGGGTCAGCCGAAAATAAATATATAATTATGCTGTTTCAATGTTGCCGAGTTGAGAATATCGATGAGGTATTCAAAATATTTTGCAGCATATTGATTAGAAGTGTTTCTATATCTCGATTCAGTCTACACGTAATATCATATTAACTTTGCCGCTTTGATATCGGAACGCTACACCGAGTTCTTCGAAAAACTATATCAGTACGTTTATGAAAATCTTCATTAGTACGTTTTCGAAAAAGAACGGGAAAATGGTGTACAGGATTGCTATCTCAATAGGACTGGGCGTAATTTAATGGAATGGTAGACATCTGAACATAGCTGAAATACAAAAAAGAGCGGGAGAGAGAGAGATAATAATTTATTTCCGAATACAGTATATCAAAAATATACAGATTACAATGGATGAAAAAAGCAATCATAAAATGTATTCGGAAGGGAGCGAAAAACATAATAAATCAAGTGAGATTGCAATATCCTGCAATGGAATTTAGGGAATAAGCAAACTTGTCAGTAATGCAATAAGAAAGTGCATGATTAATAAAAACAATAGTATAGTAACTCAACTAAATAAACTTAGTTGATTTGTAGCTTCATTAAACATTTCAGGAACAATTTCAAAATCTGACTCCCAATTTTTCCAAGTCCAGTCTAAAGTCTTTATTTTCATAATTTTGCTATAAAACTCAACATTTTATAAGTATAAAGGTCATTATCGTATAAGATTTTTAATCTAAAATGCTTCTTGGCAATGTATTCTGATTAGGATATGTTAGTGTTGTTTTGGATGGATACAAAATCGGAACAATATACCACTATGAAAACATTTGACACGAGCACTAGATTTATTATTTAATTTTATTCATAACTCATTTTGAGTGGGTAAGAGAGCTTTTCATGAGTAAATTCTTCATTAGCCTACTCTATGGGACACAGACACACTTTAGACAATTATCCGGTGTGAAAGCATTACTAAATTTTTAAGCATATCACAGAGTATTTTATATGTAGTGCCAATTGGAAATGATTACCTTGCCTAATTCCAAGCCATAACATATTTAAAAAGTGTCGTCGATAAAAAAAAAGTTTTTTTTGTCATAAATTCGATGCTAGAAATAGAAGAGAAAAGTCTATTTTTTCAATCCAACTATGGCTAATCCAATCCATTTGAAATATAAATTTAAAATGTACGGGTACATTTTACTTCTACCCAGAAATTTGAAACTAATCACATTATTTTCAAATTTAACCAAGGCCTTCTTTTCCAAAGCACCCAATTCATTTTTGCTTCTTGATCCAACCTGCATCAAATCCTGTTTCTTCAGGTAGAATTCGAGATGCCAAATCAATTGTTTGAACTTGCATTTGAGTCAAACGTCGACCATCTCGAAGATTCCAAACAATACCTAAACAAATACAATTAGAAGTTGTCTTCGAAAAGGAAATAAGATAAGCCAGTGTAAAAACCAATAATTTACCACCAGTGTGCCATGTTGTGCTTGTCTTTTACAACCAGAAAAACTTTCCCTGCATTTAATTTAGCAAGGTGATATGCTGTATTGCATCTTACACTTTCACCTCCAATAACTACGACATCTGCAGAATTTGAAAATAAAAACACAACAATAAAAAACAAGTTACAATAGAATAGATTAACAATACAATTAATAATTACAAAGTATCATCATCATACCCGGTAGAGACTTGTTTACATCACTAAGTACACCGCTTTTGTCTTCATGTAACGAAATTTTATGTGGAGCATCATGGGTGAGTTCACTCAAGTTCCGTTTTTAGGAAAATGCTGATGTTATAAAGGCATTCTTTTAGATTAGTTTATAACTAAGATACGAATTAACAAAAATTGTGAAACATCTAAATAAAAGCACAATTTTCTTTAATGACATGGGCAATAATAAAAGGTACAGATTAAATAATGGGCAAATAAAAGATTGCCAGGGAAAGGCGAAGTGAGGTTTTAATTTTTGTATATTATCAATGGTCATTAATAACAAAAAATACCTCGATCTAAAACATTTTTGAATGAAAGTTTACAGTCGATTATCTGGTAAAGAAAATCATTGACAGTGTAGATAGAGCCAGGGTGTGCAACAAGCCATTTAGTGTGGTCCTTGTCAACACTAAGATTTTTCCCCATCAGGCATAAAATCCTAATCTGTCAGTTTATGTTTAAAAAGGCGTTCACAATATATTATAATGTTATTTTACTCTTGTCGATGAGTTAAATCTTTCGCCATTCTGTCCGGCACCTTAATTACTGTGAGGGTAAGCGATAAGCGGATTGCCTTTCCCGCAGTGCTCTGGTTGTCGGTGATGTATTTCATTAGTGCCGAATTTCACAACGCTTGTTTACAACATATTGTGACGTAATAATTCCTCATTGTTATTTATATGTTATATTTGTTGGCTATGTGGCCCACCGACATAGATGTTGCACACCCCTGGTGTAGAGTATTATTCCATGTCCTAATATTATCTATTAAAAATTAATAAATAAAGAAAAGACTGCATTTTAAATCTAATTTTTGCTTTTTTATTTTACCTTCTATTTGAATTGTTGACATGTTACATCACATATATGTCGAATGAATTAAAAAAAGCATCAAAGCAAAACTTTATTCACATTTGCACTAGAAATGCCTCATGTACACATTGCTAAATATTTAGCTTTTTCATGAAGAGACATTATCATGAAACATTTTCAATAGTATGGTGATGAAACAATATGAGAAATAAGCTAGTATTAATGCATAGTATAAAACAGGGCTACTCAACTGGCAGACCGCGGTCCGAATCCGGACTTTTGGAGTTTGATTCGGACCGCACCTAATTCTTTATTTTAAATCATTAACCCCACTTTTATAGTTTCATTTTATAAAATGACTTTTATTATTGTATTGAATATATATGAAAAGAACTATAACACCATAATAAACAATGTTGATTTGCTATAGCCGGTCAAGGAAGTGCGTGCTTAATGATGCCGAAACATAATTTCTGGAAACACCGGACCCAAATAATTTGGAAATTTTGTATGCGGATCTTCGGTAAAAATAGTTGAGTAGCCCTGGTATAAAATACGAATTAAAATAAATATTTCTAAGTATAATTTGATTCCTAATTGTTACTACTAAATACTAATATAAATGTCATTAATACTAAAGCAGAAATAATGCGCGGATCATCAAATTTTCTCATTGGGATTATATCCAGTTGGGTTCATAGTTTGCCATCTCCATAAATCTTCACACATTCGTGAAAGACTCCAATTGGCAGTCCAGTTGAGTTCTTTCTTGGCCAGGGTTGGATCAGCATGAACATCTCCTAAATCACCAGGTCTGCGTGGAGCAAATTTATATGGAATATCTTTATTTGATGCTTCTTTGAAGGCCTCTACAGCTTCAAGAACTGAATATCCTTTTCCTGTTCCAAGATTATATGCTTTGCATCCACAAACCTCATTAATATGCTTGAGTGCTGATATATGACCTTTAGCAAGATCAACAACATGTATGAAATCTCTCACACCAGTACCATCAGGAGTATCATAATCGTTACCAAAGATACTCAAAATTGGTCTTCTGCCAATTGCAACCTGGGCTACATAGGGCATTAGGTTATTTGGAGGACCTTGTGGGTCTTCACCAATTAACCCCGAAACGTGAGATCCGACGGGGTTAAAATATCGAAGAAGTATTATTTTCCACTGTGATTCAGCCTTAGCAAGATCTCTGAATATTTCTTCAATGAAATATTTGGTTTTCCCGTAAGGATTGGTAATTCCATTTCCTACGGGATGTGATTCATCAATTGGCAGTCTCTCTGGAATTCCATATACAGTGGCAGAACTGCTGAATACGATGTTGAATACATTATAAGCTTTCATGCATTCAATCAAATTGATTGTAGCACCTAAATTAACTTCATAATAATTCATTGGATTTGAAACGGATTCATTCACAGATTTCAAGCCAGCAAAATGCATGATAGCAGAAAATTTATATTTTTCAAAAATACTTTCCAAATCTTTCTTGTTACACAAATCGACATTATGAAATATCACTTTTTCACCCGTTATAGTTTCTATACGTCTAATGCTTTCTGGAGTCTTATGGCCTTCGGCAACTATGGCATTTACACAGTTATCCACAACAACTGGACAAAATCCATTTTCCAGCAAATCAACGACAGTGTGACTTCCAATATAACCAGCTCCTCCGGTGACAAGAATATATTCAGACATGTTGGAAATGTAGATTTTTGCCAGATATGACAATGACTAATAGATATTGATTTTACCGTCTAATAATTACAAAATCTTTATTAAAAATAGCTGATGTATTCGGGGCCGGCGTACCGGTATATTCACAAGGTTATGTACCGGATATTAGGTCATCATGAGAAATTTTATCTACTTTTTCTTATGTAACCCTAAAGCCAAATCAATTAAAATCATATCCATATGAATATGCTGCGGTGGTACCCCAACTCGAAAAAAAAAGGTACGGCACCCCAACTCATTGCAGAATTTTTTCTGCTTTGTGCTTCCCTCTGTTCCGCGCTGTATTCCAAGTGCAGTTTTAAGTATTTTGTGGCGTCTGCAGCTGCCGCAAAACCATAGCGGTATTTCCATACCATGGCCGCTACGGCCAAACCTATGGCGACTGACTTTTTAGCTGCCACAAACCAATGACGAGCTGCCGTTACCGCGGCAGCAAATTGAAAACCAATGGCAGTTAAAATTTTGCTACCGTAACCACGGCAGGTGGGCCGTAAAGACAGGGCTGTCCCTTATGGTGACAAATATTGGGTAAGTTGGAACCTTTTTCTTATGGATACAGTTTTGATGAATTTGGGGTTAGGGTTTAAGTAGATATAATTCCGAATGATCAATTAAAATCTGGTACATTAATTAGTGAATATACCGTTAATACTGATTATTGAAAAGCGCTATAAAACCATGGCAAGAGCTGCCGCGGTTCGTTCGTGGCAGGAGCTGCCATGAAGTGGTAAGATCTGCGCCTCCTGTATTCAGTAATTAGTAAGCCGGGAACTACATCAGCACATGCGAACACTGAGACATGTTTAAAATCAAGGGTCATGTTGTTTTGCACGCATTTGAACTTATTTCGTAATAACAAAATACTCTAACGAAATATTATTAATAAAATACCATAATGAAATACCCTACTTTCATTAATTGTGAGAATGAAATGCCGGTATGGTAATTCAGTAATTATTACCGACATCTTACTGCAGTACTGTCTTACCACAAGCTGACAAGTACTTCCAACTAGCAGTCAAACTAAATGTCATAGGATAGGATTTACATATTTATCCCGAGGGAGAGGAAAGCCGATAAGCTGGCATATTCATATGGCTGTATGGCGAACCACGGCCTCTCCTCCGGTTACCATTCCAAGTCGGGTATGGGATTAGTTTTACTGTACCGGTATTGTTTGTTTTCGGAAGCATGGACTTGGTGGTGGAGGAAGCCGTAACCGACCAGCGGTTTGTAAAAATAATACAGATAGGCCTACTACTCTACTCATGTTATATGTGTGCACCCATAAGCTGTTTCTCTCATCCATAAACACAGAAACATAACTCTCTACTATATCTGTATATACGCGCATGGGCATTTTCATGAATATTTGAGTTTTGAAAAAAATAACATTTAATAATTAAAAGGCATGAACTTTGCACCATTACATTTTGTCCAATTCGATACCGGTACAGTCTTTCGAAATCAAAATACAGTCTGACAGTACAGCAGGTACGGTACCGGTACCGTATGGCACACCGGTACTGGTACCGGTACGGTAGTTCTGTGATTCCAAGAATAGCCCCTGCCTTCAACTTCCTACGGTACCACCACTCTGCTCTGGGCCTAGCTTCCAATTGAACTCTTTTTGTTTGGTAGGCCTACTGAACTTCCCTCCAATTAATTCGTTTTGTTAGAAAATAATTAGATTTGTAGTATCGTACACAGGCGGCATAACGCGTTTACGTGGAGGGGATTCACCGAAACCACTAGACAGCAGCATAGGGCAGGGATGTTTGACCGTAAATATATATAGAGAGAGAGAGATTTATTGATTCGTCAACCAAAACAAATATAAATATGAAAGCATAAATACAAATAAATAAACACTGTTTATGGTAAAGACTGGAGGGAGCGATACGACCATTCGGTCATCCAAGTCAGCCCCCCCCAAATTCACTGTTATGCATAAGATTCACAGGTAATGGATGACTATGAGTGTAACAGCTAATTATAGAGTAATATACACTTAAATAATTTTAAAAAGCACAATTACAAGGGGCTATTGATTTAAGTTAGTTATCACGCTCATATGATCATTGATCCATGCATATTAATTACTAGGGGTCTGGAGAATTACTAATATGGTGAACAAATTGTGGTAGTTATACCCAATGAGCGTATTTGGATAATTATTATGGTAAATGAAAAGGAATATAAGTGAAAAAAATAAAAAATTAAAATATTGGATTTACGAAGATAGGATTAACTTTGGTTCATGAAAAACAATTGAAACACAATGTGAATATGAAGATCAATTTCAATGACTACTGAAAGGGATTTTTCAAAGTACAAACCTAGGGATGTTTGACCCAAACTTTGATCCACTGGAAAGTTACCGTACCATTGAAAATTTTTTTGTTCCAATGAAAATAGTTTCTTGAATTAGCGCCTATAAACTGGTTTATATGTTTCAAACCATCATTTTGATTCAAAACATTCAACAACTGGCATTTATAATTAGATTGGATTCACATACCAAAATAAATGATTGATTGATTGATTACATTATCAGGGGAGCGGAAGCCGATAATAAAGTTAAATCATATGGCAAACCACGACCTCTCGTCCGGTTATCATTCCATGCCGGATTGACATGCAAGAATGTTAATATTTTGACGTTTTGGCTTCAGACGGTTACGTAACGGCGACGTTACAACGCCAGTCATGCTAAAAATACGCTCTGAATTAACTGACGTAGGTGGGCATAAAAGCAAGCTTACGGCAAAAGCGAACATCGCTTGGCATTCGTTTCTGTATTGTGGGCATGTGGCCAAAAAACAAGTTCAATCAATCAATCAATCAATTTTATTTGGTCACTCTGATACAAACAAAAAGCAAAACAACAACAAAGGGCAAACAAAATACAGAGGACTTGGAGGACAGGCATAACTCAATAATAAAGTTAAATACGTACAAGTACGTGCCCGTCCCCCAAAACACAATAAACCAAAAACACGATGTGACCTCGGGCAATATCTTATAAATTCAAATTAAAATGTGAGACGTGTATGTGCTTTTCCTACAGATATATGGATTAAAGAACACTCGCTGGTCGCTGCCGAAAAATGGTGATGCAGTAGGCCTAGTTCAATTACGTTGCAAAAGTGACACAGTGACAAATTTTTATTTTATTTTTTTACTGAAAAACAAGCTCGGTAAATGGACTGAATGTTCCATAGCAGTCTACGCACAAATCATGGATTGGGCCATGGGGTGCTGGGTTCTTTTGTCGTTTTCGGTTAGTTCAGTTTAAAATCATCGTATCCGTTCCAATGCAAGTTAGGATAGGATAGGATTTTACATATTTATCCCGGGGGAGAGGAAAGCCGATAAGACGGCTTATCCATATGGCAAACCACGGCCTCTCGTCCGGTTACCAATCCAAGTCGGGTATGGGATTAGTTATATTGTTTTTCGGAAGCATGGACTTGGCAACAACGCAGTACGGCGTACGCTACTGATCGCGTATTGTTGCATCACAATCGAAAACGTGTTTTTGCCGTTTTCGTTTTGACGTCACGGACTCGGAGGATTCGATTCGAGTCCATGACCTATTACTTTACTCGGATTCGCCGAATACCGGACTCGTCCTAACGGGTTTGTGAGGTCAAAGGTCGAAAAACATTGCATCAACCCTCAACCGACGATTGAAAAATTCAGCGTATCTGCGAATTAACTTATCATCACATTGGTCTGAAAACTCCCGAGGTAGCAATTCTGCCTTCATTCGAAGCTCTGTTCTGCTGTTACGGTGTTGAAACTAGTCTTGTATTTGAGACCGGCAGACAGGGTTTTCAACTGTAGACAAAGAATCTGATCTGACAATGTCAGGTTCTAGGTGAGTAGAGTAGTAGTAGTAGTATTTTATTTCGTCAACAATGTCAAAATCAAAATACAACATTTCAAAATTAATTTCCAAGGCATTGTGACGAAGCGACCGTTAGGTCATCGAGTCAGTCACAGCCTTTAAAAAAATATTAAATTACCATTTTTTAAACGAAATTGAGCTGAAGTAGCATACACCGAAAATAAATTAACAAAACTAACAGAGAGGAAAACAAAAACAAAACTCAATTGAATATGTTTAAACCATACTATGGGGGATGGCATGTACCGGTACACAGTATAATTCAAGCCTAACCAACTGGAATAATGGTCTTTTACAGTTAATGTTCTATAGTAGAGTCGTATGTTTCACGAAAAAGGGACTCTAGCTTCGCTTTAAATACTAGTTCGATACATTGAGTGGCATGTAAAATCGTTAGAGTGACTCAGACAGGAAATAAATTACAATAAACTGTGCAGTAATAATTAGAGGTATGACATCATCAAAATTGTCAATTGAAGCCTTGAATTTGAAAATTCTGTAAATACAATCGTGAATTTTAGAGTATCCATTCTTGCTATAATAGTGGTTTTGGTGTTGTTCTGTTGGAAAATAACACAAGAAAACGTTGAAATAAAAATTAATTAACCTCTACTAGACACAAAATCTCGCAAGTTCAAGGTTGTTCAATAGAAATTTTGTCGCATAAAAAAATATTATTTTAGGAGTGTGTTTTAAACATACCGGTATATAACTGAATAGAACTCTATTAAAAACACGCTATGAAAAAGTCATTTAGGGCTTAATGGTTGACAATTAAAATAACCCATGTAAAATGGCCACAGAGCGACTGGCGGAGTAGGGTTAAAACACAGTAATTTCTTGTCCTCCTACCAACAGCGACCGATGGTGTGAGTATGTCACTTGTAGCTATCGATATATTTTTTAAAAAGTTTGCGGGCGAAGCATGTATAGCTGCAGTCTTTTATTTCCTGACTAATTTCATTCCAAATAACCGGACCTTGGAACAATATGGATTTTTGCAAAATCGATGAGTCTGACCTTGGAATAAATAGGTTGTGCTGTGAGTATCTTGTGCCATGATTGTGGATTAAACCTATGTTTTGAAAATAATTCATAAAAGTATTTGGAGAACAGTTTGTTTCGTACGGTACATAAATTTTGCAACTTCATAACGATATAAGTCATTAAGTTTAAGAAGTTTATGTTTATAATAGTACGGTGTTGTATTTTCTTTGTAACTGCTATTGGAAATTATGCGAATTGCTCTGTTTTGCAGTACACTGAGCTTTTTCAGATGCTGTTTTGCCGAACAACCCCATATTATTATACCATAAGACATATGTGAATAAAAGAGACTGTAATAAATTTGTATCTACTTTTTCTTATGTAACCCTAAAGCCAAATCAATCAAAATCATATCCATATGAATATGCTGCGGTGGTACCCCAACTCGAAAAAAAAAGGTACGGCACCCCAACTCATTGCAGAATTTTTTCTGCTTTGTGCTTCCCTCTGTTCCGCGCTGTATTCCAAGTGCAGTTTTAAGTATTTTGTGGCGTCTGCAGCTGCCGCAAAACCATAGCGGTATTTCCATACCATGGCCGCTACGGCCAAACCTATGGCGACTGACTTTTTAGCTGCCACAAACCAATGACGAGCTGCCGTTACCGCGGCAGCAAATTGAAAACCAATGGCAGTTAAAATTTTGCTACCGTAACCACGGCAGGTGGGCCGTAAAGACAGGGCTGTCCCTTATGGTGACAAATATTGGGTAAGTTGGAACCTTTTTCTTATGGATACAGTTTTGATGAATTTGGGGTTAGGGTTTAAGTAGATATAATTCCGAATGATCAATTAAAATCTGGTACATTAATTAGTGAATATACCGTTAATACTGATTATTGAAAAGCGCTATAAAACCATGGCAAGAGCTGCCGCGGTTCGTTCGTGGCAGGAGCTGCCATGAAGTGGTAAGATCTGCGCCTCCTGTATTCAGTAATTAGTAAGCCGGGAACTACATCAGCACATGCGAACACTGAGACATGTTTAAAATCAAGGGTCATGTTGTTTTGCACGCATTTGAACTTATTTCGTAATAACAAAATACTCTAACGAAATATTATTAATAAAATACCATAATGAAATACCCTACTTTCATTAATTGTGAGAATGAAATGCCGGTATGGTAATTCAGTAATTATTACCGACATCTTACTGCAGTACTGTCTTACCACAAGCTGACAAGTACTTCCAACTAGCAGTCAAACTAAATGTCATAGGATAGGATTTACATATTTATCCCGAGGGAGAGGAAAGCCGATAAGCTGGCATATTCATATGGCTGTATGGCGAACCACGGCCTCTCCTCCGGTTACCATTCCAAGTCGGGTATGGGATTAGTTTTACTGTACCGGTATTGTTTGTTTTCGGAAGCATGGACTTGGTGGTGGAGGAAGCCGTAACCGACCAGCGGTTTGTAAAAATAATACAGATAGGCCTACTACTCTACTCATGTTATATGTGTGCACCCATAAGCTGTTTCTCTCATCCATAAACACAGAAACATAACTCTCTACTATATCTGTATATACGCGCATGGGCATTTTCATGAATATTTGAGTTTTGAAAAAAATAACATTTAATAATTAAAAGGCATGAACTTTGCACCATTACATTTTGTCCAATTCGATACCGGTACAGTCTTTCGAAATCAAAATACAGTCTGACAGTACAGCAGGTACGGTACCGGTACCGTATGGCACACCGGTACTGGTACCGGTACGGTAGTTCTGTGATTCCAAGAATAGCCCCTGCCTTCAACTTCCTACGGTACCACCACTCTGCTCTGGGCCTAGCTTCCAATTGAACTCTTTTTGTTTGGTAGGCCTACTGAACTTCCCTCCAATTAATTCGTTTTGTTAGAAAATAATTAGATTTGTAGTATCGTACACAGGCGGCATAACGCGTTTACGTGGAGGGGATTCACCGAAACCACTAGACAGCAGCATAGGGCAGGGATGTTTGACCGTAAATATATATAGAGAGAGAGAGATTTATTGATTCGTCAACCAAAACAAATATAAATATGAAAGCATAAATACAAATAAATAAACACTGTTTATGGTAAAGACTGGAGGGAGCGATACGACCATTCGGTCATCCAAGTCAGCCCCCCCCAAATTCACTGTTATGCATAAGATTCACAGGTAATGGATGACTATGAGTGTAACAGCTAATTATAGAGTAATATACACTTAAATAATTTTAAAAAGCACAATTACAAGGGGCTATTGATTTAAGTTAGTTATCACGCTCATATGATCATTGATCCATGCATATTAATTACTAGGGGTCTGGAGAATTACTAATATGGTGAACAAATTGTGGTAGTTATACCCAATGAGCGTATTTGGATAATTATTATGGTAAATGAAAAGGAATATAAGTGAAAAAAATAAAAAATTAAAATATTGGATTTACGAAGATAGGATTAACTTTGGTTCATGAAAAACAATTGAAACACAATGTGAATATGAAGATCAATTTCAATGACTACTGAAAGGGATTTTTCAAAGTACAAACCTAGGGATGTTTGACCCAAACTTTGATCCACTGGAAAGTTACCGTACCATTGAAAATTTTTTTGTTCCTATGAAAATAGTTTCTTGAATTAGCGCCTATAAACTGGTTTATATGTTTCAAACCATCATTTTGATTCAAAACATTCAACAACTGGCATTTATAATTAGATTGGATTCACATACCAAAATAAATGATTGATTGATTGATTACATTATCAGGGGAGCGGAAGCCGATAATAAAGTTAAATCATATGGCAAACCACGACCTCTCGTCCGGTTATCATTCCATGCCGGATTGACATGCAAGAATGTTAATATTTTGACGTTTTGGCTTCAGACGGTTACGTAACGGCGACGTTACAACGCCAGTCATGCTAAAAATACGCTCTGAATTAACTGACGTAGGTGGGCATAAAAGCAAGCTTACGGCAAAAGCGAACATCGCTTGGCATTCGTTTCTGTATTGTGGGCATGTGGCCAAAAAACAAGTTCAATCAATCAATCAATCAATTTTATTTGGTCACTCTGATACAAACAAAAAGCAAAACAACAACAAAGGGCAAACAAAATACAGAGGACTTGGAGGACAGGCATAACTCAATAATAAAGTTAAATACGTACAAGTACGTGCCCGTCCCCCAAAACACAATAAACCAAAAACACGATGTGACCTCGGGCAATATCTTATAAATTCAAATTAAAATGTGAGACGTGTATGTGCTTTTCCTACAGATATATGGATTAAAGAACACTCGCTGGTCGCTGCCGAAAAATGGTGATGCAGTAGGCCTAGTTCAGGCCTAGTTCAATTACGTTGCAAAAGTGACACAGTGACAAATTTTTATTTTATTTTTTTACTGAAAAACAAGCTCGGTAAATGGACTGAATGTTCCATAGCAGTCTACGCACAAATCATGGATTGGGCCATGGGGTGCTGGGTTCTTTTGTCGTTTTCGGTTAGTTCAGTTTAAAATCATCGTATCCGTTCCAATGCAAGTTAGGATAGGATAGGATTTTACATATTTATCCCGGGGGAGAGGAAAGCCGATAAGACGGCTTATCCATATGGCAAACCACGGCCTCTCGTCCGGTTACCAATCCAAGTCGGGTATGGGATTAGTTATATTGTTTTTCGGAAGCATGGACTTGGCAACAACGCAGTACGGCGTACGCTACTGATCGCGTATTGTTGCATCACAATCGAAAACGTGTTTTTGCCGTTTTCGTTTTGACGTCACGGACTCGGAGGATTCGATTCGAGTCCATGACCTATTACTTTACTCGGATTCGCCGAATACCGGACTCGTCCTAACGGGTTTGTGAGGTCAAAGGTCGAAAAACATTGCATCAACCCTCAACCGACGATTGAAAAATTCAGCGTATCTGCGAATTAACTTATCATCACATTGGTCTGAAAACTCCCGAGGTAGCAATTCTGCCTTCATTCGAAGCTCTGTTCTGCTGTTACGGTGTTGAAACTAGTCTTGTATTTGAGACCGGCAGACAGGGTTTTCAACTGTAGACAAAGAATCTGATCTGACAATGTCAGGTTCTAGGTGAGTAGAGTAGTAGTAGTAGTATTTTATTTCGTCAACAATGTCAAAATCAAAATACAACATTTCAAAATTAATTTCCAAGGCATTGTGACGAAGCGACCGTTAGGTCATCGAGTCAGTCACAGCCTTTAAAAAAATATTAAATTACCATTTTTTAAACGAAATTGAGCTGAAGTAGCATACACCGAAAATAAATTAACAAAACTAACAGAGAGGAAAACAAAAACAAAACTCAATTGAATATGTTTAAACCATACTATGGGGGATGGCATGTACCGGTACACAGTATAATTCAAGCCTAACCAACTGGAATAATGGTCTTTTACAGTTAATGTTCTATAGTAGAGTCGTATGTTTCACGAAAAAGGGACTCTAGCTTCGCTTTAAATACTAGTTCGATACATTGAGTGGCATGTAAAATCGTTAGAGTGACTCAGACAGGAAATAAATTACAATAAACTGTGCAGTAATAATTAGAGGTATGACATCATCAAAATTGTCAATTGAAGCCTTGAATTTGAAAATTCTGTAAATACAATCGTGAATTTTAGAGTATCCATTCTTGCTATAATAGTGGTTTTGGTGTTGTTCTGTTGGAAAATAACACAAGAAAACGTTGAAATAAAAATTAATTAACCTCTACTAGACACAAAATCTCGCAAGTTCAAGGTTGTTCAATAGAAATTTTGTCGCATAAAAAAATATTATTTTAGGAGTGTGTTTTAAACATACCGGTATATAACTGAATAGAACTCTATTAAAAACACGCTATGAAAAAGTCATTTAGGGCTTAATGGTTGACAATTAAAATAACCCATGTAAAATGGCCACAGAGCGACTGGCGGAGTAGGGTTAAAACACAGTAATTTCTTGTCCTCCTACCAACAGCGACCGATGGTGTGAGTATGTCACTTGTAGCTATCGATATATTTTTTAAAAAGTTTGCGGGCGAAGCATGTATAGCTGCAGTCTTTTATTTCCTGACTAATTTCATTCCAAATAACCGGACCTTGGAACAATATGGATTTTTGCAAAATCGATGAGTCTGACCTTGGAATAAATAGGTTGTGCTGTGAGTATCTTGTGCCATGATTGTGGATTAAACCTATGTTTTGAAAATAATTCATAAAAGTATTTGGAGAACAGTTTGTTTCGTACGGTACATAAATTTTGCAACTTCATAACGATATAAGTCATTAAGTTTAAGAAGTTTATGTTTATAATAGTACGGTGTTGTATTTTCTTTGTAACTGCTATTGGAAATTATGCGAATTGCTCTGTTTTGCAGTACACTGAGCTTTTTCAGATGCTGTTTTGCCGAACAACCCCATATTATTATACCATAAGACATATGTGAATAAAAGAGACTGTAATAAATTTGTAGAAGAGTTTTTTGTGAGACCAATCCAATCCAATCCAGAGAGAGATTTATTTCGTCAACCAGAAAAACTACAGTCATAATAAGCTATAAATTAAAAACATATAAATTAATGTATATTTACTGATAAACATGGGAAACTTTATCTGGAATCAACAATGGAATAATATGAATTGCTGGATAATACTGAATGATGTTTACGAATATATTTGTTTATTATATGTAACTATGTTCTATGATTATTATTTTTTCATCATTTATTTATTTTTACATAACTGTTATGAATCCACAACGTGGACCTTAAAAAAAACATAATAATAAATAAATAATGGCTATAAAAAATACACTTTTTTCGGAAGGAGCGATACGACCATGCGGTCATCGAAGTCAGCCCCCTCCAAGTTTACGATGATAAGTTCACAGTAAAATATGACTATTAGAAATGGTTAAAGTTCACGAAACAAAATTTGGAAAAACAAACAAACAAAAAAATGAAGTAGGCCTAAATAAAAGTAAATAATTTTTTTCTGTGAAATCAATTTTTAAATGATGAGATTTGTGAAATGAAACAGTTTGGGCAAATAATCAACGATTACACTATTATTTGAAAGTGAGGAGTAAGCCCCACAAATAAAAAAAACAATTTTGTTTATTGGACTACTATACTCAAATCTGCAAATGTAAATTTGGACACATAACAATTGTTCGAATCAGCAAAGAGTCAGCCTTACATGTACGAATAAATTTCAGGAAATAAACAACATGGTACTCATGTAAAAACAATTGTTTGAATCAGCAAAGAGTCAGCCTTACATGTACGAATAAATTTCAGGAAATAAACAACATGGTACTCATGTAAAAACAATTGTTTGAATCAGCAAAGAGTCAGCCTTACATGTACGAATAAATTTCAGGAAATAAACAACATGGTACTCATGTAAAAACAATTGTTCGAATCAGCAAAGAGTCAGCCTTACATGTACGAATAAATTTCAGGAAATAAACAACATGGTACTCATGTAAAAACAATTGTTTAAAGCGAGGAATCAGCCTTATTGGAAATATGAAATCTATCATCAGTCTGTTAGTATTGCGGTACTGCAGTTCAAATTGTACTTTTATGTTTTTATCATCTTTTTAATAAATTAAAGAATTTAGAAAACCTGCAGACCTGTGTTAGCAGCATTGTTAATTGGGGTAGGCCAAGACCCTTGATCATTTCACAATTACAGATTTAAAACAGTGTTTTGATTTGTTCTCGAAAATATAATAAAGGAATTTTGATCAATTTCTGAGATTTCAATTGCTTGAAATGATAATTTATGCAATGTAACTATCACTGTACTCAATTATGTGGAACACACAATAAGAAACTATTGCCATGTCTTCATGTTGTCATAAATTTTTGGCTTATGCTGTAATAAATATGTTCAATATCAAGAGTCATTTCAACACTGTTTTCAAATGTTTCAGCAAAAATCATCATCGTCAAGTCTGTTGCCCTCAGCATCCAGATGCTCCTTTGATTGAAGATTACAGGGCAGGGGATATGGTGTGTCCTGAATGTGGCTTAGTAGTTGGTGACAGAGTGGTGGATGTAGGGTCGGAGTGGCGTACTTTCAGCAATGATAAAGACTCCAAGGTACTCTGAGCTCATGTATTTTATACTTGTATTCTCTTATGTCTGTATGTATAAAATGGCTGATCATATGAAAAATTTTTGTGGTGAAAAATCACCAATTTTTTCTATAAATAGATGTTGAATGCGAAATGATTCGATAGCTATTTTCAGATGTCATGACAGTAATTTCATCAACGAAATATGGAAAACACTTGAAATACAAAGTTACTATTTTTTGAAGCTGGGAAATTGTTTTTGTTTTGAATTATACGATTCCTTGCTTTATCTCTCAATCAAAGTTCAGCGGCTTACCAATGGCACCCGGCAGATAAAAATGAAACGTAACAGAATGCTAAACTTGCTTAATTAGTTTTCAACCAATCTATTTGATCGTGTTCTATATGATTGTATAATTTGATTACAGGATATGTCTCGTGTTGGAGATGCAGAAAACTCACTACTTTCTGGAAGTGACTTGTCAACAATAATTGAGCGACCTTCTGGTCCTGGTGGAGATGATTCAGGTTATTCAGTGTGATTAAATTTCATTCACCCATGTGGGGTATAGGAATATCAATCGTTCCTATGTACAACCTATATGAGAGGTCGGGAACCCATGGCTCGGGGGCCATATATGGCTCTTTTGGTAACGACATATGGATCCCAGAAAAATCTAAGGCTAAGCTCACTATTGTTAAGAGATTTCAAACACTTTTATAGCCAAATTTGCCAATATGTTTGAGAACGCCCAGCACATGTCTATGTTATATAGGAGAATTACCAGACAGACATTGTGACAAAACAAGGGGATTCCGGGACATCTTTCGTGACATCACAAAGCGATAGAATCGCGGAGCAATAGAATAAAGCTTCGTCTGTTTTTACGTACTAGTTACGGTATTTGTCATATTTAAATTAGATTAACAAAGCTAGTTTTTGAAATACTACGGAGATTCCTAAACGGAAGAAGGGTGATGAGTGTCGTAGATTTCAACTTGTGCTGCATGTCAGCAACCGTTTAAATCCTGCAACGACAACAGGTAGCATCAGAAGTCACACTAAATGTATATTGACATTGTATGTTGACTTTTGAGCAAAAATTTTAGGCCTGATTAAGGAAGAAATGCTATATGGCTCGCACAGAAATGCAGTTAAAATATGCACCTTTCATGGCACTCATGACCAAAAAGGTTCTCGACCCCTGACCAATATATTAATTTTTGAATGAAGTGTTTGATTTTAATTATTTCACTTGATTCAGTAAGGTTCAAATACATGTACAACCATTTTTCAGGTTTTGCCAAGTTTTCCAACCGAAAATCAATGAATAGTGCAGACAGAGTATTAATCGGTGCTTTTAGAGAAATAGCAACAATGGCTGACAGAATAAATCTTCCTAAAAACATTGTGGTAAGAAAATTGATAAAAATTTGTTTATGGCTTAGGTTGTCTGATTGTTGACTACTTAACAACCAAAGGAAGTTTCGAAACTGTGATCCATCAAAAGTCCTTGGCTATATTAGTTTACTCGTCCTTCTGGCTCTTGTGCAAATAGGAAACTTTGCCATTGGCAAACCTTAGGTTCAAATCATTTTTATAATAAAAATTTTGGCTCTCATGCTGGCTGTCACTCCTATTTCTGAGGAGTACGATAGATCCATTTTTGATATTATTAAAAAGCACTCTAAGACGATAACCTCACAGCATTATTATTTAGTGACTAGGGATGCGACGAATCCAAAAAGGTTCGGCTCGGCCGAATCCCGAGTATTTGCGCTGGACTCGTGTCCGAGTCCCGAGTCCAATACTTTTACATAGCTCCGAAATAATTACCTAAAGTGATGCTGTTGTTCGCGTATATTCATTCTGTATGATAAGTCTATGTAATTAAAAACGTTGCACATAAACACTATTGCTTTCGAGACAATCATTCGCTGAGCGGCTAGTTTAAATTAGTATAAATAGGTCCTATTCCCCTTCGAAGGAATAAATACTTTGTTACGTAACTCTGATCTACCGCCGCGTCGACTGCTGACGACGCCGCGCTCGTGTCCTGTCACGATAAATATGGGTCATAACCCACACGTTTGGAACAAATTTTTTATGGGAAATTTTTACTTATAAGTTATCTTTTTTAATCGGCGCTGATACAGACGCCCATCTCCGTGATAATTGAGATCCTAATAAAGAATTGCCAACTGTGGTAGCATCGAATAAATGTATCTTATAAATATATCATAACAAAATATCTAGCTATTCTTCGTTTGAAAACCATCAATAGCGACTGTCGAATCCGCGGAATTTAGGAATGTGTAATTGTTGATTATAATTTAATAAGAGAGACGCAAAAGGCGAAATGTGTTATATGCTAAGTTACGGCTGTCTGTTCAAACTCATGGTCATGACGCAATCATTTTCATTAATACAAATAACGGCGCTTTGAAAAGCAAAATCGAATTTATTAACATTTTGTACTCACACTTCTGCCTGAAATATAAAAACGAAACTTCGATGTCCGGCGTTGCGTGAGAGCTGATAGTGAAAAAAGGTGCTTTAAAAATATAGTTTACTAACAATAATTAGGATGTCGGTCGCCGAAACAATCGCGGTGACAAAAAAACAATTCGCGATTGTGATAAAATTACGGATAAGAAGTAAAGGCGCCGCTTTTTTATCTCCAGTCTTCTAGTAATTTTCTACTATCGGTAAATGAAAAGAAATAGTCGAATTAATCGATCAGGAAAAATTCGATTTTGCCCGTCACTAATCGCGGTGTATGTAAATACTTATTAAATAAAAATAAAAAGTCGGCCCGATTAACATTCAATTACCACGAGTAATAGTTTTCAAATTTATGCACATTTAATCGATGCGACTTGTGAGATTGTTTTTGTACATATATACGATTGTAACGCCACTGACATCTGCGAGTTGTACTTTTTTCTCAAACAAAAGTACCGTAATTTTCACTATTTTATCGTTTTATTTCTCACATTTGTTTCTTTCCGGAAATGGCGACATCATTTGTGGAACGATAAAAGGCGAACAGTGCGACATGGTTACCGCTGATTACGGATTAATCACTGTTCGAGGATTATCAAGTATATGCTTGAAATAGAATGTGGTAAACATTCACTAAACGACGTCTGGCAATGGAAGGCAAGCTACACGCAACACTGGAATTTATTCAGCTGACTTTCGCTGACATTTTTTTGTTCTTACGGCGTCGTGAATTTGTAGTTTTGGCGCCTAGTTTTAATTTCACCGTAGAGAAAATAGGCTGGACAGTCTCGTGGCAAAACAGAACGAAAAAGTTGAATTTCTCGTCCAATCCGCCACCAGTCTGCGCTTGACTATCGCGTGACGTATGATATCCCGGACTCGGGTAAAATCATCAAAGACTCGGGCCGAATCCGAGTATCAAATTACCAGAGATTCGGCCACGAATCCGAGCACGAGTCCGAATCTTGTCGCATCCCTATATATTTACTAGTAAATTTTAATGTTAATTTCGTATCTGGATTCTCAGGATCGTTCAAATAAACTTTTCAAGCAAGTTTATGAATCAAAAAGCTTAAAAGGTCGAGCGAATGATGCCATTTCAGCTGCATGTTTGTATATTGCCTGCAGACAAGAAGGTGTTCCAAGAACATTCAAAGAAGTGAGTGTGATTTTCACTTCACATAGCCAATTGATGCAATAAAGTGAAATGCAATCTATATATTTTGTTCTCAGATATGTGCAATATCGAGAATCTCAAAAAAAGAAATTGGAAGATGTTTCAAATTAATTGTGAAAAATTTGGAAACAAGTGTTGATGTTATTACTTCTGGAGATTTTATGGTAAGTATTCAAATTTCACTAGCGTTAACATACCTAATCCAAAGTTCATTCCTACCCATCAAACTCGGTGGGTACAAGCAGCTAGCAATACAAACATTTTAAACTATCCTACTTCAAATATTAAGTAACAATTTAATGTATGACAAGATCCTAGCTAGACCAACTGTCCTGTATATATATCATATGAGTTAATTTCAACTTAATTATGTAAATTTGCGATATTGCTAGTAAATTCAGCACTAGGCAAATTTAACAAATCTATCCCATAACCTTATACTTTCCTATTTTAGTCGCGCTTCTGCTCGAACTTGGATTTGCCCAATTCAGTACAAAAAGCTGCTACATATATTGCCAGAAAAGCAGTTGATATTGATCTTGTTGCTGGAAAAAGTCCGATTTCAGTTGCAGCTGCTGCAATTTATATGGCTTCACAGGCATCTGCAGAGAGAAAATCTCAAAAAGGTGGAGTACAAATTAATTTTTTCGGTCTGTTCTATTTTTATTTCAGATTGTTTACCGGGCACTTGGTAGCTATATAACTATTTAAAGTGCTAAGCTAAGCTGTACCTTTTCTAAAAAGTGCTTTCCGACTAAGGATGGGTCTCGGAACTAAAAAGACATTCATTTTGGTATTTGTAGGAAATTCAGGAAACCAAGTGCAGCTACCAGAAAGTATTAGTTCAGTATATTTTACCTTAAAAAATATAGTGAATCAAGCCTTGTTGGATTACTTTTGCTCTGTCTTGTTCAAGTCATTCTTTCATTTTAGTACAGTTTTTTTATGATTTGCTTAATGTGGTAACCATTTAATTGAGTTATTGATTTTGTGGGATTACAAAGCTGCCAAATTTTTATTTGATCAATTTTTACACTTTCCACAACCTGATTTTTTTTTTTTAGAAATTAGTGAAATAGCTGGTGTGGCAGAAGTCACAATACGACAATCTTACAAGTTGATGCATCCAAAGGCAGCGCAACTTTTTCCACCAGATTTTAAATTTTATATACCTGTCGAAGAGTTGCCGACATTCTGAGATACTCCACACCAACCCATTTAATTTATTTTTAACATTTATTCAACCAGAGGAACTCTGAAAACTTTCAGTCTTCAACCGCAAAATATGGTAGTTCGTTTCACTGCATATTATCATTTTTAGGAGATGCAGGCATTTTGTGAGGAATGATTACATATCTCGTTTCTTGTCCTGGTATGGTATTCCATTAGTCTTTGTCCGCTATTCACAGTATGTAGTCTTAGTGGTTTATTTTTTGAGTTTTTATTTTATCTTGATCATATTCGAAATAGGAATCACTAATGTTGTACAGTGTGCAGTAGTGGTCTTAATCTGTAGATAATAACAAAATCTCATTCAGCACTACATTGGATAGTACCAACTACCAATGTTTTTTTTTTAATTGACCACCAGCCAGCATGTCGAAATATTCATTTTGTAGTTACTGTGTTGTTCTATTATTCAGTAATTAGTACTTTTATTTTTTCATCATACTGAAAATACACATTATGTGAACAATGTAATGGAGAAGTGTTAATAGGGTATTTTAGCGTTGGAAGGGAGACTATAAACCAATACTGTTATTAAAAAGTTAAAAGCAAAAGTACAAAAATACGACTACGGACTCTTGAATTGCATATTATGGTATTTTTATGCCTGCTACAGCATCCTTTCATTATACGCAAACGCAGCCACTAGCGCAAGGGTATTGAGAAATGATTGGGATTGGGATGATTTACGTCTCGCGTAACCTCTACTTGTTGGGAAGTCTGATGAGCAGATTCTTTACAGATTACCAGCTTGAGTGTCTTTGTATAAATCCAATGTTTGTGAACGGAGCATAACACATTTAACCTACTGTAAGTCTAACTGTTAGAAATGATCTTAATACAACAAACATGTTTGATAAATGGCATGTCCCAATACTACTGATAGTCATATTAGCCTTTTCGCGTGACTTCTGTATCTGAATGGATCCGGACTCGACAACTACTACAAGCAGGGACGTGCCAAATTTTTTTGCTGTCCGGAGCGAGTTTCTGATAATGGTGCTTCTCATCCCTAACTTCAAAAATAATTTGGGAAATGAAGAGATTATAGATTATATCGTTATACTTAAGAATAAATAAATGAAGGGTCGAGTAAGATATTAAGTAAATCATCAAACTAAGCAACAAACTCACATATAGAGGACTTGCACGGGTCACGTGACTTTGTTTACTGGACGGCAAAAAAACAAAAACGTCCATTTGGCTCCTGTCAGTTGCAAGTCGGATTATACGTTTCCGTTTTGTTTGGCTGTTGAAAATGGGTATTTCGTATGGTTCCGTTGGCTGTACGTATAGTATAGACCAGGGCTACTCAACTGGCGGACCGCGGTCCGAATCCGGACCTTTCGAGTATTGGATTTGGACCGCACCTAATTATTTATTTTGGATCATTAGCCCCACTTTTTGAATTTCCTATTATAAAATGACTTTCATAGTTTTGAATATATACGAAAAGAACTATAACACCATAATGAACAATTTTAATATGCTACTAATCATTAGTCGGTCGAGGAAGTGCTCGTTTAAGGATGCCGAAATATCATTTATGAAAAGACCGAACCCAAATAATTTTGAAGTTTTGTTTGCGGACCTTTCGATAAAAATAGTTGAGTAGCCCTGGTATAGACAACAAAATGGATCTTCAGTTATATTCCTCTATTTTCAAAAGATCCGGAACGTCGCGCAATGTGGATATCATCTATCTGTCTTTTGGCAGGACTGCTTGGTGTCAAGTCCAGAAGTCATCTCGCTTGTGTTTCACTGTTTGCGGAGAGCACTTCGTTGATGGTGAGTGATAATGTGCCGTTATCAATTTCTTCAAATATTCATAAGCTCCCTGATTTCAATGGAAAGCAGATGACAAACTACTGGCATTGGTAGGCCTACTTGCAGACTTGACTTGTGTAAGGAATTAATCATCAATTGCCATAAGGTATTGTTTCCTTAGTTAACAGGTAATCTATTACTAAGTGTGAAAGGTTGAATAGATAACCAAAGTTTAACCCAGTGCTCATGCAAAAAATAACCAGAATTCAATTGAATTCGCCATCTAGGAATACGCTCGCCACCGCATCTCTGATCACCCTGGTAGTTTCACAAGTTCCAATTCCATGCGGGGATAGTTATGCGAGAGGATTGCAACTCTCCTCCCACTGAGGGTGGTTCACACGGCCGCTGGTCGATTACGACATCCCCCACAATCAAGTTCATGGCGGCGATCAATCATCCTCATTATCATGAGGCGAGATGACGATGAAGAGCATTTCTTTAACGATATCGTACATGCTCGACCTGATGCCAAAAAAATTGTAAACAATTTTTTGCCCAATTGCTTTTGTGCTGATTAGACGCTGATTAGAATTAATCACCTCAAGTTTTATCGTTTTCTTTTTTAACAAAACAATACCGCGACCATTATCATAGCTAAAATCGTTACCTACAAATTCACAATTTTATTTACGAAATTTGCAAATTCAACACTTCACTTGACGATTTTGATGATGCCACGCCCTAATTATTACTGCAAAAAAAGCTTCAAAATGCAACGAATGTAATCAACTCCGATGATGACTTCATTGATGGTCGAGTATAATGTTCACATTTTTGAAACATTATTTGGTCAAGAATGGCTTGGATCACTAAAAATACACGGCGAGATAAAGTCTATTAAAAGGGAATATGGCCTGTCATTTCTTATCTGGTTACAAGTTTTTTATACCGATTTTCCAAAACTCTGACTCGTCGTTTTCAAATTGACTTTATTTATATTATTCGAATGACGTCATAAGACTTCGAAAAAGCAATTTTTCGCGGAACACCGGTTGAAAATCACTGTTCTATACCATACGTACAGCCAACGGAACAATACGAAATAACCATTTTCAACAGCCAAACAAAACGGAAACGTATAATCCGACTTGCAACTGACAGGAGCCAAATGGACGTTTTTGTTTTTTTGCCGTCCAGTAAACAAAGTCACGTGACCCATGCAAGTCCTCTATATAAGATCGAATTCATTTATTAACAAAAAAGAAGTCACTTATTTCTATGTCCAATCGCCAACAAATGACTGAACGACATCTCTTTCACCTCGCTCATCAAGAATTTCGTTTCGACGCTAATCAAAGATAAACTCGACAAGCGCTAATTTGACATCGCAGACCTCAAATATGTTTTATTTGTTTCAACTTTGAGAAAGATAGTTCGCGACTAGCGATATGCAATGTAAGAAGTTGGAAAAATATCCCAGTCAAGCTCAACCAATAAAGCAAGAAAATCTTTAGCACAGTGGTTCTCCACCAGGGGTTCGGTGGTCCGCGAAGCATTTCCGGGGGGTCCGCGATTAAATTAAGATTTTAGGAAATTATTTGCAGTTTATTATCGTTTTTTTTGTAACACGCTCGGGCATTTGCTGCCTATGACAATAGCCTACAAAAACTATTTTGATTTATCTCCCGTAGACCTATTGTGACAAAGACGAGTTCTGACATCACAATGATAAATACGAGAACGCAACTACAGTGATTTCAGGGGCATGTGGTCACTGGTCACGTTCTTATTTGAAGCAATGTTTAATGTCATTGTTTGAAGCGAACTATCTAGTTTTTCTACATCCAACGTGTAACAAAGAAGATTGTGTTGCTTACTAAAACTTAACAAGCATGGCAAAATCAGGAAAGTACTTTTAAAGTTATCTTTGAAATGGGGTTTACCTCAGTGTGAGAGGATGGCAAGGAAAAACCGCAATGCGTTTTATGTTATGCTGCCCTCAGCAACGAAGCCATCAAAGCTTAAGCGTCACTTGCAGCAGACACACCCATAGCATACCGAAGTGAAGTGACAAAAATTATGCGCAGGTGAAAGACGTTGACATTAGTTCTGATTGTTCAATTTGTTACAACCCCATTTGTGCGAATCTGGTTTTTCTGATCCTATAAGCATCAAATCCGTCTCAAGGTTGACAGTGACATTCGTCTTGCTATATCAAAGAATAATATCAGGAACCTCGTCAGACAAGCGCGAGATTCCCATTGATTGTATAATAAAAAGCTTGGCCATTCTTGTCTGTGGTTTATTTCTGCATTCCATAAAATGTCGTAAAACATCATACAACCCAACACGTTTAGTTTTTGGAATGACGTACAGAGGATCCGCGAGAGCAAAAAGGCGCCGGAAGGGGGCCACGAGCCATAAAAGGTTGGGAACCACTGCTTTAGCATATTTAGGAAAATCTCCGTTTCCACTTCACAAAAGTGACGTAACAGTAGGCCTACACGTTTTAGCGGCCGCACAGCCAGATTTTCTGGCATGGTTGTAAACATTAACCCGTTTTGGCGTTTATAACTCAATGATTATCCTGTCTTCTTATATAGTCTAATTGCAGTAATGATAAATTAGTCCAAAAATAGTAGTGTCAGACAAGGTTCCCTCTAAGGTGAGCAATTGCGCAGTACCACCAGACCATTTGCGCAGTAAAATCTCATTCTCGCGCATATTATGTAACATTACGATTTCAAAGCGTGGCTCGCCACACTTTCTAACCTAACGCCTCGCTAGAATGCCCGTTTCATGTTTCACAAGTATTTTTGTTACCACTGTTCATTGTGATGTCACACACGTGTCTGCTATGTCCAAGTTCAAAAGTTCCCGGATTTCTCCTGAATCCTATGGAAAGAGCTATTTTGAGCCAGACTTACAATGCCAGCGCGGGCCGGTGCCCGTGGGCCAGTAATGAACAAAGTGTATAACCATTACAAATTTACGAAAACAAGGAAAAGCTTTTTGAGTTAAATGTGAACGTACTTTGTTCGCATTCTGATAACATATTGTTGTTGTAATAGTTCATAAGGTTTGTAAATCAGTTAGGACTAGGGTTGGGACCCCGGGAAATCCCGGCATTTGAACTGTTTTTCTCAATCCCGATCCTGCAATTATTTCCTAAAAATCCCGGGATTTTAAAGCTTTGTTATCCACATATATTTATTCTCACAAATGGTAGATTATACGACTTCATTTAATACTTATTTTGTAAAAATGTCATCCACGCTTACAGTTTAAGTCATAAATATCCGCATTCCGGCATCAGAAATGATAATATTTTTAGCTTAAAATTGGGACAGTTAATTTACAAACGGTGACGTGACAAGAAAGATCGAAGCCGACCCAAAAGATAAAAATCGGAATAAAATCCCGAATTCAACCCGATATTCGACAATTCAATCAATTATTCGATTCGATGAAAATATACTGTTTTGCCCACCCTTGCGATCTGTAATCACGCCAGTAATCTGGCGAAACGCGTGGTAGTCCAAAGTTTCCAAACACTGATGCATTGAAACTTGACGAAACCTTCATAAATTTGGTAAATTGCACTACTTCACGAAAGCGTGGTAGAATTGACGATTATTTCATATCTCGAACACAAAAACGGTTATGTTTTCGGGTAGTTTCTGCGGTCTGAACAGTCGAATAAGCTTTTCGACATAGTAAATGCTATGATCTTTGTTTGCCATCAAATTATGCTCGGGCCTTGCACGAAATTCATAACGTGAAAAGATAGTCCAGCGGTGACAATTGTTTATAAAAACTTTAATCTATTTAGTGTTTTTAGCGATAATAATTAATACTATTGAATGATTTTGGCAATGGGAGAAACATATTGCATTGTAACAAAAATGAATTAAGTTGTAAAAAAGTGAGCATACATGTGATAATAATAAGGGCGTAACGTGGTTACGTGGAACGGGGAAGGGCGAGCAAAATCGAAGCGCGTGATCCGCGGTGCGTTTGAAGACCACGTTGTAATATCGGTAATTATTAACCATTTATTCGCTTTGGACTATCGCACTCTTTATGAGTAGAAAATGTTCGTGTTTTGTGATAGGTGTCTGCGAATATTTAAAGAGCTGAATAGTGTGCCGCGACATGAAAAAAAAGGTTGGGAACCACTGACTTAGATGCTCTAATATTTCTGCGTCGATATTACATGAAATAAATACGTGATTTTATTGCCAAGCAAGTTGTTTCAATCTTTCACTTAATCCACAAAAATCCAGGGATTATACGGTTCAATCACGGGATATCCCGATACCAGGATTTCAAAAACTGGCTCCGAAATCTCAACCCTAGTTGGGACCTCTTCTCAGCCTTAAAATATTCATGCTCTCGCAATGTAATATTTTCTTAGAGGGAACGCTGACAGACTAGGCTAAATTTTCTACCGGTGCTTTTAAATAACAGGGTTGAATGTTTGAAACATATAAACCAGTTTAAGGCACTAACTCGCATCCCCCCCCCCCCCCCCCATATGTTGCAATTGTAATATATAGAAAGAGTTCTTCTGGGGTCAATGGTCAGGGAAACATCCATTGTTTACTCACCATCACCACAGCTAGTCACACAAAACTATACATGTAATGTCAGCTTTCAATTAAATAATAAAGTCACATATATATATAAAACCAAATATGTGGAATAATGCCAACTCCACAGTTTGATTCTGCTGCTCTCTAAAGCGCATACTGCCCCTTTTGCCCCCCTCTAGGCACGCCACTGACTACAAGAAAATAATTTAGAAGCATTATTTAAAATACTTCAACGACTTTCAAAAATCACTATAAAAGAACCCCGACTATCAAGAGCTGAGCCTGGAATACTTCAAAAAATATTCTAGTAAATCTTAACGTGAGATCAAGTAAACCGCGGAACGATTATTCCATGCCGAAAACCGATCGTATTTTTTCGTCGCAATCTGTTTTTAGATATAAATAATCGTTTATTCATTATTTGGTCACGATTATTTCCAAACAAATTTATTTATCGTCGCATATAAAACGCATGGTTATTATTTTCTTGTCATTGTTGTAAACTGCTTGTCTGAGGAAGTCTGATTTTGGTCAGACGAAACGTTGGTGCGCAGCAGGACTCTTGAATTGCATATTATAGTTTTGATTGATTCAGATTGCTTATATATCTCAAATCACTTTATTACGATATCTCCAATACCCACCAATCAATGTAGTTTTTCATTGTTTTTTTTACTATCGTCGTCACATTGCATTCCACACGATATATTATTTTATTCGTATTAGATTAAATTGGCCATTAGCCTAAGTTTTAACAGGCCGAAAGTTCAGTACATTCGAATCGTTTTGTGTGTTTACTTCTAATCCAAGCCTCGTTTCACAAGGTTTGTGTTTGTTGTGATTTTTTTTTTGTGAGTAGCCTACATTCTGGCGAGTGGGCACATGATATTTCTCATGTTTTAAACGTTTAAAGGTTTTGCTCGTTCTCCAGAATTTTCCATTTTTAATATGCGTGTATCGTCTATCTATCTAGGCCTATCTATCAAAGAAACAATACATGGCGAAACAAACAACTATACGGAAAATCAGGAAGTGGGCAAAATCTAATGCTGCTGATACGTTCCCACTTACACCAAACAAATAGCAACCAAAACATCATTGGATATACCGGCTAAATCATTGAAAATACTGACACTGAACACCTCAGACGTATTAAAATTTGAAACAAATACATGTTTTTTGGTGCCCAACTGACTATTTTATTCAATTAGGACATTCGATTATAGACTGGAGGCTTAAAGTGTCATTACCATTGAAAAACTATTTCGGGATCACCAAATAAGGAATCTCATTTTATTCATCTCTTTGGGACGCATGTGTTCAAGGAATAAATCTTACAGCAATAAAAAACCCATCATGCATTGTTTAAATTGTTTTCTGTACCCATATCTCTCTCAGAATCGGATCATACATGTCCACGTACTTCAAGTTCGGCGGCCGCCTCCTAGGAACGCAAGAATTTCTATAGGGAAATAACTACGCACTCTACGTTGATTTATTTGACTTTTTTGTATACCAACGCAATACTTTGCACATTTATAGTGTTGTATACTACATCCATGCGTCCCTCGGCCGACTTTTGAGACCATGATACAACTGACAAGCTGAAATAAATCCCCATCTTTACTCTATAGTGGAAATCGAAGCTTTCCTCGTGTTTAAGTATAACACGAACTAGTCACCGTTATACACGGTCTGTCCTGTGTCTTTACCATAAGCATTCACATTTTATGGCCTCAGGGGGTAGGGCTAGGCAACAAAGTGTGCAAATTAAAAAATAAATAAATTTGGTTACATTCTACAATGACTTATAACTATGATGGTAATGTTATTTTGCTTCACAAAGAGATTATTTTCCAAAGAATTCAGCACTCTCGGATTAGACCTGAACATATTGTGCATATATCCAACATTTACCATACCAATTACTTCGACATTGTGTTCGACTGATTGGGTTATGCCAGTTAGGTTTACTCACCCATCCTTTGTAGTTTCGAACTACTTATACGCGTGACTTATTTTCACCATTATTTCTGCAGAACTCGTTGAAGCGTCATGCAAAAACAAGTAGTGGACAGTCGTAGTAGTGATGGTAATGGGAAACGCCACAAAAAATGTAAGTGCTAGTGTGAATTTTTACAATAATAAAGGCAAACAGGAGAAGCAATCAAGTAGTCTAGTCGCGAATTATCGGAGGGTTTCATCCGCCACTCTTCGATGCACTAATTTAAAAAGTTCATTTGGTATAAAATTAAGAGAAGGAGCTTATCGGAAATGCATGGAATTCAAAAAACGCTGTTATCTTTCTGACTTCGACGTCAATGTAAAAGTGGCATCAGAAAAAAATGTGATCCTATAACTTAACCCTAACCATTCATTCAGTCTATCCAAGTTGCCAAATATAATATAGACTGTCTTCATAATTGGGGTTGAAAGAAGTATATAAGCCCATTCTATATCTGTGAACATTTTGTAATTTTAATTGAAAGTGGTCGACCGAAAATATATATAAATGCTGTTTCAATGTAGCCGACCTGAGAATATCGATTCAAAAACTTTCCAGCTTATTTATTAGAACAATTTGTATAATCAGTATACACGTAACATCCTATTTAATGTGACACGCCGAAGCGCTCGAAGTTCTTCGAAAAGCTTTATCAGTACGCTTTCGAAAAATAATGGTGAAATGGAATTCAGAATTACTATTTTAATCGCTATATCAGTTTGTGCGAGATGTGAAATGCAAGCGAGTGAAACTTATACGCACTCTGCTAGTCTGAGATCCGGAAATATAAAACTGTATTGGAAATTCAACCAGACGGATATTATTCTTGAGGTGAGTAAATTTCTCAAGATATATCATTTTGGATAACCAATTGACGGAGGAAGTGAATTCAATTTTAAAGCAATTTCACCATTTTTCTCATTTTTTTTTATATATTTGATAGGTTGTGGGACAGACAACTGGATGGATCGGAATTGGTTTTTCACCAAATGGAGCTATGAAATCTGCAGATATTTTTGTCGGATGGGTAAAGAATGGAACGGTCAGAGTAACGGTTAGCAATCTAAATTAGTTATAAGAAACCATGTGGAAGAACTGCAATTGAGTTACTGTACTTAGTCGAGGAATGAATGTTTCACAAAAGTACTGTGACTCATTATATATATATGATTTCTTCTACCAATCATGTTTATCGTCCCATTTATTTGAAGCTCTTTGAAGTATAGTTACGTGATACATATATGAATCGAACGGTGACCGTACATTTGAACCCATGTGTATATCCACGGGTTCAATCTATATGCGGGTGCTAAAACCCATGGGTTAGGGTTAGTATGGGTTCAACTATCCGTAAAACAAAAAAAAATTCATAGGTACAATAGCATACAGGTGCAATTGTCATGGGTTCAAATGTACGTGGGTTCAAATGTAATGGAACCGAATCGAACTGCGATCCAGAATCACAAACAATATTCGAAGAAATACAACTGAGACACCTCGCAAGTCATTGGGCTTACATGCTATTATTTTTGTTATAAAGGATAGACATGGCACTGACAACACCTTTCCTCCTCTTGATCCTGAACAAGACATCAACGTATTAGCAGGAGCAGAGTGTGATGGTTGGACAATGTTCAAATTCTCTCGACAACTTGCTGCTTGTGAGACAGAATATGACAGAGAAATCACGGTATTTTACTATTAAACTTGCACACGGGAGAATACAACTTTGATCTCTACATGAACGCAATTCATTTATATTTCACAAATGGGTACTCCCGTGGTGTGTGTACCAGGTTAGGCCATAATTTGAATCCGATTTCCCTTATTTTAGTTCTGTTACGAGTTCGGGGGCTGTCTGTGTTAGCCAAGTGAATATACCCCCTGCCCTGAAGCCTTTCAGTCCTTTTACACAACTTGGTGTAAAGTAGGCGAAAAAAAACACGCCTTACCTCCTTATTGGTTGGTACACATACTTCTGGAGCGCACACAGTTGTTAGTTTTCATTTATGTCCAAGCCATTCCAATACATTCCGGCGCATCAGCATAACATATTATGCGTTATTGCGACTTCGTGGAATTTGCTTCAAAATTTATCGCGTTTGTATTTATTATATGTTTCTTATTATATGTAGGATTAAAATATTATACCCTTATATACCCATACATGTTATGATTGCTTCGTAGCAAAGCACTTAACGGTTGATTTGGGCGTATGGTGATAGCGATCCAGCTGGAAATGATATTGTTCCATATGATTATCATGGAACAAAAAGAGGTGAGTCCATTTAAAGCTGAAATATAAGCTGTATAGCGATTATGAAACGCACAAAAACAACATACAGTTGATTCAAGTAATTAATATAATTTAATTTATGTATTCAATCATGTGCTTTTCATATATTGAAGCCAAAAGAAAATTAAACATATCTATCTCTATTAAATCTTGATACGCTACCAAATTTCTGCTGGGTATCAGAAAAATAACCATCGTAATTGTTAAATTCGTGAGAAACATTTTTGCTACCAATTACTGTCAAAGATGAAGTGACGCGTTTGAACAGTGGATAACAACAATGTTTGCGTCACAACTAATAGGTTTCGAATTACAACGCAAGCTCAGGTCAACTAGGGTGTAACAAAGTGGTTTATGTCTAACTGTGATATTCCGGTGTTCATATAAAAAGAGAGTATATCGAAAGAGCAAATCTATTGATGCCAAAGTTTTCGCTTGTCAATTAGCAAGTTATTATCTACGCCACTTCATATTATTTTATTTCCTTTAAGTTATCTGGTCTAAATGAAGTCAAGTTGTTCATCTTCAGTGTCAATTACCCGCTGGCACGCATTTAAATAAATACACTTGTTTGATTGTCAAAAAATAAATGAACTATTCTTTATCTAAATTTTTAAAAAGATTTACATAGTCAACTTTTCTCAATTTATATAACAGTAAATTTTATTAATTTGAGTATATATATATATAAATATTATTTTTATTCACTTTAACAATAGGACTTGTTACGTTACTTTAGGTGCAGAAAGCATGTACTTTCTACAGTCTCCAGAACGGCCTACGGATCTTCCAGTCGGACCGGTATATGAAACATTTGATATACTCGTTTCGGATTTCAAAATACCTGCGAATGATACATACTATAACTGCAAACTATTCAAACTTCCCGCATTTACGAAAAAGCATCACATAGTGAAGGTTGGTATTATTTTGAATGCCGTGCAGTCACTTATATATATGCTTTCTGTGAATTGGTCTAATTGTTTTATCAGATTTAATATAGATTTGTGCTAGTCATTTTAATTTCACGTGGTTGTTGCAAATGAATGTTATACAAGCCATAAAGCCAATCATCAAAATAAAGATGTGATTTTCGAAAAAGGTATTTGTGACTCAAACCCATGGGATGGGAAATTCTAATGAAATATCTGAATTCTGACTCTAGAGTTGGCTTCGATATCATTTCCATATCTGTTGAAAAAATAATTCCTTACCTCGAAAATTGAAAATTTCAACTTGGCAAGCAGAATCCGACTGCCACATCAGCAGAAAAGCTACGGATAGCGACGTTTTTGATAACCCATCTCGATATAACTAGTTATTGCCACCATAAAAACTTATGGTTATTATCGTTCTCATTCGGCAAGACGGGGAATATCACTGTTTTTTCAACTTGTACCCATTTTCGCCCAAAAACAGGTACTCCGTTAGTATGTGAATCAAGATATCGGTAACCGGAACGTAGTATGTGTACCAGATTAGGGTTAGGTCCTAATTTTAGGCACAAATACTACGGGAGTCACTTGGCTAGTCCCCGAACTCGTAATATAACTGAAATAGGGAAAATTGGAATAGAATTATGGCCTAACACTAATCTGGTACACAATTTACGTTCCGGTGTCTGCCATCTTGGTTCGCATACTACAGGAGTACCAAAAACAAGCCATTTTTATCATTTTCAACCTACCAATACGACCTCTTAATTTTAAAACAAATACTTCTTTGCACTCATATTTGCATCAATTTTTATTACACGGGTTTTTTCAATAATTTTAACATATTTCATGGCATTCTCATATTTAGTTTGAACCAGTAATTCAAAAAGGAAATGAGCTTAATGTTCACCATATGTTGCTTTATCGTTGTGGAGATGTTCTGAAGGTAAAGTACTTGCGTTAATTGTTGTTCAAAAGATGAAAAACATCTGCCCTCTCCAAATCAAATAGACACTTGAGTTTCAATGCTAACAAGCGGAGAATGCAACCGCTGCTTCGGTGAACTCATTCAACGAAATTTCCACGTCTAACCATTTCATACAACTTCCAACTATACAGTCATTAAAATGTAGTGCCAGAGGTTCCACGTTATGAATTAATGTCCTGAATCAGCGAAACGAACAAACGAACGAACAAAGTCCAAGACACAAACTAGTTTCAGAATCTATCTATGAAAGTTTCTAAAATTTCGCTTGCCCTCAACCAAAGCAAAGTAGTTTATTGGTAATTTGAACGAGCACCGACATATATAATGCTGTATAATCATTATTGAGACAGAAAATACATATTGTTGAAATTGCTCCGAAACATATCAAATCAACACCTTCAGGAGGACAGTTAGGGAGTTGAATTCTATAAGGCATATTAAGTTGTTTAAATTTTTTAAATATCGCGTTTCCGTAATGGTATTAAAGAAGACAGACACTTTGCATTCTTGTTGCTGTAAAGTTATATGTATTTTGTGCCTGTGTTAAAAAATATATTTCGAATTTACTCATTCTCAGAATAAAACAGATCTTGGAGTGGATGAACGTTGTTATAGTCCTAATATGGAACATTTTGAAACCTGCACCGTCGTTATAGCTATTTGGGCAATTGGTGGTCAGGTAAGTTAGGTTGTTGTGTTTGCATCACCATAGTTTTGAAATCAAGAAAATAAGTATATATAATTCTTAATAATGGAAATAGATAATATCTGCATTGCTTCAGACTCAAAGATTGCAATGTAATTTAGTTTGCGTTTAAATTTCAACTAGACTATTCCAGTCTTGTCATTATGGATTGACTAAAATAAAGCAAAGTGTGGCTTTTTATAGATACATCATCACTTTTCATTTCTTAAATACAATATTTTTCTTCACCAGGCTGTGGTTTATCCCTACGAAGCAGGGTTTTCTGTTGGTGGAGAAAATGATCCAATATATATACAACTGGAAACACATTACGATAATCCTAATCTGGAGTCAGGTTAGCGAAAAAACGCTATGAATAAATAATGTTGAATTTGTATTTCTTATTTTGACATGTTTATATTCGCTTGCCATTTAATTGTCAAAATAATTGTTAAACTTCATTTAATCGGGTCTACAATTTTCGGATTAGGCCATCAGCGATATAGTCTCTACCTCTCAAACTAAGTGAAAAGATGGGCATGTCAATGTTAAGTAGGTTTAATGACTTCGCTAAGCAAACAAATATTTATGTTGATTAAAAAAGGTATTACTAATAGCTCCTATAATACATTACCGGGCACTCTACTCATAGAAAAGGAATGCGGCACATCTTTCCAAAATGTGGAATATGGTAAGCCTAAATTATTTACTGAACTCGTTTTTAAACATACCTACTATACAAACTACTGTGACGGACCGAATTCTATTGGTCTCCAAGAATGATGTAACAATGCCATCAAATCGAGAGTAAATTCGATCGCCACTGTTTTACTGCCAAGCGCATGCTACAAATCCAACACACTGAGATGCAATATTTTCATAGGAGTCATCGACAATTCTGGTCTCCGTTTCACCTACACTTCAACTTTGAGAAAATATGACATAGGTGTTTTGGAGACTGGATCCGCAGTGTTTGGGCTTGACCACATCATACCACCTGGAGCTGAGACTTTTACAAGCATATCACACTGTACACCAGACTGCATTGAAAACGTATGTAACTATATGCGTTCTACTAATATCAATATCAACTAAAATAGTCATTCAGTGTATGCTTAAATAGGACGAAAAATGAACTCGAAAAAAAAGGTTAAAAAAATTCATAAAATTAACAAAGTGAATAATAATTGCACGATGCCTTGTTCTTATAACATGAATTGATATATAATATTGCTGTCATGGTCAAGTTTATTTTTCCACCCAGTAAAAAAATAACATTCACAGTTCAAAAAAATATCTATAGCAGCGGCACCCAAGGTTCGAGTATCTAATTAAACATTTTAAGTTCTAACATTTTGGTTATTAATCAGATTACTGTTTTTATTGATGAGCGAGGCTTTGGTAGTCAAACTACTGAAAATAATGAGTTTTTTATAATTTTAAGTGTGAGATTGAATTTTAAAAGTATATATGATATGAGGTATATAAATAGGAGCTTAAGATGAAAATACTGATTTAATGCCAATTGTCCCCTTCACTGGCGATAACTATATATAAAAAATTTCTTTAAATAAACTCGTCAGATTACCATTTCTCACACAGAGAATGACAGATTCTGGTGTTGAAAACATCACTATATTCAATGTCGTCCTTCATTCACATCTTGCTGGACGAAAGTTAAGACTGAGACATATTAGGTATGTTTCAGGAAACAGATGAATATATCTATCATCTATCTATCTATATCAATATGTTGTTGATGTTGCTATGTAACTTTTACTCTATATTACAATGGTATTTGGTATTTTGAAACTTTTTTCTAAAAATAATACAAATTTATTCATCAGAAACGGGGTTGAACTACCTTACCTCGCTATGGATAATAATTATGACTTCAACTATCAAGATTCTCGAGCTTTGCATCCACCCGTGGTTGTGAAAAACACAGACTCTTTTCAGATGGAATGTGTTTATAACACCGAAGGCCGAGATACAATCACTGAGGTAATTTATCGACAAGCATAGTACAACGTAGAGTATATAGCTTACAAATTGATGTAGAAAATGTGGTTTGAATGTTATATTGTCAATACCGATATATCTCATTTCTCCTTACTGTTACTAAACAGTCATCACCTAGGCCTAGGACAAAGAGACATAGGTCAGCGGTCATAAAGATCTGTAAATTGTCATTTGTTTAATTCGTTTGTATAGACCAGCGTTTCCCAAACTGTGTTCCGCGGAACACTATTGTTCCGCGAGCGTCTTTCGAGTGTTCCGTGGAGAAGGAATCAAAAATATCGCCATTGCGATCTAGGGATCGTGAAGTTGTCGCCAAACTGACCGTTCAATATCGCGTTATCGTCGGCCTAAAGCGGAATAACTGAGGTAGAGTAGTGGCATTTTCGTGACCGTCGGTGAAGCTTTTTGTCTGTTAAGTTTACATAGACTTACCATACGTCCCGTTTTAGGCGGGACAGTCCCACTTTTTAACGTTTTGTCCCGGCGTCCCGACCGGTCAGCCAAAAGTCCCGCTTTGGCGTTCACCCAGTCAGCATGATACATGAACATTACCAATTAGCATGTTCTCGATACTGTTGTTGCTGTGTGGCGTACCGGTGGTAGCATACTTACTGAAGGTGGATGCGTGGTTTTGTTTGTTTCGTTGTTTTTCGCTAACATTATTAGCGGTTAATTGCTACAATTTGTTACGTGTGAGCCCCAGACGCCAAAAGGGCGCTTAACGTAAAGTCCTTTCTATTTATTGAATTGAAACCGATTTTTAGACAGACACCGCATGCACTCTCGATGACAATATAATCAATGAAGACAGCCTGGATGATTTAAAATGTGTGCCTAATGTAAAATCGGTAAATTTGAAGTTGAAAAAAACACAGCTATGGCCTTTGGAGGCGTCCCGCTTTGAGGTCACAAAAATATGGTAACCCAAGTTTACAGCAATCCTTTTGGTTTTGTTATAAGCAAACAAGTAGGTCTAAAGAATAAAGGCAAAAGGTCAACTCTTCTTCCTCCGTCTCTGCCTGGTTTTACTATGAAATGCTGAAAAATTACTCATGTTCGCTAAATTCAATTCAGCAGATAAATAAACTGCAGCTCGCGAAATTCCAGCAAGTAACTTTTATCTCCATTAGAGGTAACATTGGAGGCAAACACTACGTGATGGAAAGTAAACGACATAGACAGGTAAAAAATTGTGAATTGGTGAATTTATTGATTCATATACACAGCATTTAAATTAGGAAACAATAAAAAATTTATAATAAATGCAATATGTAAAATATTCAATCATATTTCAGGTATGTTTAATCGTAGTAGTATATATTTACGGTTTGACACAATTCTGTTAGTTTTCGCGGCGCATTTGGTAACTCGTCACGGCGAACCCATTGGGAACCGCTACATTACACCGTTTTTCTTTATCAATTTTAGCTTTCCATTTTTTGGTGTTCCGTGAGGCGAGATAAAAAGTCTAAGTGTTCCGTGGCCGAAAAAGTTTGGGAAACGCTGGTATAGACTATAGGATCTTGCGGATATTGCGATCTATAGGATAAGTTTGATTGAAGCAAGATCTCTCGATTGAAAGTGCAAATATACCTTATAGAAATTTTACAAGCGATCTCTATTGTTCAGTTAGCTACATCTAAATAAATCTACTGTATTGTATCTACCTTGTTGCGAACCTGGCAGATTTACTTTAATAAAAGTTACAGCAGGTATATATAAATTGCAGGGCGGACTCAGTACAATGCAAGAAATGTGCCTTTCATTTGTATTTTATTATCCGAAACTTGACTGGGGATATTGCTTATCGTCAGTTTCATATCAGTTAGTTTGGCCTCATCTTGGAATAGATATGACCAAGATAGAACAGTAAGTATGTAAATTATGAGGTAAATTTCTTTAGTTCTATTTTTAGCCAATCTGTCATTTTCACAGGATAGCTGGAACCGACCCGGCACTACTAAAGTCATACCGTTTTGTGGGCCCTTCCGAAGTATCTGGAACGACAGTATTTGAATACCTGAGTGAGGCAAGTTATTTGCAGTGTTTTACAATATAAAATTTACATATAATAGTTACTGGCTAGCACAATTTATATTTTTTTACTCAAAAGGATCGCAGTATGATTTATAAGGCGATCAATGATAATCTAATTGAACACAATAATGGGAAAAGCACAAATATTAATTTTACTTTACATAAAACGCCCTTCAGTAATCCTTTTAAATATATATTCCTTACCAGCAGAATTGGACTCAGGAAGAAATTCAACAGTTTGAAACCTTTTACAACACAGCAGAACATTATGAAGTCTGTACCCCGTTGGATAGAAACAAATCGGTAACTACATTATATAACAATAGTTTTAGGTATGAGAACATCATTCCATTATCGGAATCAATAATTTTATTCTAAAATTAAAAAAGGATAGAACGCTGGATAAAATATAATCAATGATATTTATCGTTTTATAGATTATCAAGCAGTTTGAAGTAATGAACATCTCATCACCGTACGTTAAACCAAGCAAGACTTGTCTGCAGACACAGAAATTACTCTCTGAAATTGAAGAGGATTATAATGTCTGCCCCTCAGCTACAACTATTCCTTATGAAAGTACAACAAGCGACAGCACAATTTTGAAGTTTTCTCTGTGCTCGCCTCTCGCCGTTACCGTCTCTTTAGTTTTAATTATATTTGGATGAAATTTCACTAATTGTTTAAGTTGTCGAATTGTTTAAGTTTGATCTGAACTTATGTAAAAAGCGTGTCCCCTATGAAAGGAGGAATCGTATGAGAAAACATAAATAGAGGTTTCAAAACATCGTCTATTCCTATATAGCCTGAAAATAATGTTGTACTCATTTTGTATTACTATATGCTAACAAAATACAATAGTTAACTGTCTTTTGCAATACTTCGCAATGCGAATATATACTTCGTTTTTATATTTTTGATAATATAGACAAATTTGCTCTAATTTGTTGAATTCGGTTTTCAATCCTTACCTTACATTTCGTTTTGAAATTGTGTCTTGGTTAAGTAGGTTTCCTAAGTATTTCTCCAACGTTTTTGGTGACAATCGTTGAACATGCATAAATAATGTTTGATATTTCTGTAACAACTAAACCAAATCCGAAATCCTGCTTCAATGGAGTGGACAGTTGCTTCATTGCGTACTGCTTTCTACCTTTTTGTTGCTCTCGTTAAATATAATTTGGGTACCTCAGTCTAGCTTGAAGATCTTGTTCTTTGAGAAAAAATATCTTGCCTTCAATTCTTGTGGGAATCGTTCAGTCTCTTCTTATGGTTGATTTGGCCGAGGAGTTGATGGTGGATGGTAATATTTCTTGTACATTACCACTGTTCTAGTTTTGTTTAGGATATGGTCAGGGTAAAATATTTTGTTTTTGGCATTCGTTCCTATATGTTCTGATATTTGAACTTTCCTCTTTTTTTTCGATGATTTTGCATTGAATGCGGGGAATGTTAGGCCATGTGCGAAGGATTTCTGAACATTCTCGTCGCCGTAGGGTGGTTCACGTAACCGCTGGTCGGTTACGACTTCCTCCACCATCAAGCCCATATGCTTCCAAAAACAAATAACTGGCTAACTAATCTCATACCCGACATGGACTGGCAACCGGACGAGAGCCGTAGTTCGACATATTATTAGGCGGATAGGGTATATATATAAATCCCAATCCCTAAGGTCGGCATATACCGTCAAATACTCAGGTCTCCTACACTATGTTTATTTTGATAAATTCATGTTGATAAGGCAAAAATATCATCATTTGCAGTTTTCCTAATTACTGATACCATCGTAAATAAATATTAAGGGGTGTGCAACCTTTAATACAGGAAGGCCAGATAGAAACAACTTGATGAAACCACGGACCGCACTTTATTTAACATAGTTTATCTAGTAGTTGCAGGTACATTTTGGTTATTGATCGTGTGACATGAGTTGTTTGCACAAGCTAGCTGTTCAGGCATTGTAAAGTCATGGGCACAGATGATAAATTGGACTCAACGGGATTGGAGTTACTCAGAACCGTAGCTAATTAAATCAAAAATTCGTTTTGCGGGCCGCGCTTGTTTCAAAATTTACATTACTCTACGGGCCACACAATTTCCCTTTGGGGGCCGCAGGTTGTACGCCCCTGCTCTAATTCTTTCCCAGTTCATTCTTACTGCTTGCTATGTAGACAGAAAAATAAAAATAATGACCACTATCGGCGCCATCAGTCGATTGTTTATGTTGTTCGCAAGCAACCAAGCACACAGCTGGAATGTTTTTGGAATGCAGACTTGGAGAAAGCTGTACTTGATTTCAGGATTTATGCGAGTTCGGCGAGTTCGGGTCTTTGAGGTAAAGGAATCTTTCTTGCAATTTGTTTATTAAATTGCAAACCATGCTTGGTGGCTCTATCCAAATCTCGGGTGAAGAACTGGCTACTCTTGAAGTTCGTGATATTTGTGAATCACTGAAGACGAATTCTATCAAACTGCTATCACTCAGAGGATGTAAGGTAGGTAACGGCACCTTAATTTAGACTCTAGTCGATAATTATCAATAAACTACTTTCAAGGTAACAAAAATCAAACTTCAAGAGGATTTAGGAGAGGCCATGGTCTGCCCTATGATTAAGCTGTCTTATCCACTTTTCTATCACTCCGCAGTCCGGAGAGGCGATATATATACTGAAATATGTAAATCCTATCCTAAATTCCTAACCATCTTATGCAGACTTGTGGTCTGAAATGTCACACACAACACAAACATACCGTACATTGCGGAAATTCCTGAATTCAGGAATGAGATACTCTCTAATTGAGCTTTAAGCCGATTGAGCATTATGATAATAAATGAATATAAATTGAAGAAACACTGTTAGATAATCTCTACTTTTCTCAACACCGGTACCGGTACATGATTTGTAACAAATTGTTTATGAGTCTGTGAGTAGTAAGACCTACGGTCCAGACTGGATTCCATGGCAGGTGCACGCCCGAGGGCGCTAGCGCTCCGCAAAAATGCACGCGAGCGAAATCAATTTTGCACGCCGAAAATTTGCAACTGCTCACCAATGTAAATCGGTTTAAATGGTTTTAAAATCAATAATCCAGTAATATAAAGATGCCAAAATATTATAACTCCACAATTGTCGACAAATACCAGCCTGCAAGATTTGGTCTGATCGAAATATTGCGAAGCAAAAAGACCATGGACCTTTCCCCAACCTTTGACCCGCGAAAAATTCCTCTCATTGTTACGTCCTTTTTTGCATCTTGCTGATTGGCCAATGTCACGAAGTAAACAAGGAAGTCGATGCTCGGGGAAAGGTCCATATCGTGTTGAATGATAGGAAATAGGAATCCCGTGAGAATAGTTATGGACGAAAAGATCGCCTCCGCACCAATGGCCAAGTACGGCTCTGATTCAGCGTATTTTTCATACAATAATTTTACACGAATGTACTGAACAGTACCGGTATCTAAAGTTGCTCAAACACTCCCAAAATTAGTGACAAAGTATGAAAATAATGTTTGGGGTCAAAGGTCAAACGTCCATTTTGCTCTAATTTGACGTATTTTTTATCCATTAATTCTACGTAAAAACACTACCAAAATTAATGACAAAGTATGTCCATTTTGCTCTGGTTCAACGTATTTTTTATCCAATAATTTTACGCGGATGTACTGAACAGTACCGGTATCCAAAGTCGCACAAACACTCTCAAAATTAGCGACAAACTGTAGAAATAATGTTTGGGGTCAAAGGTCAAACGTCCATTTTTTCTCTGATTCAAGGTATTTTTTATCCGATACCGGTAATTTTACGCGGATGTATTGAGAGGTATCTGATGTCAAGGTCAGTTGCACGCGAGTGCAGTTGTTTTGCACGTCGTGAGCTATAATTGCACGCCAGGAATTCTTAATTGCACGCGGGAATTTCTGATTGCACGCCCGATTTCTCGTTCAAAAAGGCCATGAAATCCAGACTGGCCTACGGTACCTTAAATCTATTTGACCCTCCAGCTTATTACTCTTCAAATTATCATCATTGACCATGAACAAAATTATTATTTGGCTGTGGGTGAGTTTTGTGTCATATCTTATATCTTCAGCAGTCTTATTTGAACACCCATATATTTATCCATTTTCCTTCACTTGTATAATCGCCATCATAAAACTCGCAGCCAAGTAATCTTATTATTCTTCTTGTTAGTGTTTTCTTGATTTATTATATTTATTGTACCATTTTATTTATATGACATACCGAATACATACTGGTATCTATTAGATTTTTTGTTGCATTGTTGTTATTTTATATATTTAGTGGTGCAGGCATTTTTACCTTCTGCATTTGTCCTGTTCCATAACTTGTAATTTTTTTTATTCATAAATTTTATCATTACTTAGACACATAGACATACATTTGTATGATCTATCCACCATTTTATGAAGGGGACCTAACGATATTTCCATATCTCATCATAGTTCATTAACTTGCGACCAAACAGAAAGTATCAAAAATGATTGATTCAACGTTGTCAATTGGGCTACACATTCTCTTTTACAGTAACAATTGGGGTAATATCTCTTATTTACAGGACATAATGACTTTAATAACTGAAATTCACAGTCTTGTTTCATCCAGAAAGTTTTTCAGTTCCTCTAAGTTAGCTGTCCTTAATAGTTGACTTTTGTAAATTGAATTTTGTAAAATTTATTATCAGTGATCTAACTGCCTGGCAGTTGTTTAGACTTCTCTCGGGCAATCAGACTCTACTAGCTGATGTATAATGTGCTTGATAAATTATTTTGTTTAGTTGGTCGTTTGTGACTTTGGATCGGTCCACCTAACTGGCCTTGCTTTTAAAATTTTTACTAAAAGGACAGAACAAACGTATATTATTTATTAACAGATAATAATTGAAGTTACTACATTAATATTACTCTTGTATCTGACCTACTTTATATCTGCCATGACATTCTCATACTAATAATGAGTAGGCTTGAAGCATTCTGTAAACATTGCAATATTACTTCCGTGTGTTTTAGACTAGCAAGTTGAGTAGCAACAGGCTATAATGATTATGGTATGGAGAAATTAAAACAATCAATTTATCGTAGGCATTATGGATTTTGCCATATCAAGCTCAGTTTTAAAAACTGAAAGATGAAATGCAATTTACTGGGAAATGTATTTCAATATTAGACTTTGGTATATCTCATATGCAGTTAACAATCCAGGACGAATTTTTTTTCTATTTATTCAGCTCGAAGACAAAGATTTTCGGAAACTGATGAAAGCAGTTGGACAATGTGGATCCTTGTTACAATTAAATTTGAATCTTGGGGTTGCGAATGATCAATCACGAGTGACTCTTCTTGCTGATGCCTTGAATCAGAACAGAAGCTTGGAGTCACTATTGTGAGTTAACTGCCTAAAAAATATAGAAATGCTGCAGATATTGTGTATTCAGTATAAATTTTGTGAAGTTTTAATGAATTCTATTGTCATGCCTTATTAAATGTCTTCAATTTTTGGAAGTCCTTGTCCAAAGCAAATTTCTGTCTCTTGTTTTTTAGTCTTATTTTTTAGCATAAATTGCTGAAGGAACTTTTCGAGGGCTACTTGAAACTTTCGATTGCCTCCATTTGCCATTGTTTGCCAATCTTTTAATCTCAAGGGCTTGGAGAGTAATACGTTTTAAGCACAGACTCTGATTCAATATATTGATAAACTGAGCATAAAACTTTCAATTTGTCATTAGTCCATGGCTGATCGAGTATGGATAGTTTCTAACTGAGTTAAATTTATTATTTTTATAATTGTATGGCAGTTGATATGAAAACATTGCTTGTTATTGTACTCTAAATCCTAGTACATTTTATCTATTACAGTTCAACTGTTATTTTATTGTTTGTGTCTGGTTAGACTAGACAAGACATAAACGTTCTTCAATTCCTTATTTGGTTGTTTGACATATTGCTAAACTTATTGCTACTCTATTCTATATTCAAGGGCACTTTTTCATAACATTGTCTATTTAAATGTATTGTTCAATGATTTCTTAGAATATGGTTGAAGCGGATATTCTGAATTGAAGAAAAATTTATTTGAAAATGGGTGAATCTTGGAATTTTAGTAATAAAAACCTTTTAAATTGATTCTCGTATTTTGCACTGGTTTATTAGTTTCGCTTCTCATACTTTTAGTAATAGCCTACATATACCATGATAGGAATATTTTGAAGTCATAATTTTAACTTTTATTCATCACTTTTTTATTATTATCAGTTTACATGGTACTCAACTTGGAGATGTTGGTTTGGGATTGCTAATCAAATCACTGGCTCATCATCCTTCGTTATCTTGTTTGGATGTCGGAGATTGTCTCATCACTGATACTGGAATCCGATTACTTGTTACATTACTTCCTCCAGATGGCGCAAAAGCAGGTAATTTTATATCTATTTTACTAAGCAATGTCTCAGACCAATTATGCAATGAATGTTATTTACGAGGTATGCGAATGAAAATTGTTCAAATAATATGATTTAACGTTCAGAATTGACTATGCAATGTTGTCAATTGTACTTTTTTATTTCCATTTTGCAATTTTTACTGGCAGATTTTGGAGAATTTTTTGTATTGCCTATAATAAACATTTGAAATCTACCCAATGCGAAGAAATTTATTATATTTCAAATTTTTTAAAAAAGGACTGTACTTCGTTAGAACTTTAATCAGATGCAAAAATATTTTCTTGATTTAAGCTATTATTTTATATTCAATCAAGCAACTACTGTACTGCTGTAGTTTCTGTTTTTGAGGTTTCCAGCTTTGTGTAAGTTAATTGTGTTGGTAATTCTTCAGTACCATCGTAATAATATTGTATTGCAGGATTGTCAGAACTTACTTTGAGTGCCAACACAGCCATTACACAAGCGGGTTGGTCATTACTTTTCTGTGCCATATCAGCCAGTTCAAGATTGAAAGTTTTGAACATAGATTACAATAATATAGGAGATTATGAGGCAGGATTGTTTGCTGTCTCTCTTGCGAGTAGTAGATCGTTGCATACTGTAGACATAGAAGGATGTGGAATAACGGACAAAGGTGCAATGGTGAGAATATAATATCTAGTCTACAGTTTCGTTAGAAACTTATCTCTCATATTTACATGGTTTAAGATGTTGATCATTAATAAAATAAAAATTTTAATATCATATGTGATTGATGATTATCTTATGACAAAATGCCTTCTATATGTTTAGCATTTTAGCCAATTTGCGCTTCAATTTCTATTATACCTAACAAAACATAATGTAAATATTCAAGAATACAGCTGACTATGATAAAATGAATCCATTATATTGAATTAGAACAAATTAACGTGTGATAGTATGTGTAATATTGCTCATTGCAAATTTTGGAGCCTTTCTTAAAAAAAATCGATCTTACACTGTCTATGAAATACAGATTTATTTTTGTTCATTGTGAGTAGATTGACACTGGACTAAAATCAATTTATTAAAAAGATAATTCAAGGACTCATAGTCGGGTATTATAGATTCATAGTTATAAAATAATGCAGACCACAATTTTGTGCTTTTTTAATTTTAGGCTCAGTCTATTGAAAGGCAAAATATTTCAAAATTTCTAACCTTTTTTTTAGGTGATCCTTGAAATGCTTGAAAACTATCCCACACCTTTACGGGACTTGGTTTTAGCTGGAAATGATATTAATGATGCAATACTCGATGATATAGAAAATTGCTTGAGAATGGATGAAGACCCATATTCTAAAGATAAAGAAGGTATGCAATACTTCATCAATTTATTGCGCAAGACATTGATGAAGTCAACCAAAAAGACTTCGTTTGACATTTAAGTATTACCGTAGTTCTATAAATTATAAAGGTTGTTTTTCAAAAATTACATCCAATAACCAGTCAATTTTTTATTGTTGGGCTTGTAAGTAATTTTTTTCGAAGCCATTGTTCAGGAACACCAATAGTTAATTGCATATGAAAGGGTAAATGGGTAGAACAAAAGCCAGAATGTACGAATGGATAGATTCATAGAAAATACTCTAAAATAGTCTAATATGTTTTGATCTTATTCAGAATGGTCACCACAATCAGCAAGACCGATATTGAACAGGACAAAATCACCAAAAACTCAACAACAGTCTGCTCCTGCAATGTTTTGAATCTTTAAATTCAAAAAAATGAAATGTTGAGGTTTACTGGAATTTGAATCATTTTTTTCGTCATTTCATTTGTGTAGTAAGTAAATTAGTAATTGCACACTTTTTATAAATATATTCAGATTCATGGGATGAATTCAAATTCACATATTAATTAAGTCGTCTAATCAAACAGGCATTGAATTCATGTACACTATTTTAAGGATGATTTTCACCAAATACATACATTTTAGTAATTACTACTTTTTCACTTGTTTATTGTACTAGAATGCTTTGTCACTAGTTTTATCATTATGAAAATTATTTCACATCAATTGCTTATTCATAAAGATCGTGATATATATCATGTTCTACATTTATTCACTGCATATCGGATCAATGATATTTTAATATTTTGTAATAAATTGTGTTTGTTGAATATAATTTTGATATATTTTTTCAATGAGTGGCAAAATTGTTTTACTATTTTATAACACTGCTGACCATATTTATATTTGGTGGATATTTTGCAATAGTTTCTGTGATATTATACTACCTACTGTTTAATATTAAGGTTTTCTACCATAAATCGAGAAAATGTTCAGCCAAAGGCGTGTTAATTTGTCTTAAAAATATATTTGCATCTGCATCTGCATTTTTTACTTGTTCAATAGTAGTTTGTACAGTTGGATCAAGTATATGAGCTGTTTTAAATTAGTTTTCATTATTTGCGGAATTCTCAAATTTAGGAAATCTTAATCTAAGCATGGTTTTTTGCATAATTAAACGATTTAGAACTTTGGAAATGAATTGTAAGTTGAATCCAAGATCAGAAAATCTTTATCTCTATGATAGGCAGAGATCTGCCTATGTTTTCTGATCTTGGATTCAACTTGCAATTCATTACCAAAGTTCTAATCGTTTAATCTTCAAATTTCAGATTTCCATGATTCTATTTACTGCATGGAATACACCTTTTAATATCAGGTAATAATTTTAATCTGCATTTTTAAAACCCTAATTTAGCAATTTAGTTATCATGATTCATGAGATTCATTTTTTTTTATCTAGTAATCCCCTGCACTATAGATTATAGAATCATTTCATTTGTAGATTTTATTCGCTTATTGCACAAGTTCTTTTTCTCTTCTTCTAGTTTATCATGTTGCTACTGTCTGTCATTGTGATTTCTTATTCGAAAAATATAATTTCTACAATGAGTTTATGTCCTATGATATTTTCAAGGTCATGTCAAATCTAGCAATCAAAAACAATAGTTTGGATACTTCGAAGTTTATATGATCAAGTTTTCATGTTTATTACCATAATGTATGCTTGGGTCATATACACTGGTTGGCAATGAAAATGAATATGCGAGTATTATCGTTTCAAAAAATCCGGTTTACTGTAACAAAGTTTTTGTAACAGATTCATTAGTCACAAGGGATCAGTCATTTATCATCGGCGTGAAGGTAAAAACCTTGTGGCGATGAATTCGCGAGAGAGCTACTGAATTTTCACCGGTAATGATTCACTTATTCTCTTGTCGTTTGCGATTCCTTTTATGTTAGCGATTTTTTGGTCGAAACTATTGGAATTACCCATTCTAAGAAGACTGCTCAAAGTATTGTTATGCAAAAAGGTGTCATCAACTAAAGGTGTAAGAGTACATTTGAATCTTATTGAAGGTCTCTGTTACCCGAGACTTCGCTTTTGACCTAACCCATACCAGATTTTGATAACAAAAACTTTTGCATATTCAAGCCTTCTTCAATAGTAACTAGTAGTTGAGGTTACGTAAAACTAACTACCTTCCCTTGCTCTATGCTTTGCACAAGTGGATCTGTATGCGTATAACACAAGGATGCTGTAGCAAGAGTGAAAATTAATATTCCATTCAAGAGCCTTGCTGCACACTAACACAAATGTATATTTCTGTACCGTTTCGTCTTACCGATACCGCTTAGTAAACTTAATTCCTTTATTTATTTGGAAAATTCCAACCTGCACAAAAGTATGAAATCCCCACTCCGGAGAAGTTAGACTTTCGACTCCCAAGCCCGGGGTGTATAAAAATTTATCACCCGACTCCATGGCTCTGTGCAATAATCCCATTTTTAGAGATTTTTTCTGCGAGCTCGTTCGTTTATCACCTAGAACAGTTGTCGATTCCGTAGTACTCGAAAACATAATTTATATATTGAAACAAGTAATGAAAATAAAATTTACGCAACAAAATAATATAGAAGTATCAATCAATCAAAAAATTATACCCAATAAAGGTTAGCTAATGAACTTCAAAACTATTATATATCTACATAAATAATTAATATGCCTCTTCTAAAAATCGCACAGTGTTCACCAGCGCATAATACACGCATCTGCTTCAGCTTCTAATTGTATTAAAATAAGTGCTACTTCTGAAGAATGATATAGAAATGTTTGAAAATGCAAGAGCGAGAAGAAAAAGATAAATTGTTATAATTATATTTAGACCAGTCGACCTAAATATCTATATTGTTGTTTGTGCGTTTCAAACCTTTTTTACAGCCGCACGCCACTAGGTTTGAAAGCTCTCCATTGACACACACATATTGTAAAGAGATGACATGTGCCATGGATAACAAAGATATACAAATTGTTTTTAATGACATATATGGATTTTCTACTATTGTACATTGTTTCAAGGCTCAATTATATTAGATTTATCTTGGTTTTGTACAAACAAGTTTCTTTAAGATTCGTCATTTATGATCATTCCATGGTTGGTATGTGAAGCATTTGTATAGACCAGCTCTCTCAGAGGAGGCAATGCATCATTTCCACTAGAACTTGTAGAACCAATGGATGGTTTTCTTACATTGATTTTACGACAACATTTGCATAACACGTTCAAAGCTGATCTGACGACTCGACACGTTTCATTTCTAATTTTCCTGTAAGGAAAGGAACATAAATAAGACTTTTCATTCGCCTTCTCGCCTATACGTTTCATTGAATAGCACGGTAACTATAAATTGCTGTCTTTTTACTACTATTTTAGCATATTTTTTCATATGAAACACATCTCGATGCAAACTGATAGTTGATATGGTCTAATAATTTACTTACGGAGTTGCCAAATTGTAAAAAACAGGATTCAGAGTTTCAGAAAATCTTAAACATATGTATACTGACATCCCGAATTTCCACCAAAATCGTTCATCAGCAGCTGTTTTGGACGAAATGTGCATACCGCTGATTTCGTATGCTGAAATGCAATAAATATTTTTAGGATAATATATGTAATACGTACTTTGGACTCAAATAAGCATCAATCCAGACGATTAATAAAGTATTGCCAACTGACGTAACGATTGCGTGGAGACCATGATTAAAATGCATTAAACACATAATATACCCGTGAATGGAATATATCCCAGCATGAACGACCCTGCTATCATAGACAGTTGAATTATTGCTTGTCGTTCTTTACGTCCACTCTTTTTAATTTTGCTCTCGGCCCCAGCAGCTAAATAGGAACAAAAAGAAAGATAAAATTTACAGCAGAATACTTTAATTACAAAAAACTATACTGCGCTTACGATCTTAATTTCGTTGGCACCAATACACAGATATCAGAATTTATCGCACTTCAATGCGTTCCTCAACTGCCTATACCTAGTCAGGGGAATGCAATGCTAGGACTAATTATTTCAAAATACTATGGAAATACTATGCTCAAAATAAACAATGAATTTATTTCAGCTATAAGATTAGTTCTCTGGAATCCTAGCAACGTTATTTTCGTTACAGCATAACTTACGAATTTGTTTTTGGAGTTTTTCATTTCTTTCGTTTCGCCGTCTCGTCAACATAATTCCTATAGCTATGGTAAGTGAAATGATTGAAACAGTAGGAACATAGAAAAACAGAGGAAAGGCCACACTTTGATATGAAGAATATTGTTCGGCCCTGTAAAATGAGGATTATATTTATAACACCGTGCATATTTTATCACAAAGATCAATACATTAGTTACAGCACTCGATTCGCGGGCAGATAATTAGTTCTCGTAAATAGCGGTTTTTAGGAATAATTTTGGTGAGATTTTACTAAAATTCCGTAAAATAATTCACCATGACTATCCAGTTTTAATATATACTTTATTCCAGTTTCACACCTGATTTTATGCATTGGGTATTTAGTTAGTATAATGTTCATTGTTCACTATTTATTGACCGCAAGTCGATGTTGAAGTTGGACGCTGCCAATAAAGAAACTGTATCGTTATGTGTTTAACAAAACTTATGTGATTGGCGCAGTTAATGCGCTATAGTTGCATTCGTATTATAACGACAGAGGACCCCTTTCTTCAACAGCATACAACCAGCAAACAGTCAAAAATGGTGACCGTACATTTCAACCCACGTACATTTGAACCTATGTGTATATCAGCGGGTGCAATCTATATGCGGGTGCCAAAGCCCATGGGTTAGGGTTAGTACGGGTTCAAATACTCGTAAAACAAATAAAATTTTCATAGGTGCAATTGTCATGGGTTCAAATGTACGTGGGTTCAAATGTAATGGAACCGTCAAAAATATCATGATTACTTATAGGTTCTCGTGTTCATAGGGACGATCACTGCACTTCCCATGCATAATAAATAGAGTGTGGGAAGCTATCTTGTAACAATGGTATCAGATCAACACATCAGTTCTGCATATAAACTAATAGCTTCCTTAGGTGCAAAGATTTATACTTAATTTACCACAAAAACGTTTGCCTAAGCAATCACAAGTTATATTTTTTGTAGTATTTATGCATACATGATTACGATAATCAATTTTATAAATTGTATTTTGAGAGCCTTTCGTAGTCTATCGTGGGCTGCTTACACGAATAATTCAGTGTTATGAATATTTAATTTTTTGTCTGTTAGTCTAATCCAGGGTAGTCCAACCCGTGGCCCGCGGAAGCAGTTCAAGTGGCCCGCGCTGTATTTTTCGAATTTGAATAGGGAAAATTAAGTAAAACTAATATTGGAGTGATGTAGTATGCAAAGATGTGATACAAACGATTTGTTTATTTTTCCGAAATGCGCTCTGCCAGCCCAACTGGGACTAGATATCGATACATAAAGGTGCCATAGTCGCAACGTACATACATAAATACATAATACATACATAAAAGCGAACTACTTCGTGGCAGAAAAAATCGCAAAACAATCGAAGCCATTCTCACATTGAGAATTCGTTAGAGATCGGCCCGGTCATAAATTCCAGATCTGTGTCATAACTTGGGATTATGGCTAAATTAAATCTATTTTGGGGGGTCAATAGTATTTCATAGTGGTCTGCATGTGAACAAAACCAATTTCAAAACTCAAAATGTTCGAGTTTAAATTATCCATGCTTGATCCGAGTGTTCTCAATAACGGTGACGTCATCATATTTTTTTATGTATAATTTTTATTTTGCAACAAGGTCAAATTTATTTGTATGAGTATTTCAAAGCTTAAAAATGAACAAATATTTGTTGTTAGTTGAAAACGAAGTATTTTAAACGCGCGAGCAACGTTCTCCGGCTCATAATAAACAAACAAAGATACCAGACAGCACGCGATCAAATGCTCTTCGATAAAACGAATATCACTTCACTTACAAATCCCACTTTTGTTTTATTTTGAAGGTGACGTAAAACTCGTCCAATAGAAAACTCTTTCTCTCGCATATCAATCACGTGTTGACCACAGCGTTAAAAGTGAGAAACTTTTTCTCGAAATTTTTTGAAATTTCTCTCTTCTTACTGTCATATGGTCGGACGCATTTACGCTACGTAATGTGGGCGCGTTTTAGTGGAAAGCGACGAAAATAAGCTTTTTAGGGACACAATAATGATGTCTTTGGCATTTTTGGTTGGTGAAATATTAAAAAAATTATAGAGGGGTGTCAAAATGACCCAGGAACACCAGGGGTCATTAGGTTAAGCAATGTATTATTCAGGTTACTAATGTTTAGTGTCCGGAAATAAAAGAGGCGTTTGCAATAATAAACCTGTCAAGTCAGACAATTCTCGTCGTGTTGAAGATCTTGGGAACTCTATAACAAAAACTTTAATTGCAAAAGCGGGAAATTTTTCATCGTATTTCTTGGCGCTTGACGAAAGCACTAACATCAAGTCTACTGCTCATCATGCGGGGAGTTAATGATGATTGTGAAGTTACCGTGGAGCTCGCAGCCATTGTCCCAATTAAGGGCACGACTATGGGCATTGATTTGTTGGTAGCTGTGATGAAAATGATCAAGCGTCTTGGCTTGTCTTTGGCGGAACTTTCGGGAATAATCACTGGTGACGCCCTATGAATGGTTGGGAAACAACAGTTTTATTGTTCTAATATATAATTGTGAAAGTTTGGCGTGAGAATAATGTTTGTTTCTTCATTAACCTGTAGTCAGTGTAGCAAAAGTAAAACATAACTACCATGTTAAGTGGCCCGCGCACTTATTAGTAAACTACATGTGGCCCTTCGGCCTAAAAGGTTGGACAAGCCTGGACTCTAATAAGATCCGCTGCGTGAATATCGTACTACAAAGTATTCAGTAATCAGTAATCAGTAGTTTATTTCTCACCATACTTAAAATGGGCACAAACATACAAATTGCAATAAATTAAATTATAAATTGGCCATATTTCAGGGTGAAGGAGACGCGAGAAACCAATACTGGTTATCGAGCAGCGGCACCTATAAAATAAGTCTAACACTATAATATAAAAAACAAAAACAAAAAAACGAACTAAGTTTAAATAAATTGAGGAAAAAAATACATAAAATATCTCGAGACGATCTGCTGTAACCAGCAATCGCTCGCTTCAACCAAAGTGACTATAATAGTCACTTAGGCTTCAACAAAAGAAAAGACAACTCCGAACACCACTGATTCGGTAGCCATGGAGATGGCGTTAGTGGATTGTATCACAACAATACTATTGTGATGCCCATTAGCTAACAATGGGCAATAAATGTCAAATTCTGATGGCGCATGGTTATTGGTTACAGTGGAACCCATGGTTTGCTGAGGGCGACAACAGGATCACCAACGAATAAACCATACCTTTATGCTAGAAAGGAATTGAGGTACCTGTTAATGGGATCTAGTGATTGGCAGCTGGAGTCAGGGCTTCACATAAAATTTATAATTTAATTTATTGCAATTTGTATGTTTGTGCCCATTTTAAGTATGGTGAGAAATAAACTACTGATTACTGATTACTGAATACTTTGTAGTACGATATTCACGCAGCGGATCTTATTAGAGTCCAGGCTTGTCCAACCTTTTAGGCCGAAGGGCCACATGTAGTTTACACATAATTCCACCATATATATGTATTGGTATGGGGATTCGTGATATTAGCACCAAAAAACCGCTTACCATTCTGGTTCCAATGTACAAGCTGGCCATCTGGCATCCATGTCGTCGGTGTTTCTTCTCCTCTTCCCTGAATCATACCACCATGCAAATGGTATAAAACCAGTCAGGAACGCCAGTAACCATAAGCATGGTATTAGCATCTGAAAAAAAAGATATGCAATGATTAAAAAAAACTACAACACAATAACACACGATTTTTATTCTTTTATTAAAATTTTGACAAATTGGGACAAGGTCAGTCAGAGAGCTCTAAGCACTGACTAGACCTAGAGGAGCACGAAACGTAATCATATTACAGAGGATTATTAAATTCCCTACCTATGAAATAAACTATATATATATATATATATATGCACAAAGACACGCATTTACAAATAGCTTCACTCAAATAAATACGTTGTATCACATGAATAAAGGGTTTAATTTATTGCATTCATTATTGAAGGAAGAAAATACGAAATAGAATTTTCCGCTTACCCTTGCGTGCCGTATTTTTATCTTGGTATAAATATGTGGCCATCGTATAGAAATAAGACGAATAATCGCAAACAGAAGAATATGTAGCGCTGTAACGTATGATGTCCACATATCCGTCGCCCAGTACAACTGAAAAATTACCAGAACTCAATGTTGACCGCAAAATTGGCCTGTTACCTTTTCTATTACAGAAAGGCCGCAGAGAATCCTCTGTTGGAGTGGTGTAATGCAATATATATAATATATTGTAAAACCGTAGTCAATATACCTTGCAAAAGAATGATGGAATTTGCCAGTCATCATATCCCCACGTTCTTCGATATAAAAATAACGGGCTAATCAATGCTGATAGTAAATCCGAGACGCACAAACTCAGAATGAATTGGTTGAAAACCGACCTAGAAATCAAGAAGATAAAACTTATGTCTTTAGTCCACTTTGTAATTTGTGTTGTAATGTATGTGGTGACATCGCTCATGCCGTCATAATATTATACTGCTGAGCCGGCAATATTCGACGTATATTTAGGATGATTAAATCAAATTCTATCGAGAATAAAATTACGATTTTCTATCGCAAAAAAAATGTTTTTTTGACGAAATCGAAACCTCATTATCTCTGATTTTTGTAGATAATAACCCACTATAATTAACCAGTTATTTTTTACAAAATTTTTTTTTATTTTCATAAGAAACATCGAATATTGAAGAGATTGTTATGTTTTTCACGTACAGTGATTCGCAATAAATAACTTAACTATTAATAACACAAACGATAATGCAACAGAATTGCACACGAATTGTAATATTGATCTTGATTTGGAATCAGAATTGTATTTTTAGATTTCACTCACGAGAGACATCGGGAAGTTGAAATCACGATTATTGTTAAAAGATTTCCAATTACACCGATGACCATAAGTGGTAGAAGTATACTGGCGCTTACAATCACAGCAGCTTCGTTGAATGGTTTTGTGTATACTCTGAAAAAGTTCATATCAAGTATCAAGATAATTTTCTAAGGTTAATTGCAAAAATTGTTAAACAATCTTACCATTGCAGATTTACAAAAATGTATCGCTATTAATATGTGCAAAACATTTTTTTTAAACATGTACAGTGTTCTGCACTGAAGAGCTGCAATCATTTTGCAAATTATAAGTTTTTTCGTCGCGATTATAAATACAGTTACCGACAGAAATTTACGTGTGTTAGAAACAGGATATACACTGACGCCACAACATCTAATATAAGCAGCATTTTGGATTTTTTTTTCCAATGTCTAACGTGTGGCAAAAAAATGATTACAATCATTTGATATGAATTTCCAGCGTATTTTTTTTATTAATTGTTAACAATAATTCTTCAAGTGTAACACGTAGTTTCAGAAGAGATAATTGGCATTCAAACTAATGCCTTATATAGTCATTTTATCAACGAAGACCAGTAATATTTTTATTACTGGGAATAGATTAAAAATAAATTTCTCCTTTAATTAAATATTCGACACACTTGACTGAAAACGCGTCCGGTGACGTCATTTAGTTTAATAGTTCAGGAAACTAGTACACAGTCTGAAGTGATCTATAGTTTCCGCGACGGTTCAGAAATGTAGAGATTAGGCAGCATCACATGATTACATGAACTTCAGGAATTTTGCGATGTTCTATTTTTAGTTTGAGAATAGGTTTCGGAGACAGAACTGAACGGAGTGTCCAACCAAATATGAATGTTTTTCATTTATCTACTGATGAAAAATTCAGTAATAAATTTTACTTTTAGGGCGATAAATATCTAAATACTCACTTCGCAGTCTCATTTTGAATAACATTTGTTATCGGTGTAGTGTTAAATATAAGCGTTGATTCCATTGTAATAATTGCTTACTCCCAAGTTATTTTAGGGTCCCTTTTTAATATTTACTTTCCACTATTAAAGCAAATGTATTCAAAAAATAAAGATTTAATTGCAGTTATAGAGAATTATTACCATTTTTATTTTGACACTATTTCATAGGTTAAATTGATGGCTACTTATATTCTTAATAAATTTGTCCCAGTAGGGTCTCAACTATAAGGAAACTAGGACCCCTGAGAAGTTGACACTTTAAACTGATAAATATATCAATTGATACAAGTATTAGAACAAAATTACATTTTTACAGACACAACTGTATTAGAAACACCCAAATTACAGGGATATTCAAAAGCGGCTCTATCGGAACAAACTATTATGGAATAGAAATTTAGTTGGCAGTTTGGTAACCCTTCCTACACTGTATGCTTCCACTAATAAGAACTATATGACTCGCTATTCAAGTTGTATGGCAATCACAAAGTTAATTCTATACAGAGATTTTCGATTATTAAACTTTTGCGAGTGGTGTCTTTCGGTGAAATTACAGAGAATATCGACAGCCGGACCTAACGCAATGGCTCCAATATTACTATCTTATCTGTTTCTTATCACTCGCTAACCTTGGCATACATTACTTTGTCAAAGATGGGACTTCGTCAAAAGTGGAAAATACCTACGCAAAAAAAAATCCGCGAACCTAAATGCTTCACAGACGAACTTAACTTTTTCATTCACAGCGGAATAATATTACTTTTTGTATTTATAGTAACAGAAGACCAAAAAAAATGTGCAAAAAAGGCATCGCGTTTACACGTATTTCATTGTCATGAAAACGAAATAATTTTATTCATGCGGTCTCTTCAGATCTTTTTCGATGATAAAACACGTATGCCTACTTGAGATCAATCCCGCGAATTTCAGAGAATAACAGTATTAATATTCATTGTTTTAATGAAAATTACGCGATTACTAGATACAAAGACTATAATTGGCTTTTCAGTAATTATTTTATACTACGCGATTTATTTCGAAACGGCAATATGGCATAAATAACTTTTTTCTACTTCTTTGTCATACATCAATAATGACAAGGCATTTTGTTTCGACGTTCCAACCAATATATCGATTAATTTTATATGGAATACAAGATAAAATAATCAAATTTTTGACTGTTCTTCGGTCATTTATATAGTTTGCACTGCAAGTCTAATTCATGATATTTCGGCTCCAGAATGTGTACCAATGGGTACTATTAGTTGCCTACTCTACATCAAGTTGTGTAAAGGAAAGGATTACTATTGGCAGAGGGTATTTGCACTTGGCTAACACAGACAGTCCCCGAACTCACAATAGATCTAAAATAAGAAAAATCGGAATGAAATTAGGGCCCAACCTGGTACACACACTACGGAGGTACCATATTTTCAGATAAAATAGAATAAAATGATTTTCCAAATATTCAAAGAATTTTCAAATTTCTTGGCAAGCAGATAAAACTAATTCAATCAAGTCTATAGCTATTTTCTTTGCTTCTGACCTCTAGAACAGGGGTTCTCAAGCTTTTTTCAGGACGACCCCAAAGACAACTTTCAAGTGTCCAGTGCGACCTCAGATCAATATATATATATTTCATGAAACTTTAGAGCTTCTTTCACGGGACTTTTGAGTTTGGTCATGTGGTGGTGTTGGGTAAAATAAGCTAAAGCCAAACAGTGATGTCATAATAAGCACCTACATTTTCTATAGCATAATCATAAAGCGATGCTTATGGGCACGTTTTACAGTAAGCCATGGTACAAACTGCTAAATTTAACATGATTTGTCAAATCTCAGATGATTTGTACTTCCATCCTCTACCATACCTCAGCGACCCCATGACCTGCTTGCGATCCTACCTACTTATCACTCCGACCCCTGGTTTGGGAACCCCTGCTCTAGAATATTCATGTACTATCGCCTATATATATATAAACTTTTTTTTGCTTAAAATGTTGTGTTTACCGACAGACAAGATAGGAAAACATACGCCAGATAACTGGTGTTTCAATTTTTAAACACGAGTTATCTGGCTTATGTTTTCCTATCTTGTCTGTCGGTAAACACAACATTTTGAATAAAAATTGTCAACTCCACTAGAAGTTTGATAGCGTTCAGTTCTTTGGGTAAATTTTAAATTATGCTGCTGACAAAAAAGAAGCTGACCATTCTAATATCTAATTTGTCGAACTTATTCTAATTTCGGTACAGTTTTGTGGAGGAATGAAAATACCACGAATCGATATTCCTTTTCCTGTTTTAATTCCAAAAATGAGTCCAGGATCAGCTTAAATGTCTTATACACTGTCAAAGCATATTTTGCTACTTTTCTTCCTTTTGGTAAATTTAGTAATTTTACAGCACCTTCAAACAAACTACGTAAACAACATGTCCCAATGCCATCCCGCACATGGAGAATCTCATACATGGGAAACTATTGTTGTATTCATATGTAAAGATCAGAAAATTATTTTACATTTTATTTTGCCCACAAAAACCACGCCTATTGAGTATTTGATCCATGGAATCTTTTAATCGCCTAGTTGTCACATTTTTACATAGTTTGTATTTTAAGGCATCAATAATTCAGTTCAAAATGACTATCTAATGTTAAATAATGCAAAATACAACGAACCGTTTTGATATATACTAGAATCTAGTATCTAGTAACTAGATAGACTAAAAAGATTTCACACTTAATGCAGGTTTTCTGTAGACTGGTGTGTATTAGAATTACGATTCAAAGTCATTGAACTGCTAAAGTTATTTCGTCATAGAAATTCATGGTATATCATATCAGAAAGAGCGATTTTGCAAATATGATATTTTACAAAATAAAAATTCATTGAATAAACCGCATTTCCTCTAAATAATAAGCTCAATAATTAAAAACCAATACAGTTGGGGATGCAATTTCCTTATACAATTTTCAATTCCGTCAAAAAACGTTCCGCATAAAATATTGATATGCAAAAACAAAGATTTCCTCCCATCAAAAGATAAAAATATGTAAATATATGGAATTGTTCCATTACCTGCAAAATTTATGATGTCTTAATTTTTCGAACAAAGGGCTCTGGCGTTTATCCGAAAGATGGCATTCTGAAGGATAAGTTCAATACTATCGTTGTGAACTCAACATATACTTGCGATACGTCGTGTTGTAACTGCCAGTTTTTCACGCGGGGCGCGGGGTGACGAAAAAGTTATTTGTGACATTATTTTCTGATATTATTTGATTCTTTCTAACGCTGTACTATAGAGTAATTTAAGGAATTTAGTTTTAAAGTTATCAAAATTTGACATTCGGAACATCTATTATGAGGAACATAAAGAATCAAAACATATTTTAAAAAATAATAAGATTTCTTAAATATTACAAACAAGATCCAAATCAAGGAATTGCGATGAAGAAATAGAACTGCTAAAAATGACCAAGTTTCACTAGTTATTGACCCAATACGAAAGTTTCAATTTATACACGTTTTGGGTTTTACAACAGATATTGTACTAATGCAAGGGTGAGCATCAAAGTGTTTCATCCGATCTACCTACCTGCCTTTGAAATTATAGTTTTATGGATATTAAATTTAGGTTGAAAAATAATCGAGAAAAATAGTGAATCGTCGGCTAAAATAAATACCTTAATTCCCGACGACACATATACTTCATACTCACCCAACCGAATTAGTATTCCGAGGAATGAAGATTAACAGAAGCAAAAGCAGAATCAAACATACTAGCGGTCTAGGCTAGGGAATTAACACAAGCAGCTTTGAGCCTGACTTAAACAAGCATTTGGAAGGCTGCTGTAGGTTACGTCAGTCCTGTTAATCATTGTGCAACTTGGCACACTGACTGTTTGTACATTGGCTGTTACGCTAGTTATTTATGAATAAACCGTTAGTTTCATATTGAGCCTTCGGCCTAGTAACCAAGTCTATTATCTGTAACTGCCCGCCTAGGAAAGTAATTGCCCACCCCTGCACTCATGCATACTAACGTTGTAAAAGTCACAACGTTTCCCACGCAAACTTCGGGGCTTTAGCAATTAACTACTATTTCAAATTAACACAGAGAAAAAAATTACGCGCCCACGGCGTGAAGAAAATATTCCGCCAAAGTCAGGGGAAAGATCGACGATATATCTATATCCACTTGCTGACTTCACGGCGATCTAATCTCTAAAGCGGGGGTGGTCCGAAAACCTTGCCCGACTAGACTTGTGGGCCATGTAAGTGTGACGTAAAAAGTTACATTTTATGAACAATATTTACAGTGCTACAAAAGCAAAAGTGGAAAAGCGGATTGAATTACACAACGGGCTGGATTTGGCCCACGGGACGTAGTTTGCCCATGCCAGCTCTAAAGCACAGGAGTGAAGAATTTAAGCATGCACAAACAAGACTAATTGTGATTAGAGAAACTGTTTTACAGCTTAATAAAACAGATTTCAGACAATGCTATGTTTTAATAAAATAAATGAACGAATTGGTTACTTGACTGATTTTCATCCTATTTTACGGTATCTAAATAAATACAGACATTTAAATTCGTTTAATAAGGCGGTGATTGACAGTTTTTGAATAAAATAATTTCTTCGTTGACTCACGATTTTAAAATTGGCAGACAGGTATGATTTTAACTAATCAATTTTACAAAATATATCTCATACGCTGTCAATGATGATGAACTATATACCTTAATGTATTGTTTTCGCGTAGCCTATACTTCCGGGTTCAAATATATAATTGATTTAATGCGTGAAGCGGCCCAGCTGAAAAGCTTATCAATGCGGACCAATATATCAGTTAATTAATTTATTTTGACAATATATAATATAATTACTAAGATAATACTAAAATGCCAACAAAGTCGAAGTAGTACAAAGTTTGATATTATAATTTTAGATTCGTTGGGAACGTGGTTCTGAATAATCACGGAGGGTCCGGATTACTATCGTCAAAAGGTCTTAACAGTCTTTCTGGCTGATAATTTCTGAAATCATCATACAACGGCTTTCTCATTGCTTACAGTGTTGACTAAAGAAAATACCATCACAACAGAAATTCTAACTTATTCTATACGTATAAAATATATATGTTACACTAATGTATGACATGCGTACCTCACAGATTATCTACTTTTCTGAACAAAAATATGAAATTGAAATAAAAAAAGACCTCCAATACACTCGTTTCATACTGCTAAATATATAAACTCGAATACGCTCGCTTTCTATCATTATGTACAGGTTCTTGTTATGACAGTATACCTATACCCTTTGATGGTCTCCGCCCTTTTAACGCCCTTCCATCGCATATTGTTATTAACAGTCAGGTTAACTCAGGTTTTATAGCAACAAACGAACTTATTTGATAATTCTCAACAGGATTTAAGTTAACATATATATCGAATCTATAAGCAGATTTAATTAACATTTTCAAGAAACTGCTAAATACCTTCAAACTTTTTTTAGATAAAAACTGACTATTTCAATTGACTATTTTGAATATAGCATATTACCAAAGAATTTCTTAATGCTGATTTTACTTATCAAATGTCAGTTTATTGTAACTCCATTAGTCTCGTTCGTGAATTGCTAAAAGAGTTCATGTTCATGGGAAAGTACAGTCATTGATAAGAATAACACATTATATCACGACCAAGTAGTAAGTACATATGTGAGCTTTCCCTTGATCACAATCTATAGCTTATTCACGAATCAGGATATAATTGTTATGACGAAAATAATAAAGATTTATTTTAATGGGAAAATAACAAAACATTATAATTTGTTAAAACACTTTATCTTGCATCCCTATGACAACTGCTACATACTTATATCTCGTAATTGAAAAGTGAATGATAATTTATTTATCAGGTTTTACGCATTGATCACATTTCAGGCACACATACATTTTATTCTCATAAGTGCAAACTGCTAGTTTTTCACGATAAACACTTATTCTGGCCTCTTATGACCAGATCACATGTCCTTTATCACGGGGATAATCTTAGCTAGGGTGAAAAAGGCAGGTATGCCTCCGAACTCATAAGAATAATTTGGGATTAATTTTGATAGTATCTAAAGAAAACCAATCAATCATCAAAAATTCACCATAGTTTAAAATCTAAATAATATAAATAATTGAAAAATTCAATTAGGGAAAAAATTCATAATTTAGTCACTCGAAGGAGAAAATAAACATATAACGCCAATTTTATGGACATTTGGCAAACAAAATTGAGATCGCACGCAACAACTCGCATTGCTTCCAACTGTATAAATATATTTTTCTTACTTCAAGATGCAAATAAATACCAACATTTACTCTACCGCCATCTTCACGAATGAAATATTGTTAATGTATGTAGAGTTTAAAATGCCACATAACTTCCTAACCATCTACCTCTACCTAATTTCTAGATTAATGTCACAGCGAACTCGTCGATGGTACAGACATTGATAACATTATATTTCAAATCTAAACTGCACATTGCTCAAATTCAAAATATGGCTCTCCAGAATTGTGTATACCAATATGGAGGTAACTAACTTTGTTCGCCTACTTTACATCAAGTTGTGTGGAGGAACTGAAACCTATGGGCATACATGGTCATGGCAGTATACATACATTCACTTGGCTAACACAGACAGTACCCTGAAATATTGAATATCGGAATAAAATTACGGCCTAACTTGAGTATTTAGTTTGCAAATTTCGAAAAATAATTTTATATTTTCAGCTGCCAAATATGCAAAAACGCTTTGGCATTGCGCAAAGTTTTCCTTCGTTTTGCTGTATGCACATAGGCTACAAACAGAAGCATATACCTCACTCAGTTGCGGGTACTCAAAGCGAACTTCCCTTAGGCAAACCAAGGACATGATATTTTGTAAAGATAAGATTGAAATTTATTACGAGTATTTGTTATGTAATTGCCATTTAAACCAATAAATAGCAATGCGTAAAATTTTTAGTATGAGCACCATAATATAAAATATAAGAAGTATATATCAACTTATATTCTATCATATTAACCAGATTATTTTATATTATGAACATTTTATACTTTAGAATACTTTAAAACAGATAATGAACGAAATCTTAAATTGAATTAATTGATTTCCTTCTCATGAAAGTCGACGGCATGATACATTCGTCTTGATGATTCATATACACCCGCACAATAAGTTGTAAGATGTGTTTTTTAAAAGTATCAGTCACGTAAACTGTACATTATAAGATGAATGGCTGTAGACGTAAAATTTTATATCAATGATTTCGGCTAATTAAAGGAAGGAACATGCTAGACATGACCTGATATAAGTTGTTCATCTTCAATAAAACTATATAAAAAGTTGGAAATACCAACAGAAAAACGATTCATATATCGCCTAGCAAACAACGTTGACACGCGTGTTTCGTAGCCATCATCATCCCATACATGTATTCCTCCGCCATTTTAAAAATTTTAATGGCAGTAAGTTTTAATGATTACAATTACTATAAAACAGCACCTATTTCTAATCTAAAATTTTCCAGAAACAGTGTTGAACTTATTGTGAAGTCAACTGTACTACAACCTTGTACTACTCTTGTCGCTACTGTTTATATTCATGCTTGTTAAACAGTGTGGTTGACCCTAACAAAGGCAATATATTTTTATAATCTCCATATCGTCTTGCGTCATCTTGAATTTGTGGATATAAAAAAATCAATATCCATAAAGTCTTAAAAAATTTTGAAATTGCAAAAGATATTTGTCTGTAACATATATTGTTTTGACCCTTACATATGTAATGAGTGAAGTAAAAATACTTGAACAATTACTGAATAAAAAACAGCAAACTTGGTTAGGATATATTAAGAACTGACTTCATATCAAAATTGAAAAGGGACTTTATGGACATTATTATGGTAGTTTCGCATAATAAATTTCTTGCTAATTTACTGGTTTCCTGAAGGGATCCACCAATAGCTTTAGTTATATTGAATAGAATATTGTTTGTTTTATCGGAATTTTATGACAAAAACCGGTAAAGCATTTTTGAATTTCTTTAGCGAAAGGTCGACATCTTTTTTATTCAGAAAAAGACCACACCAAGTCCTGTTTAAGACAGACAACATCTTTTGTATACCAATGTACTTACCAACATTTGAAAATAAATTGGTTCACCGCATTCATTCTTATAATTGTTCAATTGAACCTTGTTGAAGTCGTAGTGTCGTTATTGCCGTCGGAAATAATGGCGGCGAATTTATTGTAGTCGAAGAGTAATCAATACCTTGCCAAGCTTGAAACGTTCTTATTAATAACTGGCTAACATTTGAATATCACTATAAAGTGTGACGTTATACCATATCTTGTGCATATACTAGACGATCTTTTTGCAAAAGTACAGTCACCAACATCAAAGGTTTTTACCGGATTTCACGATTTATTTAAAGCATATATGAAAAAAGCCCTTATTAAAATAATAGGAACGATTTAGAAAATTTCTGTCAAGAAATAATTCATCCTTAAATATTCATTTGTCCTCAATCTCATAGTTACCCTCAAAAATAAACTTCATATGTTACGACAAATTTATTCAGTCACATCTTTCATGTGGTCAATTAAACAGATTTTGTTGCGAACGAAATCCAATCTCATATATTGTTATGAACTATCATCAATTGAAATCATTTTTATTTTGCTCATAGCTTGATGTATTTTATCATACATTAATTAAATGTAAGAAGATGTTCACGTCTGAAATCGACTTTAAATCAATGACCAAAATGAGTTTGTGCTAATTGTGTCTGTTTCAAAACACATAGCTTTTCATATACATCGCAATTCATATTGTCGCAGATTTTACAATTCATTTTTGACTTTTAGGTCAACATATATTTATTATAGACCTATTGATAATTCAATTTATACATAAACAATTGGAAATAGTTCAGCTTTCTCAGTTGTCATAACAATGCAACAATACTGGGAAAAAGTCTTGTTCTGATCAATCCACAGTTCAATTCTTGAATGGTAATTTGATTCTTTTTGAATGATAATATTTAATAAAATAAAAATTAAATAAATAAAGAGAATGTTAACGAACAGGTTTGCTTCCAAAAGAATACAGATCACATTTGCAAACAAGGTTCTTTGAGAATTAGATTTCTAGTTTATTCTCACTACAATAAAAAATACTTTCACGAATGTAAAACAGTTATTCTACATTTGAAATATAACAGGAAATCATCACTGAGAACTTTAATTGACTATGATATTCTAAATTTAAAAAGAAATTGAGTATTTCTTCAAAACGATCATTTTTGCAAAATATATTTTAGGAGAGTCTACTCAATATAAAGCAAAAATCTCAGAACTCAAGAATGGTAAAACTCATTCAATGTAAAACTACTTAAATAAGCCCCTAAAAATTTGGAAAAATCTCCCAGCACAAATTTGATTTCAGCAAAGACGATTTTTAAAGCTAGCAGGAAGATCTGTGTAACTTAGAGCAATCATCCCGCAACTCTATTCATAATTTAGGCAATTGATTTATAATAAATCACTAATGCCTTATGTTTAAATAATACAACGGCTAATAAAATGAATAAATAAACGATTAGTATATGAATGAGTATATCACGGACGAGTAAAAGATATATGAAGATTTATTAGTTAATCAATTGAATGTGTCTTAATATATTTAATCTCAGATTAAGCTCAAACAGAACTTAAATCATGACCGGGACAAACAGACTATCTTCAAATATGCAAAGAGAACTTTTTTGCTAGAAAATGGGCGCTCTTTTTTATATTATAAGTCTTTTAAACACCTATTGGTCTTATCACGCCAAATTGGTTTTATTAGTTCGGCTACAATGCGGGCTGTCACATGTTTATTGTCAGTGTAATTTATAGGTGAAGAAGTGCATTATATATTTTTATCAAAATTTCTAACTGCATCCTTGATGTTCAAATTGACTTCAGCTGGCCCAAGTTATGCAGCAACCGCTATTTATGGGTTCGTATAATCCAAACATTGATATTTATGAGTTTAGTAACTCTTGGTATTCCAGTGACCCTTGCGATTTTCATTACGGGTGATTTTTCTATACTTTTGAGTAAGTGTTCATGCCCCTGATTTGAGCAGATTGTCATGTAAAACACATATTCTTATAGCGGGAGAATGTTAAAATATGCGATTCCTTACACTCAAATGTCTTTTATATTATATATGAAGTCGTACGCATATACATTAGTATATATTTTTTTTTCAAGCAAAATAAAACAAATTATGATATAATAGTGGATTGAAATTAACTTTCATTTAACGTATAATATTGTTGCCACCGCTAGAGTATTTTAAGCTTGATGAATTGCATCATGCATACATAATTTACATGCTATTTTAAGTGATTCGCATCGATCTTTTCGAAGAATATAGCCTAGTGATTAGCAGGAAGAAAGCAGTGACATATAAATCTTAAGATCTTTAAAATACGAATATTCGATCAATCAGTTGTTTCGAAAACTTCCTTTTATCATATTGTACACGATTTAAAATTTATGAAGCTTGAAATTTTTTTTCATACATTAGTGAGGTAGAGTGTATTTTTGTCTGCATGGCAATTTATATATAGGTTTTATTATAGTGAGGATATGATTTAATAACGTTATAAAAACTCGAATGCTCAATAGGTGAAAACGCCGATGTACAGTACGTTATAAAGTGCTTGGCATCTGAGCTTGGACTCTTGTTTTGCGGCCATAACTCAATTCTGCACCACCAGTCAATAGGAAATCAACTCCTGTAGTGAATGTTGCTTCCGCTGCAATATATAGAGCGAGATTCCCAGATTCTTCCATAGAACCATATCTTCCCATCAGCTAAATAAAACAATATTAGTTCATATTGAAATATTCCTAAACATGCATACAATAACAACTGCATTGTCACTGATCCGCGAGGAGTACAAATTTATAGAAAGATATAAGTAGAAAAAGAATGCATGACCTTAACTAAATCGAGTAAAAAATGCCGATGTGTACTTCAAAGATGCGGATATTTGTAGAAATGCGCAGAAGAATATTATTGTTACATAAATGGTAACAAAATTTGTAATTTGATTACTCTCTCTAGAACGAAGAAATATTTCGATCTGGCGAGCACTCGCCAAATCCACCCGACTATATATCTGCATGCTAGTCTTTCTTGTTTGGAGTCGTCAAGTGCCTCGTGGAAACATCAAATTTGGCAGTAAAATTTTATACGAATTGCACAAAATAATACAAAACAATTACCCAATAATATCAAAATTTCTGTCTGCACTGAAATCAAAGGTCTGCGATTTGACACATTCATTTTACCTGCGCTTCGGCGCCATCTATGGTTGCTTTATTTGTATCTATTGCTTCGTTCGCCAGTTTTGACCACATAGGTGTCCAAACATTTCCCGGACTTATACAGTTGACTCGTACACCGTTGACAGCCTCGTCAATAGCCATTGCCTTTGTCATGGCTATGATGGCGCCCTAGAATAAATCAATCTCTCAATACAAATCAGCAAGCTAGCGTTCGTGATCGGGTGACAAAATAATCCTAGTGGAAAGTCCCAAAAATATTTTTGCGAAATCTAAAACCAAAAGATTGTCACAAAAATTCAAAAAAAAAAATCATTCCAAATGAAACGTTTACGTGTAAAACATAGTATAACATAGCTTTACTCATAGATCATGAAAAATATCTTGGCAGTTCCAAAAAACAATGAATATTTTAGACAAGTAAAAACCTCCGGTATTGCAAATGGATTCGAACCTAATATTACAGTTTTTTTGTCTTTCTCTCATGTTTTTTACGTAAACGGACACTGCTGATACTATTTGTTTTACCCAGCTAACTAAAAGTTGGCTCTATTAAATATTAACGGAATTATGGTTATGTGCCTGAAAATAAGTAACCGCAATCTGATTGTTGCTCAGCAAAAAAAGTATTAATACAATCACGCAATGAGATATTGTAAGTAAAATATGAATAATTCTCAGTAAAATTGTCATCGTCGAACCATGAGATAGAGCATGCCGGCTTAATGCTCAAACAACGAAGGCATCATCTAAAACGTAATTGTATACAAATACTATTTACCTTTGTTGATACATATGGAACAGCATTAGGTTGTCCCATACTTCCTACTAAACTTGATAAATTGATGATGTTGCCTTTAGTTTTCCGAAGACTTGGCAATGCATACTGTATATGAATAAGTATACATGAGAAATCTTAGTCATAGGATATTACTTCACCAAGAATTTAATATATGGCTACGTATTTGGCCTAGCCATGGGGCTGAATTTGACAAAAAGAGAACCAGAATCATGCTTGCTAACTCAAATAATTCCCGTATCATTATGCAGTTTGTGCTATGTTATCACAGTTGTAAGTTTTGTGGAGGAATCTACGGTAGTTGGAGATATCTTGAAAATTGCTAGTAAATTAGCATTTTACGCTATGTTTAAAGTCTTAGTGTAAAATGTGAATTTTAAAACCACGGTCTATATAAGTTGCTATTGTTGCATTTATCCAATAATATTCCTAGATAAGCATTATTAAATAGTCAATAGATATAGGTCAACGGATAGATGAGGAAGAGAAAGCGAAATAAATACTGATCAGCATTGTATAAGAAGATGAATCACTACAGCCAATAAGGTTCGACAGTTATTAAGTTAATTTTTGTGAATCTACTGTGGAAATTGTGTGTGTGGTTGAACACTTTAATTAAGCAAATATTTAATTTTGATGCGCATGATGCTTCCACACACAATCCGTGGATTACTTATTAATGTATTAGGTTTGGTTGCATGTGAAGGCATATCAGAAGACATAAAGTAATTAGGCTTAGCTTATCACATATTCGCAATAACTTAAAGCACAATTACATATATATACATTTCTTCATCTTGCGCGCCAGAACTATGCCAGCTAGTTTTATTCCTATACTACCTAAATACAGTGAAATACAATGCTGCAGTAAAAAGTAGAACAGCAAATGCACTTCATATGTGAAGCGTGCTTATGATCTCCTACAGCAAATCTTTTATTATTAGGTTTTAATTTTTGATTATGCACGGTACTTCCAGGGTCCTAAATATTATATAAATTATGTTAATTTTAAACTATCAGGCAACATTAGTATATAAGAACGATACTAATTTGCGACAAATAAAAAAAACACTTACGTTATTGTGATTAAATAATATACAAAGCTATTAGCAATTGACAACACCTAATTGAGACACTAACGCCCGCGTTCATGCAACCGTAGTCTTCGCGTGATTGACGATTATAAGAGAAGTATAATTGATATCAATATTGGAATTTATTGCAAAAACGGGTAATTTATATAACCAACGTGTATGTTTATGGCAATTGAAGACTATTATCAATCAGTTTCGATAGGAATTAATCAAATGACAACCGGCTCAGAGCTCTATCTAACCAACTCCAGTTTCTGGGGATGCAACGAACCAGAACTATGGTCCGGTAAATATGAAATGATTAAGCTTTCTAATGCGTGACTCACTTTGGCAAATAGGAAGTAACTGACAACATTCGTGTCGTACAAACTTCGTAATTCAGCTGCTGAAATATCGTCAATCTTTTGATCAGGTGGATGTCTTCCCGCATTATTCACAAGACAATCAATTTCTCCGAACTTAGCTACAGTAGAGTTAACAACTTTCTGAATACCGAGAATAAACAACAAATATTTTGTAATGTGAAATGAGCAATCTAGCATGCATTCTAGGTGAAATATGACAATACGGAAGCGATTGCTAATTCCGTAGCATATATCCCAAAGTTTGGTCTACAAATGCTCTCAGGATGGGTACTAGTCAACATCCAAATTTTACGGCTGATTATGATATAATATTGACTGGTTGGATAAGAAAAACCATACATACTATAATGTCTTCTTCTTTAGCAACGTCACATTTCACAAAAAATGAAGATCCGGGATATTTCCCATTTAATTCCTTTTCTAGTTTTTTTCCGACATCTTCATCCCGAGCACAAAAGCAAACTTTGGCGCCTTGTTGCACTAAATATAAATTGACTTTGTGAAAAGATTCATTTAATTGAAAATGTATATTCTTTTCTTCATTGTCAAATATAAAAACTAATTAAAAATATTCACAATTTGCTCTAATGCCTGAAAAGGACTTTAGATCATCAGAAAACCTATTGATATGTCCAGCTGTGCCAGTTTTATAGTTGCACATAAGTTGCCATCTACAATTCAACTAAACGTTAGTCCAGTGATTCCCAACGTTTTCTAGGTAATATTAAGTATTCTAAGTAATATTAAACAAAGAAGATCATATAAAGGGAATTTTATTCATGTAAATATAACATACCATGTATTTAGTAACAGGTATAAAATAATGAAGCTGAATGTCAGTAGGACTGTCATGCCTGGTACTTCATTACTACTGCTGCAATTTGGGCACAAGTGTGATGGAAACATAGGCCTTCAACTCTCTGAGAGAGACACTCTTAATTAACGAAAGCGATAATTTCGTCTATATTTGAATATATGTTGTTTTCGCTTTACAAAATCACCATTTCCGAAAAGTGCGATAGCAGAAATGGTTAATAGTTAACGTAATGACTGTTTTCTTACAATAGCGTACATGAAAGCGCCTTCGGAACCCCCCTACATTATTGTAAAAGATTCGCGGCCGCACTGGTAATACGCAGGCTTGTCCATGAGAAACGTCCGGGGGGGTGCCATGGGACAGCATACATTTGTATTTTCCATGGGACACAAAAATGATTTTCGGGGAAATGATGGTAAAACATTTCGTTATGGACTTCGTGTCCATATATTTGAGCTTAGCTCTCTTGTTAGTTATAAAGACCAAAATATATTGAGCATTCCAATAAACCTCGTGAACACATGTATAATAGTTATGAATATAAAGTTAACAAAGTCCGTAAATTTTGTTGTTTTGCATGTCTTTTTGTACATGTAGTCCTATTTAGTAGATGTTAAACCTAAATTTAACAATTTTTTTTCAAATTTTATTCCAATGGGAATCCCATGGTATCGGATGAGATGGAACAGCCATAATTGCCATGGAATGGGGACAGAAAAATACGTCCCATGGACAAGCCTGTTAACACCTGTTCTTCAAACGCACTGCCGATCACGCGCTTCGGTTTCGCTCGCCCTTCCCATTTTCACGTTACGCCCTTATAGTTATCACAAGTATTTTCACTTTTGCACAACCCTTTTTTTGTTACAATTTGATATGTCTCTCCCATTTCCAAAATTATTCAATAGTGTTATTGTCGGCATTAACAAGAGAAATGAAAACGGGGTCAAAATAGAATCTCTTTATGGAATCGAATTATTCTAAAATTTTTAACGAATTATCGAATATCGGGTATTTTCGGTATATATACAACGGGCATTCAGCACGCTAGACATTCTAATGTTGGTGAGCTATTTCCGCCCGTTCTCTTTTTTTACAAGGACCAATTATCACACAACAGCGAACGTCGAAGTTTGGCTTTAGATTCTTGGGAGAACTATGCGTTCATATCGGCGACATATGTTAAAGACAGCCAATAAGGAGTGATTTTATTCCAAAAATTTCGCGCAATAATTCGTTACCTTGTTCGACTTTATCAATATTACGAAACGGTGTTGGCGCACTTTATGCAAAACTTAGACTTGAAACAATACCCAGATACGACTCCTCGAATTTGTCGTTTCTGTTTGTTAGCAAGAGAAGTGAGGTGATTCTAGCGGAATTCAAGGGATTGGGAATTGGAATCGCTTGAAATAAATTCAAAAATAAAAACCCTTTCGCGGCACACTAATGTGTGGCGGCACAGTGGTTGGGAATCACTGCGTTTGTGTATCAATAAATAAATTTACGCCAGAATCATTCGCAATCCAAATATATATCTTTTTTAAATCGAGAAAAACATGTTTATAACATTGCTTACATCCATTATATTCATCGTTTGATTGCTAATCATGCGACATTTAGTTTCACCGCGTTTATATTATAAAATAAATAAACATGTCCCTCCTAATTTTTAACTTCCACCACATCTTATTAAATTCGGCCTCGCGTGTAACGTGCTGAATGTATGTATCTTACCAAAGACTGTGACGATTCCCTTGCCAATCCCCTTACTTCCGCCAGTGACCAACGCAACTTTGTCTTTGTACCTTTGAGTCATCTCAATGAACTAGAAATAATATTGTTTTCAAAAGTATACAGAATAAATTGACTTCTGTCACGCTAGCGAAATCCAGCTGCTCAAAAATACGATGTCATAAAAAGTGTTTCATTATGAAATTTATGAATAAAAAATAATTTAATTGCACTAAGCAAATGAGGTCTGAAATTTCGTTAGGGTTAGGGTTTTCGTGGCTATTGATTAGAAATACTTTGCAAAGTGCGAACACACTTTTATGACATCGTATATTTTTATGTAGGATTTCGCTAGCATTTCGCTGACATGACAGTGGCATAAATTGTGCCTACAGAAATAATTTATTCAGCACCTCTCCAAACCTGTATATATCTGTCAAATGGTTATTGAAAATAAGAGAGTTTTAATTATTTTTCGAAAAAAATAACCCTTCTTTATTTCTGTCACGATTCTACAAAAAGCACTTGCTGCGACAAATGGACAATTCTAATAGATTTTTATCTTTCGACAGATTTGTCCGGTATGTAGCCTACAGCAACAACAACAAAAATGTTCTTTTTCACGAAAACAGAAAAAGCGCTGAAGAAATAGCGCCAGTTGTTCCAGGACCTATATTGATATTATTAATGGTTCGTGAGGCTTCCCGACGCTCAAGCTGATTGGAAGGTAAATATAAATGTTCCACGTAGATCAGCAGTCTCGGGGCATTGCCGACTCAGCAACTATAAGAAATGTTTCTACTTCGATACCTTCTGGTCTGCCACAATTAATTTGGTTGTCTATTTACTTTTGTCATACACGTTCAGTCAGAGTCGCATTGAATTAAAATGAACGCCCGAACTTTATTTGTTCTCCGCCTATCTCGCTAAGCATTTCTCCGCGTTCGGACCTCATTGGTTATTCCGTATGTAATACCCTCGCGCTGCAAAGCTGCTTGGACATACAAGCCTGCCAAGACTATATTGATGTAACCACTGTCGTCTGGCTGGCCTGAACTGCCCTGGGTCGATCTAAACTGCCTCTATCATAAACGGTCTTTACTGATGCATTCGTCGACGTGCTTCCATAAAGTGGCGATATGCGTATTCTAGAGCGCTCGCACGTGTCATACTCGTTACTTCACCTTTAACATTCCGCTACTGGTCTTATCGATGTACAAACAACCGAACAGGTTACGTCATCTTTACAATGCCTGAAAGCAGCTTAGGGGAATTACCGAATCCAAAACTGATGACAAGCTTCGCAGTATGGCAATACGCGCCAGTCGAAGTATTGTTTAAGAACGTTGCGGATGGCCGAATGTAACGATATTGTACATTGATTGATTGGTTCATGAACTGTGCGTCACTGGCCTATATATCGATTGAAAAAATGCAATATTATCAAAAATCTGCAAATACTAACTTTTAGAAAGAGTTGCAACCTACTATGTAAGACATTCATTCGAGTTATAACCGTTTGCGCATGACACTATAGATCACGTATTGTATCCGTGACTTTGATGTCGGAAATTTGCCATGTAATCCCAGATAATATCTGGATGAAGTGGCCTGTCATTTTCGATGATATTCAATGTTTTTAGAACGTGTGTGATAAAATTGACTGTGTCTTGTAAAGAAAATTATTTTAGTAATAGTTTTATATCAGCGAATATAGGATTATTATATTAGTTTTATATAGTCGAACAGCTGAACTGTGTAAATATGGCACCTTACATGATACCATGATTTAGTATAAACCTAACTTTTATCAAGAATATATGTGTTCAATATTTGTCTCCGTTTTACACAAATAGGTCCAGCACGTTATCACATAACATAACACCACATTACAAATCTGATTTTACGTAAGAGTTGAAAAAAAAACATTCACTTTGTGTTTGAAACATTCTTTAGGCTCACATAACTGCTTTTGATACGCCATTCTATTGGACGATAATTTCTGCAGGCCATTTTAAATATTAAGTTGCTTCATGACATGCCTCGGGGATAAAGACCAGTTATGCCGGGGGAAAAAATTATGCTACGTTTATACGCCAATATGCTAAAAATCAACATCGCATCTCTCAGTTTTGTCAGGTTGCATCTATCTAATATTGTTCAAATTTATTGCCAAGTAGAAAAGATAACGAGCACTACTGGAAAGAGAATTTTTAGTTGATTAGGTTATTTCAAGCAGTGAAATTATTTTAATATTTCCAATAGAAGTGTTGCTAGTTCTGGCTTGTCGTTTTGCATGAAATGTGAGTGCCATTTTGGCTTATGGGAGATTTTTTTCAATTCAGCCAGAATATCCAGAAAAGCTTCAAATAGAATGAAAGAATCGCAAGCAGGAAAAAGAAAAAACTCAATTTTTGTCATTATGAGAAATTCAGTATGTTACATTGCACATTAGTGTTTCAAATTAAATTTAAAAAAAGTGCGTTTAAGCGAAACAAAATGGATTTACTTCAAATTCAATTTGAAACACAAGTGGACAATGAAGCATAGCTAATTTTTCATAATGATAAAAATTTAGTTCTTTTTATTTTCTTCTTGTGATTTTCAATTCTATCGAATTTACAAGTATATTTTTTTTAACCGAGATTGTTTTTAGATCTTCAAGCGACGAATGTTGATTCAGCACGTTAGCGTTATCGTCGATAGTTAACTAACATTATGTATTTATAATCGTTCTCTGCGAGAGCAAGATCACATTTTGTGCTTTGCATATCTTTTTCCATATTTTAACATACTGTGTTATAAGGCTTCGGGGCATCGTTTTCAAAAAATCAAAACAATCTGAATAGGCTACCTCTTCAGTTAGACAGGTTTGTCGTCAAATTTAGACGTGCAGTGTTTCAGTAGTATATGAACATGAGACAGATTATGTGTATTATGTGATAAATAGAGTTACATAAATATGACATTTTGCAATTTTATGTCGATATTTGTTTGCAGTAAATTTCTTACTATGTTAATTTTGTGACTCATTACAAAAATCATTACCACGTTCTCATTTTTTCCTAACTTTCTGAAATTGGTCTGGCAGATAAAAATCTATTCGATGGAACCCTGTCAATGAGACATTTTAATCTGTTTGGCAGTAAAATTTGTTTATGTTTCATATAATACAACGACTGTTTGACTACCACACCATATAGTAAGACTTTCAGAGCAAGATAGTTTCGTTCACACTTTTCACGCATACGCTACAAAGTGGTATATAGTTTAAAAAATCATATTTATTAGCGGACATTTACGGAAACACTCATTTTGCCACACGATTGGTTGGTAATTATTAATACTTGAGTATTATTTCAGATTTTACACATATTTTATAAGCGCTAGTTCGCTACAAATCACGATTACGAGCGAACCTTGTGGTCTGGTTGGTTTAAAAAAGAATACTTATATATATATATTTATAAAAAGGCGGTGTATTTATTTAGATTCTGAAATTTAAAGTGATGTCACAACCAATTTTACTTAAAAATTGAAAAAAAAATAAACTTAACCCCTATTAAAAAATAAAATGAATATTATCAGCAACCTTTTATTAAACAAATTAATTCCGTGTCAAAACGTAAACAAGCAATCACCACACAAAAACTTTTCATTGCAGTAGTGCAATACTAATATCTGCCTAGCACAAATTTCCAATGGTTTAGCCCAGTGATCAACAACGTGGGTAATACCATAGGGATTATAATATGGGGCAAAAAGCCCGGAAAAGAAAATATCAAAACTCGCCGAGATCACTATCTGTCGCCTGTCTTACTAAAAACACCATGTGATTCTTGACTAATCAATTACTAATATAATTAATTTGTTTTCACATAACGTTTTATAAGTATTGCCAGGGGGCGATGATGGTGAATGAACTACTGTAGCGAGACGACGATGCATATTTGTTTGGGAACCACTGGTTCAGCACAATCTGTATAAAATGTTATACTTTAGGTTTACTAATTGATTTTAGGCAATTTAATGCACTCCAATGAAAATGTATTCAAATTTTGATTTGTTGGCATAGCCATAACCCACATTCCATTTTTTTCAAATAAACTAATTGCTAGATACATCTGTATAGGTGTGTGTGATTGGTACAACAAATATGAAATATTTGTTTTGTTTATGCGGGGTGATTCTGGCTTTTTGGATAACGGAAAATAGCGTTGCTCAAAAAGGTAAATATTCAATACTTTCATTTGTATACTAATATATGTATATATTTTGGTTAATCAATAATATTATATTTATGCATTTGATACTTGATTCGTGTAGCTTACTGACGCAGTGGGAGGTTAAAATAATCTAATGGCATGTATCTATTTTATGCTCTTTTTATTTTATTTCGGTTTCTTATTTTGCATGTGGTTTGAATAAAATTAATTCATTTGTCTCCAGCTCGTCCAATTAAGTGGGGTGCACCGTGGGGTAACTGGTCAAAATGTTCAGTTACATGCGGTGGTGGGACGAAAGAAAGGTCGAAATATTGTACAACACCTGGAGTGATAGAAAGCAGATGCGTCAGAACAAGAAGAAGACCTTGTAACATAAAAAAATGTCCAGACCCAGGTGTACATCGTTTTTTTTTTATTTTCAACATATCAATAAGTAAAAATAGGAACAAACTTACTATAAAGTGCAAAATACGCATTGTGCGTGTTATAGAATTTCAGTCTCAAGTTAACTTGTAAAATATTTAGTCAGCTAAAAAGGTAATATTATGTACATGTCTATCTATATCAAATGAACAATGCCCGCCTTTCAATCTTTAGTTTCTAATCTGATAAAATCACTACACGCAATATAGAATGACAATATTAATTTCAAATAATCGCGTCAAATTTCACTAGGCTGGCAATTTTAACAGATATTTATATACCACTTGAAGAATGTATATTATGAGCCCGGTCGATATGACACTTTGTATGGTATTAAAACACATAAATGGACAAGATAAAATTCCTGCTTTTCCTTTATTATAAATGTATTTATAAATGTTTGAAAGGTGAGAACAAAACGAGTTACATTGTGGGCATTCATCATTCCACCTGTCTTAAAATTTCATTCTAGAATTTACTGATTGATATCAGTTCTATATATTAAGCCAATGTTCCAGTTAAAAATTGGGAAGATAATTAGATTAAAAAAGAGCCATAATTTCTTTAATGCCATTTCACTACGTCTTATATCAAAATTAGAAAACATTTTCATACGCATTTTTATTTCAGGTAACTCAGATTGATAAAATACTTATTTCGTTTTAGTTCCGCCACCATCTGCCGACCCCCCTGTTTTGACAGAAACGACTGGACCTCCGAAGCCAATGCCTGAATATATTGGTATGTATTAACATTCTACGACCTAAGTTAACAAATGAAGTGTTTATTTTACTCCCTTATATTTTAGATACCTCGCCTGAACCAACAGCTATTCCAGAACCAACTGGAACGCCTATGCCGATGCCAGAATCAACAGGTATACAATTTACAAGCTATTTAGCTCTAAAAAATGCATCTACCGCGGGGTTTCTAAAGTTCTATGCTCTTCTAACTCATTTTCACCGGCCTAACAAATCTTAGTTCCACAAAACCTTTAATAAAAATTTTGAGTATTCCAAAAATGTCTTCAATAATGAAATTTAAATTTCAACAAAATACTTCCAGCTATGACGTATATGAACATTTCATTTTCTCCGACTTAATTAATATATTCAGTATAGTATACGCATATACATATTGCCTATTTTTATTAAATACTTTTAGACACGCCAATTCCATGGCCCGAAGGCGTTGATGGAAGTGATGTTGGTGAGTGGCTGAGTAGATAAGTTGAATCGGAGAGTAATTTTAATGTGTCGATAAAAAATTGATTTACCGCTGAACTTTTTTTTTTACAACTTGATAATTTCCTCTCAAGATGAGAACCATTCAACATCATATACTCATACAAGATAGTTGGTACTCCCGTGGTTTTTGTACTAGGTTAGGGTTAGGCCATAATTTTATTCCGATTTCAATTATTTTAGTATATACTATTACGAGTTCAGGGACTGTCTGTGTTAGTCAAGTGAATATACCCCCTCCCCATAGGCTTCAGTCTCGTTACACAACTTGATGTAACGTAAGCGAACAAAATCAGTTACCTCCATATTGGTACTTCTGGAGTGCCAGTTAATTTGTCTGAAATAATGATTACGTCAATATTCAAAAATCTCAAAATGCCGTAGAATACATAGTTTACAACCGCCAATCAAATACATAGTCTAAATAATAAATAAAAATTGCTACCCTTTTGCACAAACATCAAATGACCTCGGTCAATGCTGATATCATCTTTCACATAATTGAGAATATCTTGTTATATTTATTGTCGCCGAAAATTATACAATGTTTTTGTGAATATCTTGGTCTAATTATATAATATGTTTGGTATTTACTATCGACTGTTTAAGTACATCTAATATATTCTAATTTTTGTCCATTGTAACAAAATGTGCGGGTGGTTTAATACACATATGGGTATATTATTTTACATTGTCATAGTTGGGAATAAGTTACTGATGTACTATATTTAGAGATGTGTTATAATATTTGGGCTGTCACCTGTCAACTGTCATCCAGTTGAACAATCTATATCAAAATATATGTTTCGAGAATTTTAACCATTGCATGAGTGGAGCTTATTAGATTTTAAGTTGTATTTGTTGCTGCGAATTGATAATTTTGTCAGGTTCTACAGAGTTGAACTATTCTCATTAATTGCATTTCGAATATTAAACATAAAACGTACTCTACACAAAGTTAGATATTTAACCTTGGTTCTCAATAATATTGATACATTATACATAACTCAGATTATACCTTGGCACCATGGGGTGACTGGTCAGATTGTAGTGCGATGTGTGGTGGAGGCGTAAAATACAGAACTAGGGAATGTGAAAAACCAAATGGAAGACCTGAGTGCGAAGAAGCAGATGCAGAAGAATGCAACATAATGCCTTGCGATGATGGATCTGTCGGTGAACCAATCCCAATAATGCCAACAGGTCTGCTCTTTCATTTGGTGAAAGAGAAGCAACAGATTCGATTTGTACAATATACTGGGAGCGAATTGTAGGCATTTTGTGAAAAACTTGTTATCCATAATCTGTGATTGTAAATGCGTATAAACAGAAAAAATAAGCATTGCAAATTATAGGCTAAACATTAAACATGAAAACGTAGATGAAATGTCCCATTCGAAACTTTGAAAATCTTTCACAAACACGAGAAAATGGTATCGTAGTGTGGTCCAGTTTTAAATCCTAAATGAAGTAAGTTGTTCACTGCATCGGGAATTTCAAAAATCTTTGGAAAATTTGAATAGGTTGTCACGATTTTTCCCAGACGAGTTTTTAGTCGTCAAACACAATCTCCAAAGAAAATTACGTTTCAAGTTTGATACAGCATACTGATTTTCGTTGTTGCTGCAATTTTTTACGCGAAATTTAAAATAATTTCTTGTTTAAAATACAGTTTTTATTTGATTTCTTCCACTCTTATTTTTTTCTTATTTAATTCCAGTCGATCCCGAGACATGGCCTGAGGGAGATGGAAAACTCGACATAAAGGGTATGTTATTGGATTTGCTGACCGCGAAATTTTTTATTCGATTTTTAATATTATTTTTTATATTCCAAGTATATTTGTTTTATATATACATACACGAATTTGGGGTGTACAGATTTTTCTTTGTCAAGAAATGTACTTAATTACGAGGAATAAAGTATCGGTCTCTTCAAAGATGATATAATCAGAAATGTTATAAATACAGTACGATTGCCGTGAAGCGGAAATTTATATAATATGCTGACATTTTTCCAAAACGCCTTTGTCAGGGCGGAATTTTGAAACTTGCGAAATCCCCATTTTTTGCGAATATCCTTTATATTTTAGTTCTAATTTTGCAGTAGTCAATTTATTGACATTAATTAAACAGAGTAATTTAACATAAATTGAAGTACAAATATTTACAATTTATGATGGCATAAAAGAATTTTTTTATTAATACACACAAAGAATGTAAATGCGATGATTATTTAGCGAATACCCACTTTTGTTTTTCTTTTATGTTTTTGATAGAGTAAATGAGGTTTTGTTTTTTTTATCAAATCTAAAAAACAGCCTTTTTTAAAACAAGGGCTTGCTTTTGATCAATTTTTTTCTGTATCTTCTGTATTTTTTTTTATCGAAATACCCCTTGCATCGCCGTGAAACTATAGGCTAATATGTTGCGTATTGGCAGCTGCACACGCTACCAGAATAATATGATAAGAGCTTTGTAAAATTTTAAACTGACATTATTCTGAAATATTTCAGCAGTAATAACAGTGATTGATTATTGTTTTGTGCGGGTCGACTTCCCGATTTTTAGATAAAATGAAATTTGAGTTTTTGTTGACGTGCAACATAACGCGATTCGATTCACAACCTTATCAAAAGATTTCAGACCACAGACAAATATTATGGAAACATTTTCACCAGAATTACAATATTGGTGGAATGTGAAATGATACTTTTTTCCTATCCATATATTCCGTGTATAAAGGAGAGAAGTAAAATGTTGAATATTTTTGTTGAGCTATCCAGGCAATTCTTCTGTCTAAAGTTTAAGGGTAATTTAAATGACACAAAACTTGAACGATTTTTAAAATATATACACCGTTCTAAAATGTTTATCTAACATTTTATATATATATATATATTAATATGTAGATATGTAAAACATGTATACTGATATTATTTAATTCATACGTGTCTATTTGTCACCACATTCAGATGAAGGAGCAGATCCAGAGGGCCAAGTAAAAATACCAGGAGGTAAGTAATGCTTACTTACAAAGCCATCAAGACTCCATAGGGTGTACAAACCGTTTGAATAAGCGATACTCTTTTCAAACCGTAACAAGCACCCAGAGAATTACTTAGTCGCTTCCGGCGCGTCGGTGATTATTTTAATTGGAGCTGCCTCCGCGCACTTTGATTTGATCAAACTCGTAAAAATACCGGTAGTTGGTTAACCATACTGAGATAAATGCGTTTTTTTTTCATTCAAAATCGCAATATAAAAATAACTTTTTAATCCCACGGCAAAGTCGTGTTCAATTCGTTTTCTAATCGTTCATGGATCGCAATATATTACATTTATCAGTTTCTAAATCTTATTTTGTATTCATAAAATAGTTTTACCGTGGCCTGAAGGTGACCCATTGGCAAAAGATAAGCTATATACTATGAAATCATCCTTTGCGGTATTTTTGTTAACACAAACTCTCCAAAATATGTTCATATATCACGAGGAAAAATTTATCATTAAAAAGACACGCGGAGTAAACCTGTTGATCGTTATCTTAATTGTTGTAGTTCGGATCCCTGTGGATCTTGCCGATTTTGTCTTCAACTATTAGAGTGATCAGTTTTAAATGTTTACTGTTTCAAAATAGGGATGTCTTCTGAAGTCATTTCTTTTATATTTAGTAATATATTTTGGTCTTCCTTTTGTCTTGTTAATTTACCCCTAGCGTATCATTTTTCAAAACTTGCACCTTCACGTGGTTTTTTTTTCATATCGCGAAGTCTGACGAAGGATGTCAGATTTTGTTGAAAAATATGCCTACCAACCACAAAACCACGTCCAATTAAGTAGAAATGGAATGGTAAAATGCTCCCGATCGGCGAAGAGGGCTATTAGCCTGAAGACAGCGGGTTGCATTTTTCATGGGTTTATCTCGCTCAATATTGTTTGTGTATCAAAACAATAATGTTGGAATAAATATTCACATTCGTCATTGCCATGCGACTGTGGTTTAGATATACATAAATTTCAGATTATGATATGGCATCATGGGGTCCATGGTCTACCTGCAGTATGATTTGTGGCGGTGGCGTTCGATACAGAACGCGTGAATGTGAAAAACCAAATGGAAGGCCAGAATGTGAGGAAACAGATGCCGATGTCTGCAACACAAATCCGTGTGATGATGGAGCACCTGTTGGCGAACCGATACCCACAGATTGGTCGTTAAAAGGTGGTTTATTATAGTGACAGCAATCGTAGCTTGTTTTTAGAACCGTCGAATGTTACCGAATGCTAAATAAAATTTGTTTGTACTTCCTTTTCACAGATATAGATGAAATTCCCGAGGGAGAAACAATAATAATAGGAGGTGAGTATCTAGTTGATCAGACATCCTAAAACAGTGCAGCACCTATACTGTTGATGTTATATTGGAACCCCTTGCACAGCAACTGAGATGGAATGAAGAAAGCTCGAATAAGCCTCGGACAAAACATTTTATAGGGCATAGTTTTTAAGAATAGTATATCATTTGGGAGAGATGCAAACTGAAATAAATATGAAAGTTCAAACCACGTGCATTGCTTTTAAAACTGGTGTTAATAAGTGTGAACACAATTTCAAAGTTAATTTTTAAAATTTTCAGATTCGCCATGGCCTGAAGGAGAACAACCAGCTAAAGATGAGGTCGACGGAACACTGCCAATAGATACGTCTTTAAAAGGTAAGTTTCGAATACTGGTGACAGTCATAGTTTGCTGTCATGATCATTTGCTAATGGCAATTTCATGTTTGAATAAATCTTGTTTATATTTTCTATTCACAGACAAAGGCGCAGATCCCGAAGGAGAAACAGTAGTAATAGGAGGTGAGTATTTGTTAATCAAACACCCTTAAACAGAGCAACAACAGTGCAATATCAATTTTTGACGGTGCAATGAATGTTTCATTTTCTAGCAATTACAAAAATATTCAATTCTGGTAAATTGATTAGTTAGAAATGTGAATAAAAGACGTATAAATGCTCCAGCAAATAAATATATATCACATGTTCATCTCATCACTATATATAAGACATTTTGTGTTGAACAGAATGATTTACATTTGCACAGGATTGGGCGACGAAAACTTAGATAAATAAAACCTCACTAGATCGCGCTAAAATCTGGTCACATACCGCAGTTTTAATGAAATTTTGTATTGGCGAACGATTTCACAGCATTTTCAGAAATATGTCCGATGCTTTACTGTATGCGGATAAGATAAGCTTCCAACGTTATGTAAAGTTGACGTTTAATTATTTTGGTAATCGGTATGAACTAAGAATTAAATTTAATCCAGAATTACCATGGCCAGAAGGAGAAACACCAGTTAAAGATATGGGTACGTATATATCCATCGCAATATCAGTTCACAAAATTACACAGATAATGAATGACTCGTTCCACGGTCGTGTAATAATAAAATCTCAATGTACTTTAAGCTGTCAAACTTTTTTGGAGTGGAGTTCAGAATAAGCAAATTGTGAATACACTGCTAAAGATCAGTAGTTCAAGGACTACTTTTATAAAATCATATTCCTATATAAAGACAAAAACAAATGCTATTGGCGCAAAAAAAAACAGTAAAAACCTGCCAGTATATGTGTTGAGATGTGTGGAATTATACAGTCATATAGTTAAACATATTATCGATTATAACCATATCAATGAGAGTGATTGCTACGAATACCAGACAAAATTCATATTATTGACCCGAATTTAGATTACGATATGGCATTATGGGGTCCATGGTCTGTTTGCGATATGAAGTGTGGCGGCGGCATGCGTTACAGAACACGTGAATGCAAAAATCCAAACGGAAGACCAGAGTGTGAGGAAGCAGGCGAAGAGGCATGCAATACAGACCCGTGTGATGATGGATTACCAGTCGGTGAACCACTGCCAACGGATTATTCTTTGAAAGGTTTTGATAATTTATACTAAATGTTTTACTCGCGTTTTTTCTGATTATAAAATAATGAGCTGATTATTACAATATTCAAGGATCTTCAAATCTTATATAAATATCAAATATATATCTATTCAAATCTTTTTCAAATTTGGTTCTTTATTTAAATTCATCGTATAATATCTTGCACTTCTATTCCATAGATAAAGATGCGGACCCGGAGGGACAAATCAAAATTACAGGAGGTGAGTAAAATTATTAAATCTACGTTACATATAACATTTAGATGTAACTGTGTTTAAACTACGTAAATCATACTTTTTATATAAAGACTGAAGAAAATTGCACTCCTTATTTTTATGCTAACTTCTTGATGACTGTAATTTTAAGAATCCTAATAATATTCAGATAATTCATAAACAATATTACCCCAAACAAGCATATAAATGTTACGGAAGACACATAATGTGTATAATGTAATAATTGTGGGCATGTTAAAATTACGGCGAATGTTCAAGTAGTATATTTTGAAGAAAGAAAAGACAATTTTTTGCAGCTCATTCTTGGGAAGTAAAACCACATTGTTTATGCGGTTCAATATGTAAATTTTCGATTTCAAGATTACTTTCAGCCCGTAATTACATTTACATCGGTTCTTATATCTGTTTAATTCAGTTGTTCCGTGGCCTGAAGGTGAACCGCCTATGAAAGATAAAGGTATGTCGTTTTATTATCGTTTTGATCATATAAATATATGTCACACAACTAATCAAATATATATTCGATACGGTGCCCAAAATAATTCTTGATGAACTCGAAGCTTACAAGTTGGCAAACGAAATGAGCTAACAATATGAGGAAACTGATAGAAAAGCTAAATATATTCTATTTATATCGGATGTTACTTTGTTTTTGCAAGTTATCTTTATGTTACATCGGACAGCCTAAATTTATTGCTCGCAATCGTCCCGCTTGTAAGTGTCGAGATCTCGCTTTAATCAACCTTTGATAAAATTGGTTTGAATAATATAAATTTGTTGAGGGCAAAATGAATGTTTCATTTTCTAGCAATTACATAAAAATATCAAATTTTGGTAAATTGATCAGTTAGAAATGATAATGAAATTCCGCAGAAACGTAAATGCACCAGTAACTAAATATATCACATGTTTATCTCATTTACGTAGCATCTGGGACACACTCAATATGACGACGCTTTAGATTTATGAGACTGGCTAGATTTTATGTTGAACAGAACGATTTATATTTGCACAGGATTGAGCGATGAAAACTCAGATAAATAAAAGTTCACTAAATCGCGCTAAAATCTGGTCCACATACCGCTGCTTTAACGAAATTTTGAATTGGCAAACGAATTCAGAGCATTTTCAGGAATATTTCTGATGCGTTACTGTATGGAATAAGATAAGCTTCCAACGTTACCTGACATGAATGTAATATTAACGTTTAATTATTTTGTTAATCGGTATGAACTAAGAATTAAATTTAATCCAGAATTGCCATGGCCAGAAGGAGAAACACCAGTTAAAGATATGGGTACGTATATATATATCTATCCCAATATCAGTTCACAAAATTATACAGATAACGACTCATTCCACGGTCGTGTAAAGATAAAATCTCAATGTATCGTACTTTAAACTATTTAAGCCAAACACCATATTGAAGTGGAATTAAGAAATAAATTAAGAAGCACAAAGCAAATTGTGAATACACTGCTAAAGATCAGTAATTCAAGGACTATTTTTATAAAATCATATTCCTATATTAAAACAAAAACAAATGCTATTGTCGCAAAAAAAAAACAGTAAAAACCTGCCAGTATATGTGTTGAGATGTGTGGAATTATACAGTCATTAATGGTCATAGTTAAACATATTATCGATTATAACCATATCAATGAGCGTGATTGCTACAAATACCAGACAAAATTCATATTATTGACCTGAATTTAGGTTATGATATGGCATTATGGGGTCCATGGTCTGTTTGCGATATGGTGTGTGGCGGCGGCATGCGCTACAGAACACGTGAATGCAAAAATCCAAACGGAAGACCAGAGTGTGAGGAAGCAGGCGAAGAAGAATGCAATACAGACCCGTGTGATGATGGATTACCAGTCGGTGAACCACTGCCAACGGATTATTCTTTGAAAGGTTTTGATAATTTATACCAAATGTTTTACTCGCGTTTTTGTGACTATAAAATAATGAGCTGATTATTCAAATATCATGAATTTTTTTTAAATTTTGTTCTTTATTCAAATTCATTGTATTATATCTTGTAATTATATTCCATAGATAAGGATGCGGACCCGGAGGGACAAATCAAAATTACAGGAGGTGAGTAAATGTTAATATATTCAATATGTTAATTTCCGATTCCAATATTACCTTCAGTCCATAATTACATTTACATCGGTTCATTTATTTGTTTAATTCAGTTGTTCCGTGGCCTGAAGGCGAACCACCTATGAAAGATAAAGGTATGTCGTTTTATTATCGTTTTGATCATATAAATATATGTCACACATATCATCAAATATATATCGGATACGGTGCCCAAAATAATTCTTGATGAACTCGAAGCTTACAAGTTGACAAACGAAATGAGCTGACAATATGAGGGAAAACTGATAGAAAAGTTAAATAAAAGGCTGGTTTGAATGAAAAAAAAAAAACAATGTATCAGTAGACCAGTGTTAGTGTTAGCTCGATAAAGCTATGCAACATATGACATGTTTGCATGATGGCAATCGAATTCAACAATATTTTACTACTCATGGGTGTATGCGACTTGATTTTGTCATTACAATTTTTTCAATTAATATAAGTTTTTGTTATCCTGGAACAAATTATTTTTAAAACTGAATATGTTATAATTGTTCGAAAGTGAAAAATTCAATCAGTACTTTTATAATACATAGTAAAATACAAAGAGTGGGGTGATTGGGAAGAATGTTCCGCCTCTTGTGGTGGAGGAATGCGATTTCGAGTACGGGAATGTTTGAAGGAAAATGGTCAAAAAGAATGTGAAGATTCGCAAAGTGAAATGTGCAATGAAATGGATTGCCCAGAAGGTGACCTAGGTGTTTGGAAACAATGATACTAATGTGGAATACGAAATAGTGTGGTTACCTACTTAATAGGCCTATATAGATATGTGAATGAAAACCATCAATCATAGAGTTTGCTCTCCCCTTCATTATTAAAAACAAAATTTAATTTTCAAGTATAAAATTAAATACTGATTCACGAGGCAAATATTTAAAATAATGTCGAGTGTTTCTATAAGACCAGAAGCGTTCATGGCGTATACGTTGGGTGGGACTATTAGGCGGCTGCCACTCTGTTCTGTCGCCAGAAGTAATTTTGAAACTTTAATTTTAATGTAAAAGCAGGCTCATGTAAATGCAAATTAAAAGGAAAACTGTTAGGGTTTCATTGAATAAAAATAGCAATATGTTCATACAATAGACTAAAATAGATTTTTTACTGATACACTGTATATTCATAGACACATTTATTTTGAGATCGAACTTGTCTAACAGCTCTTCCTCCTCTTTATTGTGAACTCAACATTATCTGCATAAACTTGTAATCTACAAATTTATCAAGAATTCGGTGCGGCAATAAAATGTCATCTCGGGTTGCAATTCATCTGATCAAATCTGGATTATATAATATTCCAATTCTGCAATTGTTGCTTTTCTTGAAATTTAATATGATTATTTTGAACATCGTTTTGACTTAAAAACAAGACGATTTTTCATTTTGACCTGTTTATATCCACATCCAACGATCCAAGCAGTTACATTGTCACAATACCGACCAAATCAACAACTGATGGTGGGTCAGCAAAGCCTATCAAATAATTTTATTCAAATATAAATAAACGTAGAATGTTGCTTAAGCTCTTTAAATTTCACTAATTCGAGGGAAAAAGTTTGATTGTTGAAGCTACATAAATTTCTAAAATTGTAAATCTTCATTATTTGAAAAAATTCGGTTGTTATGTTGTATATATCCAATTTTTATGAACCAATTAGTTTCGTGGTAAGGATACTAACCAAATCATCGACTGCATCAGACGCAGGTAAGCAAAGTGCTTCTATGGCAGGGCCATTAGTCGACACATCTGTCTGAGTCACCATAGATATAGAACTTTAGATAAATATTACCAGGTACAACATGGCCAAGGCAGTTTTAACCACGCTTAACAAGTCAAAATTTCCACATCGCACGCTAATAAAGAAATCCTTCTTTTTGCAATATCAAAATTATTTACAGATTTTAATGTTTAGATAGTTGTATGGTAACAATTCCATCAAAATCACCGACCCCAGATAAACGTGATAAAAATATTTCTGGATAGAATCTTTATATTTCTATTTTAACATAATACGCTTTAGCTTAGTATGGGCATCGGTTCGGAATTATAAAAGTTCAGACATAAAAATAACTTCCGACCATACGACGGAATGTCAGTCACTATTTTTCTTAAAGCTATACAAAGATTATACCAGTCGGCAACCACGCAAATATTGGTTGTTTAGGTTTAATGTATACACGCTTTACAGACCAAGAACCAAGCAGTTTTGTTGTGACAACACCAACGAAATCAACACCCGCAAGTACAACGAGCAAGTCCTATGAAATGGGAAGTGAGTGAACACGTGTTCATTTGTCTGCTTTGAATAAGAAGCTTTTCAGAGTGGCTACTAATAAATCACCAATGAAGTTATCAAAGTTTGATCTTGACAATGAGCTGGAAAATATTAAATCCGTTTGTTGGAGATAACTTATATGCTGCTTCTTACAGAGTACACGAGGAAAAGGATATGCGGAAATGACCAACTTCGGGCATCGGGAAATATCGTTAGAACAGCTGTATCTCCGTCATATCCTGCCAGCTATCCGAGTGGACTTGACTGTATGTGGACGATTTCTGCAAAACCTGGTCGACGAGTGAGAATAACAGTGAAAAACTCCAATATTTCGGAAGGAGATAAACTGACGGTAATTTTTTAGATCATAGATTTCATTTATCAATAAATTTTTTAAATTCAATTCAATAAAAGTTTTTTCTGTTTAGCAACCGCTTTTTAGGACTCAAAAAGTCATATAAATACTTGAATAAATGATGATTTTGATAAGTTTTAAAATATCGCACGTGCCGCCCCTTTGGCCTTGCATTCATTGAGCGAATGCAATGAAAATATTTGTGATCATTCAAAATTGGCATAGAAAAGAAAGAGTTATTCTCAATATTAGTATTGAAATAACTCCTGCTTTTTACTACAATGAGTTTATAAAATCTTCCGAGTCATATTGAATTAGCATTTATTCACACAGTCAAGACTCGGCTCTCGACATTTTCACTATTGTCGACTAATGACTGATACAGTGAATGGATGACACAGAGTAGGCACAATTTCTAACCTCTATATTATTTTATCTGGTGACGGAAGCGAATTATAATTACCGTTTGTAATATTTGTAGTTGCTGGAAGGACGCCCAAGACAAATACCTTACTCCAGAGCCAAAATCGCTACATTGACGGGAGAAGTGAAATCGGGGACTGAATATAGGTCTTTGAGTAGATTCCTAACAGTTCGTCTTCAAACAGCAAAAGACAGTAAGGGAGGGAAATATACCATAGCATATTCTTCGACAAGTAAGTGTTCAAGTATCTGTTCATCTCAAATGGATGTGGACCTAACCGAATTTTATTTTTATTTTTCATAGGCAGTAGATTAGAAGAGAACGACAAAATTGTCAACCCCGGTACGTTATTTGTTTAATTGTTATTATTACAATGATATTATGAGTATAAACTTAAATGTAAAGATAGATTGAAAGGTAAAGATTGCTTAAAAATAATTCTGAATTGACGCAACGTCACCAATCATTTACCTAACCGTAAGCACGTTACGACTTCGTATCATTTAAATAAAGCTAGTGGTTCGAAGTCTCTGATAGATAGTTTCTAAATTTTATTCATTATATATTTCTTTTATGAAAGTTAAAGACAAGCGCTCATTTTAAAATACTGAACACGTCTGGCTGTGATCCAGAGAATAGGCAAAAATCAGCAATACTAATTCTCACTGATATTTCATTTGAATTGAAATCGTAAATTGTTTTTAGCTGGCTCACCTAGAGTGGAACTTTGGTACAGAATGCTGAGAACCTTTGCGAAGTGGTTTATGCGAATGTCAAACGGTTACAACGCTTAATCAGCCGAGTCGTCAGCACAGAGATAATTGAAATTAGATTTTAAATGCTTTCAGTTTTATGTAAATGTTTATGTGCATGATTTTGGGACATAGAAACAGCAAAGTCATCTAAGCCCTCGTGAATTAATGGTTTCCTCATAGCAAAAAGCTAACCAGTAAAACGGATATGGCAAAACGGCAGTAAATATTTACCGTTAGTTGCTATTATGATTATTATATACCGGTAACTATTATATATATTACCTATTATGAGTGGCTCGCTTATGCTCGTCTATCATGCCTGAATAAATCAAATGCTGGAGCTTACCAGTTGTTGTTATTGAACATGGAAAGTTTTCAAAGGCTTCTTTATGTTAAAATCAATTTTTATTAGTTAGGTGGGATTTTGGGACTTTGCGGGAACCCGTTTTTTGGAATGTCGCATAATCCGCGAACCTGTTCTTGTTTTTTGGTGTATTTACACTTTAGAAGTTACATCAGCGCAACAAATGAGACGTATGCACTGCAGCCGATGACCAGATTTATATTTGGGATTTCAAAAGTTTTATGGAATTATGTAAAATGTGTCATGTTAAGACTTCTCATGTAGTGACATACATTTTTCTCTGCAATAGAGGGAAAGCTATTCTTGGTGAGTTCGGTACAGAAAAAAAAAGGCCGTTATTAAATTTGAATCTCGCCACTTGTTGAAGGTGAAGTTTTATGCTCAAACCATTCGAGTTAAATCGCATAATCGCAAAAATCACTATTTTGCAGAAGAATGTAAAATTTTGCTACACGGGGTTGTTTATGAAAAATATTGTTGACTCAGATCCAGAGAGCCGGGTTGGTTGAGCCGGGTTGAATTTGATTACGTCAGGTATTGTTGTTTTGAGAGGTGGAGCAGGAGTGTGCATGAAATTTAACATGACTTTGAACTGGTCGCTGCAAATTAGAGGTCTTCTGTAGGTCTAGTTCCATAGGAAAAATCAGAACGGGGTAGTTGAACAAATTTGATTTATAGTTTACTTCTTGTTACACGTTTAGCGAATTCATATACCATCACTTTGAATTCTGCGGTAACCACCAAATAGGCACTTGACTAGGATATTTTATTTAAAATTACGCTGACGAGTTCTCGGTACTACGTCATCAACGGGCCATACTAATATGCGTTCGATTTCGGCAGGGTTAACTTTCAAAAATTAGAGTCTCACAAACGAAGTCCCATTTTACGTGAGCGGTGAACGCCAAAACCCACCCTCGAGCAAACTTCTTAATGGAAGCTTATGGCGAATAAAATGTTCATTATGTACATAAAAAAAAAATGTTTTAAAAGTTTGTACTGTATGAAACGAGCTAATAGTTTGTATATAAAATATATATAAAATATAAAATAATAATATAATAATAAAATATATAATAATATAAAAATAAATTGACCCGTCATCATTGAAAGACAGTATATAAATCAGCACCGAAAATTCTATTTCTATACGTGACAGCTCATTTATCCTCTTGCATTATAATACTGGCTACAGACAGCTGCAAACACTGTAAAAGCGACGCGCAATTCTTAACACGGAACAGCGAAAACTGCCCTACGTTATTAAATTCCTTCTGGATATATTGATCAACGTAGCTAAATAGAGTATACATGACTATAATACTGAAATAATATCCCGAACTTAGCACGAGGTCAAATAAGGACACTGACGTTTTAAAATTGAGGATAAGTCGCTGGCATTTTGCCGACTCCCGAAATAATTTTCGGTATATGTATAACTTGGTTACATATTCAATTTGCATAATTTACTTTGATAAAGCGTTTTAATATATATACAACATTATCATCAATTTTCTGTTATATAATGTGTCAGTGCAGTATGCACTAATTGCTACCAATCACGATTTGTAACTGTGCAAACTCATCTGTTTATAATTTACATCGTATCCTATTTGTATCTTACGCGTCTTCCAAGCAGGCAAGTCTCGTGAGTCGTAAAAAAGTGATAATTGAAATTATTTAACCTAAATTACCGAAATTTGGAAGGCATTCAAAACTTTTATGGTCACGCCGTTTCACGTCTCGTGTCGTATTATCATTTATTAGTCCATGTTTTTTCTATTATTAGATTGTCTAGCAAGAGTGACACAACAAAAAATCCACGTGCATTTTTACATGTTGTATAAAATACCTTATATGTGAAACAAACGATGGTAATATATTCAGCAATATACCGAGGAAGGAATTGCATCTTCAGTTTTATACTTGGTAGAACTCTGGAATGTATTTTCTGTAAAATTTTTTTAGCAGCAATAAGATGACAATCGTGAACATAGATGCCCCCAAAATTATTAGTGATTGAGTGATTTTGTGTTTGATTCAGGTCAATTTATTACGTGTAATGAGTGTGCATTGTTGTACATCCAAGTATCGTCAGACCAAAAACGAATAAAAGCTCCTAGTAGCGCAAATACAAAGCCATTCTTTTATATTTCAAAACCACGAAATCTGGTACAGAAATTAGTTTTGTGCATTGTGAATGACGCCAAGACTGAATAAAGTTGGAAATAATGATATAAAAAAAATCATATACGTATATTAGCAGTTAATATTAAGTCACGGGTAAAAATGTTAATGATACTGTTGTTCATCACCGTTCATAATCATTTGAAATTCATTTCTACGTGCATCGTCATTCACGTCATTATGGTCAATCCTTGTTCGGTATATATGGTAAGTGTGTTACCTGTCCTAAGCTACGACCCTTCAATAACTTTATCTTTATCGAAGACTCAGGTTCAAAATTCAATAAGTTCATTGATGTCAACATAAAATAAGAAGCTAGAATATGATATTATACAAATCTATTGCAAAATGTTAGTCGTAAACCAATGTAAAATATAAACGCAGATGGTTATAAAAAGCAATCACTGATGAAATATGCCTGGGTCATGTCCTTATAAGATTAATGTCAATGAATATACGAAATAATATATTTAAATATGAATATTACGACATTTAAAAACAGCTCGCACATGTACATATTTGTAACAAAAGAAAGTTGGGAACCATACGACGAATGTTATTTAGTGTAGCCATAAAGTATTACCATTGGAATAAACGAAAACAAATTTACGGCAACTAAGTATATATGTTTATTTAAGATATATGTCAGTAAATAATTTTCGAAGTTATTCTTAACACTATTTCATAAGATTTTGTGAAATTTTGATCAAAATCGAAATATGTTACTTAAAGATATCGATATGAAATCAATAATAAAATACGCTGATTATTTGGTTTCTGCGAGACTAACTACTTATCCTTCTTCTATGCTTTTGTGCCGGTGGATCCGTATGCATGTATTGCAAGGATGCTGTAGCAAGAGTAGAGATAAGAGATGGGAGCGTGACTCCCATAATTTTACACTGATTGTTCAAATATGCATGTAACTGCTTTTCGTGTTATAGTTGAACTATGTATGTCTGAAGAAGTCTGACCTTGGTCAGACGAAACGTTACAGAAATATATTTGTGTTAGTGTTAGGTTTGCCATTACTTAGTCACTACATATCTGATTTAAAATGAAGATTGTACTAGTGATATTATGCATCACACTGCTGAAGAATGCAGCATCTCAAAGGAAGGACATAGAAGATGACATGAAAGGTCAGTTAAAATATAATTTCTTTAATTTGAAACATTTGGTTTTTGGTAGACTAATGAGTAATCATATTGTAACATATCTTGCTTATAACCTTAAAAAAAAGTAAGAATTGGAAAAACTGAAAAGAAAACTCTATGTCGAGCTGGTCAAACTATTTCGTAATTTGGAAGTAAATCGTGATACAAATCCTTTTATTCGCAATTTCCAAGTAATTGTCCCGGGAACACGAACGGTAATTCAACTCAGTCGCCTTTACGTTGAACTAGAGTCTAGACCAGAGTGGTCCAAACCCAGGCCCGCGTAATTAGCGTAATTATCTATGGCCCGCGTAGCCTTTGCTGAAAGGCAATCAAAAATCGTATTTGGTGTTGTTTCGTCATAAAAATAATCAGAAAATCTTTTCGACATCTTGTTACATCACTAATGTCACTAAACTGACTAGTGACTTCACGGCTAGCTGAAGCAACTAGCGAAGTTGAATATTGTGCTTGGGTATTTCAAATTGTTCACTGGCTTTATATCTTTTTGATTGGGAATATATTTAACAGATATATATTAAATAAATATCAATGTTATGGCCTGAGAATATAATTCATTCCGGTGATTTTTTGCAACCAGCCCAAAGTATTTCAAAAATGCTTCTTATATGTCAGAAAAATTAGTAATTTCTCACCTGTACCTTACATTTGGTAAAATGTGATAATCAATTAATATGCAGTTATGGCAAATAAGAACTAAAACGGCATTTTGCTATCATGTGAGCAATGAGCATTTTCAAATTTTGAGGGATTTTGCTTTGAGAACCCCACCGATGTTCAAACGTACTTATATTTGCGGGAGCACATTCTCCGTTGTGAATAGTTCGAAATCTTATATTATACATAGATATTTTGCATGTTTTAGCTTGATAAATGACAAATAATGATCAATTGTTTGCACAATAAAGTGTTTGTTGCCCTTTTTATCTATTTCTGACACTATTGTGGCCCGCGAACAATGCAAAAATAATTTTGTGGCCCGCGAAGGCGACAACCTTGGACCACCCTGGTCTAGACCATAGGTTCTCAAAGTGCTCCGTACGGAGCCCCAGGGCTCCGCGAGAGAAACCCAGGGGCTCCGCGAGCTATTCGATTACTTATCAAAATACTCCCTTGGCTAATTTTGTAATTGTTCAAAGAAGCAATAACAGCTTTAATAAAATTTGACAACAGTATAGCCACGAAATATGGCATAGAGGCGGAATTCAAAAATTATTTATAAGCAGGAGCGCAGCCAGGATTTTTAAGAGGGAGAGGGGGTTCAATATTGAAATCGGAAATTTCCGCGGAACATTCTTCTCGACTAAAAAAAAATTTTCAGCGGATAACGAGATTTCTGCTGCGTAAAATATTCAATCCACGATTGATGCGAGCATTTAAAATGTCTTATCATAATAATTCAATGGTACTCATCGTTACGTTTGATTCGAGATTACTGAAATAAAAGTTTACTATTCTAAAATAACATAAAATACGTGATAAACTGTCAACTATAAATAAAATGAAATCGTATGGGGATACGTTTGGGGATTTGTCAAATATGATTTGTTCTTTCGCACTCGAGATTATTTTTAAGTGAGATATCGCCGTTTCAAAAATCACCAGGTCGGCGTTAAAACTCAATGAGTACAATTTACAATTGTGCAACCCATGACCGATGCGGGCATTTTGAAATGACTTGTTTATTGGTTTAATCGTGTTCAATGTAACCTGCAGTTGTGCCGACTCACGACAATAAAAATCATTACTTCTCAAATTACCACGACAATCCGCGGACATGAAATGAGAAACAATGAAACGAAGTTAAGTGAACGAAGTTCTTCTGGACTACCGTTTATCCTGAACGACGCTGTTATCATAAGATATTAGAAGCAAAGTCATATTGTCCACAAAAGAACATACCTACTACTGCTGCCAGTAGTTTGATAAGATAATTGTGCCCGTCCCGATTAAATCGTAATCATGACTGATAGAGTGGCAGATTATAGCGAATTCGACAAATTTTAGCCGTTTTTTCAACACTAACTCCGCCCCATCGCAGGTCTGCCACTCAGATTCTTTGCAAGATATCGCTGTTTAAAAAATCACAAGGTCTGGGCAAAATACGAACGATTGAAATTTATTTTATTGCAGGTACATCACATCACGCGCACAATTGACTGTCTTTCGATTTCAGTTACTACGATGGATAACCAAAGAAAACCTAACATAACACCAAATTTTGTGATTACAATGACTAAAAAAGCGTTTTTAATCTGTCACGAATCTGCAGAAACAAAATTTATAGTGGTATCTTTCGTTTTAAGTTTTAGTTTCAATATATATTTCATAATTCCGCTTTTCAATCAAGAAATTTGAGTTGCGGATTTACCTCATTTTTTATTAACATGTTTTTCACATTGAACTCATAATTCCCCACGAGAACAAAAAAGCAATTATTGTCGTCATTGTGGAACAATACATGTATATGCCGAAGGAAATTTAGATTTAGGGAGGGAGAATAAACACAGACATTAGGATGTTTGGGGTTCGAAAAACACGTCACTCTGACGAAACCAATCGGCGGTTGTAACAAAATGCAATCGCGAACGTTTTTAGCGACCTTTTAAGTCTTCCAAAAACATCAAAAGGGAAAAGATTCGACCCCTAATTTATTAATATGTTTGTCAAGTGTCAAATTTACAGCCTTAATATGTATAATTTATCTTTGAAATTTAGATTTATTTATGACTTGTATTAACCCTATTAAAAAAGGTTTAGCATTTAAATGAAGTATAGTACTTTTAACTTACTCAGTAATAGTAATCGGAAAGTAACAATTTTAAAATTCATTTTGGGGCTCCGTGAATAATAGTCAACCACTTCGAAGGCTCCGCAACACAAAAAGTTTGAGAACCCCTGGTCTAGACGATCAATTGTCTAATATTTATAAATATCAGATAGTCTCACACTTTGCTAATTCTGATCAAATGACATCAGAGTTCAACTCGATTTGTAAAATGGAAATCTGATTCAGAATACATGTTAGATTGAGTATGCCCATCGTAGCAACGACACATGTTATCAAAATCGTTGGAAAATTAAATAAATACATTTTGACCTGTTTTTATGTATTGCAACGTATGACGCGTTAATATTCACCATCGATATCCAATGCCGGATTTGTATTATTGCCAAATTACTTCCGATGTTAATTACAATTTTCGAAATGAAGCTCGAATTTATATAAGATAGGAAAAGTCATGGATATTTCGGAATACCGGTAAATGAAAACCTTGCTGCCGAGCATAATCTGCCTATTTGTACAACTGACATCAGAAATACAATCACAGTGCATTGCCTGTTTATGTTATTTGTTTTTCAATTATAAATATGTTTTATTGCCTCGTGAAATATGACTTTCTTGCTTTGAGCAGAGCATCACAGTCTGCTAATTTATGCAAGTCATAATGACAAATATGATGTCATACGTTTTCAAATTTCCCGAATTAAATAAATAAACATCATTTAATTAAATAACTAAAATATTAGATGCAAAATATTAGATTGGAATGTGGGCATTTTGAAAAGATAATAAATAACTTTATTTCTCATTTTTACAGTGGAATACTGGAAACTAAAATTGGAATAATTGACTTGCCTGATATGTACTTTAAAAGAACACACATTTCGAGCCAATTAAAAGCGTATCCGTCTGTATTTCCTCTGCCCGACAGTTAAAATAAATGACATGCACCTAAAACCACGAGACTGTTGGCGCCCGCGCGAAGCAAAATTAGGATGTGAAGGCGGTTGAAACATTTTTCTTTTTTCGAGATTAACAAAAGCAGATTATACTGGACCCTCATAGATAGATCGCGTATCTGAATTTACGTCGTTGGAAATAAACTTTTTTTTTTAATTTTGTACACCGATCGCGACCTCTTTCATATCCTCTTCTTCTCACTCATATCGACACCGGAGCAATCTCAAAACACTCTTACTCTAAAATTATTTCAACTCGAATTAACGCTGGTTCGTAACCATGGTTTGCTTCACAGCTGTATGTGTTTTTCGAAAACGCTCACGCATGTGTAAATTAATTAACAAGATGTTGAAAGAGGCGCGGCAGGACTGCACGATTATTAGGGTTCTTTTGACTATAGGCCATATAACTCACATTATAAAAAGAACAACAAGGAATTGTAAACAGTAACATTCGACTTACTTGTACGCTTGTGTGTACATCTGCAACATTGAGAAAGTCAAGAAGAGGTTTTGAAATTTGAAGGACTAGTGATCATGGAGCATCGCTTCCAATCTTCTATGTCTCAGAAGCCTAGTCTGTTTAATGTAACAATTGACAATGAAAATACTTACGAAAGTTTACTTTTGCGTGCGTTCACGTATTTCTCGCATGTAGATACATTTTGTTGAGAGACCAATACAAAATTGCCACCAAGGTCTGAAGCTCAAAATCCAGTCTTGATCAAAACCATAACTTTCTCATTTCGCAGATGAGAAGTACACTGCTTACGAGGATTGGTCTGAATGTACAGCATCGTGTGGGGGTGGAATCAGTTTCAGAGTAAAAGAATGCGTTGGGTTGACTGGGGAGAAGGATTGTGAGAAATCCGAAAGCAAAGCATGCAATACGCATTCCTGCGACGATGACAATACCGGTAAGTAGTTCGGCTGGGGCTTGGAAAGATGAAACGTAGCTTTGTAAATACTTCCACTCAATACAATCGAAATATTACCTAAATACAAGAACCTACGGTGCCGTTCCATCTCCAACGCTCGCTTTATGAACCTGGTGACGACTACTAATCGTGCAACCTAGCCTAGTATTGTCATTATCCCATCGATTAGATTGTTTAGTGTTCAGCGCCGTTTCTGTCTAATCAGGTCTCCGACTATCTGCTGTACGTTTAGATACCCATCTTGCAATTTCAAATTTTCCATCGCAAATATATTTTGCTTTCATACAACTTGGGATAACACAACAGGGCCGGTAACGCTTTTAGTCAGCGCCACGTCAGAATGTCGTGTTGTCATTCTTATCTATTGCCATCTTGCAAGCCCCTTTATTTATCATCATTTTAACTCGGAAATCGGATGGTGGTAATTACTGGAGAAAGTATAATTAACACAGTCATGGCTTAAATGAATGATTCGAAAACTCAGGCCAAAACAAACAAAACCTTCCTATATTGTTCAGATCTACTCTAACCTTGCTGGTTCTTTGTTACCCTGGTTAATGCTATGTTGCTTAGCTAGGGATGTAAGAACTACAGCAGTCTGTTTAGTTAAAATCTTTGGTTTATTACTTTAAAATGATAAATATATAACAAACTATAGTTTACTTTACTTAATTTGGAATATATAAATATTCAATTTAGTGCCATGCTCGTCAATAACCTCGACTAAGAGCGCAAAAATGGTGAATCCCATACTAGAATTGCAAAATGAAATGTGGGCTTTTAAATTCAATATTCTTTTTTTGAAGATGAAAGGCGACGTAGTACACTGGTGTAAGCAGTTTCACCGTATGCAATATGTGTAAACCGAGCGTTTCGGTGATTTTTCAAAATGTTTTGCAATCTTTTGAATTTCAGCAGGAACGTACTCAGAATGGTCGGAATGTACTGCTTCATGTGGCGGAGGCATCAAATTCAGAACAAGAAATTGTAGGCAACAAACAAAAAAATCGACATGCGAGGAAAGTGAGAGCGTGTCTTGCAACGAGGAAAAATGTCCGGAATTGACCAAAAGTGAGATATTATATTAGTCTGATTAAACATCTTATCGAATGTGAGACAGAAAGAGAGCATTGTCATGGACCATATTTTTGCAATTTCATCACCTAACGAATATTTATATCTAGACCAGTGGTTCCTAACCCGAGCAACCCAATTTTTTTTAAATTCTATTTTGTAAAATCCCGCGACCCAAGGACATTCTCAAAAACTGAAAGGCACATAGTACTTTTATGGCCGCAAACTCAATAACTCATATAAAACAATCATTTTTTACACAACATTTATTTCACCAGAAATTATTCCAAAGTGAGAAGACAATGCTTGTTTGCCATATACAGGCAAGTTTTTGAAATGGTGGTGTGACTTTTCTTAGCAAAATGAATACTGCCAAGTCTTTACGGATTAACTCTTCCCACATATTCAGTTACTATTGAGCAACACTTTAATACTATAAACAGACAATAACATTTATTATAAAATGAAATTAGTACCTTTTAGGTTTTTTTGTTAAAAAAAAACATGGCCCATGCATTGAAAAACACTGATCTAGAATAGACCCGTAGAGAAAAAATATAAGAAAATATATGTTGTGACATTTTAGTCTGGCGATGATCAGCCTTTATATTGTGCCATTGGGTGTAAATAACAAGCTACACCAGCATAAATAACTTTGGGATTATCTAGAGCCGTGTTTCACGATCGGTACCGGTCCGCGAAGTTTTTTTTGCCGGTTCGCGAGAAATCATATACTTCCCAGGTTCCGATCCGTCTCCAAAGCTTTTTATTAATTCTCTCAATTGTCCGAAATATAAAAACCTACTCACATGCGTTTAAGTACACATCGCCCGGCATTAAAGTGTACAATGTTATATAAGCATTAGCTTGTTCAGACAACAATATGAAGAAAGAATATTAGTTGTTCCAAAATTTATATTCCCACTAAATACGGCTTGAAATTTGAATCGAAAAATTATTGTTGATTTATCGTTATTTTCATCTAACTTTTAAATGTCCGACCGAAATTCATGTTTGGTAGCAGGAACTCGAATTTTTATTTATTTACTTGTAAATTATTTAAGAAGTATTTAGTACTTTTAGAATTACGATGTTTTTGTTGAAGCATGCTTGACCTGTATCAAAACATTGAAGTATGGTACTCAAACAATAAGTAGACCTTGACTTGGAATAATGTCGGCAACACTAAGCGATTAGAAACAAGATAAAAAATGTATTGTGTTAGACATCGATAAGACATCAGATGTTTGGGATGCATACCAACTGCGTCTTCACATTTGGGGTTGTTTTCCGGCGTTTTTGCTACTGTTAGGTTGGTCAACAGTTTTTGTCTGATATTATAGATAATTAGTAATTACCCATATATACGTAAAAAACTTGTTATCTTTTTTTGTTCTGATTAATTGAATCCGGAGTTGTATGTGCATGGAGATGGTTAAAACTTTGAAATCCATGCCAAGACATTTATTTGAAAAGAAGGTGAAGCCAACTTATCATAACAATGCAATTTGCTTAATTGTTCCTGCATAATCCCATTTACTTTTATTTTTGTGTTCATTTGCAGAGAAAATGAAAGAATATGTCGACTATTCGGAATGGTCAGAATGTACAGTCACCTGTGGTGGAGGATTCAGTTTTCGAGTTCGTGAATGCACAGAGCTGAATGGGGATCCAGGCTGCGAAAAGTCAGAGAGAAAACCTTGTAATGAAATTCCATGTGATGGAGTTGTAGGTTCGTTGTTTTATCATCAACGTAAACGAGTTTAATTCAGCTTATTTCATTTTAATATAATGTTCAGACTGTTCGTCAAGACACATCGTGCAGCATGATATGTGGAAAATTTAACTAGACATAAAATCTTGCTTGAAATGATTCTCAGGTTATATGTTGAGAGACATACAGAAACAATCTCAGGTTCATGACTTCTTGTTCAATATATTGAAACTTACGAAATGATGGGAATTAATTTACCAATTGCAAACTAAAAATTGAAATAGGAACTATGTAAATCAACTACCTATTGCTACAAGTAATTATAATATATATTCTATTCAAAGCTGAAGAACTAAACTTAGGAGGTGAAATGGAAGATCGCAAAGAGTCATTGAAAGATGTCAAAAAAATTAACCAAGCAGGTGAACATAGAGCATTGATAATTTTTGACCTTTTTATCATACCCACTCCACAATCTAAATTCAATCGAATTTTTAATGAAAACGAACACATAATGTGGCATTTTGTTATGTACAAAACAACATTATGCGTTCCGAACTTTATCATTACAAATTTGAAGATTCGGAATCGACTGTTTTCTTTTACCTGTAAGCAGGTATATACATGTAAAACCTTAGCAATGAACAATAATAAAAACCTTTCTGGTGGTGTCGTTATATTTATTTTGGTGTCGCAATTAGTCTTGCTATTATCTGTCTATTCACTTTTATGATTTATTTTAGCGCGCTCGCCATATTGATGCTAAATACTGCCTCCTTGGCTGCTGTCGTGTTGTCGTAGTCTCCTTAACAGACAGACCACTTGAAGATATCAAGCTGTATCTATATACACGATTTACTATTTTTAAGCTAACAATATTTCTAAATATAATATAAGGAGTATTGATATCATGCTTAAGATTATTTACATATCCTAAATTTGTACTTTTACCGCTCATTCTAATCATGAATGAGAATAGAATTAGGTGAATATTTCATGTGTTGACTTAACTAATGATATCATACTTTTAGGCAAAATGAAAGAATACGTGAATTATTCAGAATGGTCAGAATGTACTGTTAGCTGCGGAGGAGGGTTCAGTTTCAGAGTTCTTGAATGTATAGGGTTGACTGGTGACGTTGATTGCGAAAAGTCAGAAAGAAAACCTTGTAATGAACAACTTTGCCCCGAAGAAACGAATGTCGGTAAGACGATGATTTAATGGCAAGTGGTATAATATATAATATACCCAATATTTGTTTGGTAATCGAGAGCTCTTACTATTTTTGTTGTTTTTGGATTTCAATCTAACTTCGAGGGATATAGTGAATTACAGCAAGCAAATGTTAACTTGTCTGCGAGTCGATACTATTTGATGATATCCCATCAGAAAAAATATATCGCGACCTCCTAATATCGGTCTTAGTGTTTCTAAGAATATCGAATATCGCGCAAACATCCTCGCGTCGCTGATCAAGTTTTGATTGAAAACATTTTACAAATATTTTTTTGTTTTATCGTAATTGAAGATAATCGTGTGCTGCACGACAATAAATTACAGCCGACATGAAAGGATATAAATCAGCGCCGACATGAAATACTTATGACACGTCAGGGACCTTTCGATTGAAAATATTTCACATATTTCATCAGTTAAGATAGTCTGTGGGGCCACGGCAATAATCCTGAAAGCGCCTTAATCGTTTTTCATTCTAAGTTTCGATCGTGACCGAGCATAACGGGAAATTTTTGCATTTCTTGCAATTTACAGCGGATAAAATGTTCAGTTTCTATCGCAGATTTTATCGTTATCCGGTTTCGTTGATGATTAGATTATATAGTTTAGTTTAAAGGTATTAATTTATAAGCAAATATAAAAACATAACAGCCGACGAAGAAGATTTAAATCAGCGCCGACTTGAAGAATAATACACGATTTTCGGTTCATATATACACTCCTTCATTGGCAGATGGGAATTTGGGGAGCGGATTCACCATTTGCTTATGACGGTAATGCGTATTAACATAATATGCAATTTTTTTCTTAAACGTTATAATTTCGTGAACAATAGAACAAAACATCGCGGTTAAAATATACTCGATCTTTGTGCCTGGCCTATTGCAGTAACATATTTCCCAGTGAAATACCGCATATTAGACTATTTTTATTGTCTTAAATCATCTAGATTTTATTCTTCATTTTTTTTTCTCTGATTCTGTAAACATTTATTTTGTTATATTGTCGGTATATATATAGTCTATCGACTATTAAAATTAGCATATTATATATATATATATGTATGTGCTGTGGTATTTCAATGACTAGTAGTTGTAGTAATAACAACAATACCTGGCGCAGTTTACCAAATCAAGATTTATTTTTTTTATCATTTTCTGGTGGGTATGAGCACCCACTGGTTTGCATGAGCCAGATTTATTTCTGGATCGACCCAAACGTTTCTCTTATCCTAAAAATTACACATGATTGAACTAGGAATCTCATCTTCTTTTTAGTCACACTCCAGCAGCATTTAACAAATGATCAGTTTGTTGTGTTCCGGTCGGTGACAACTGTTAATAGCAGTACTATTAATAGCAGTGTAAGCTGGAAAACATACAAATTAAATTGATAGAATTGACATACACGAGTTCAGGATGATATCACCAGACAGATTAGTAATGTTTAGCATGCAACACTGTATTGTTGCGTAATAATTTGAAATGACTAAAAATTTGAATGCTGGTTCAAGACACTTAAGACTAAACCATAAATAGGAATTCACGTTTACCTGATATCACTTTCTTGGTAAATTTACCAATTTGTACTGCAAGACTGTATGTTTTAAAACATTTCACTGGACGCTTAGATGCCTTTTTTACTATGCTTGCCAAGATACACCACAATTCATGAGTATAAGTACTGTTATGTTTATCACGTTTATCTTTTCCTGGAAACAAGAAAACCACTAATTTCAATCATATCACACATGTAATTTATATTCCTATGTCATCGGATATTAGAAAAGTGAGAAATATTGATATGGGGGATTTTAGAATGTATTCGGAATTCCATATTCGAATTTTTTTTTTAGAAAATATTCTGAATAGTCCAGTGTTCGGTTATGGTCATCCCTGTAATATAGTAATAAATGAATATTTAATGCTCAAACTTTGAAGTACACGATTTTTGGTAAAATAATACGACAGTTAAATATATTGTCTGGGATATTTAAATAAGCACAACCCGATTCCAATATAACGCCACTACCAATTCTTTTTACTTAATCAGAAAATGAAGACGTGATCAACACAATTGCAAAAGAAAATACCAAACCTGGAAAGAAGTCGTCAGGTACTCATTTTGTATATTTTATCTATCATTTAAAAACTTCTAATTTATGTGAAGAAAAAAAAAACAGAAAACGTTGGAATACCTTTAACAACAATATTTTTAAAATGAACTTTAACAGGCCATGCACGAAGTTTAAGTATTGATACATTGCACGTTCCTGAAGAAGTAATCTCGAAAGAATTAACTATTCCTAAGGAAGGTGGGTCAAATTTTAGAAGCAATATTGGTAGTATTCAACAAAGGTATATCTCAACAACTTCAAACACTACCTCAGTTAGCCTACCTCAGTTATATCGTTGATTAGCTTAAATTTACTCTACTATTCATATGAATAAACGTATTTACGACCAAAATCTATAAGCTGCTTGCATTTTTAAAAAGCATTTACAGTATAAGTTATTGTTAGTTAATTAGGAAACTATTTTAAAAGTAAAAAATTTGCATCAACTCAGAAAACGAAAAGAAATACGTTGACTATTCCGAGTGGTCAGAATGCACGGTTACTTGCGGAGGAGGTTTAAGTTTCAGAACTCGAGAATGTAGCGATTTATCGGGAGATGAAGATTGTGAAAAGTCAGAAAGTAAACCATGCAACGAAGAGCTATGCGAAACTCATAGTAAGCAGCATTATGTATTGGAAAACTTTTTACCGTGTGTCATTAATATTAATTTTTAAAAATATTTTCTATTACTTTTAAGTTGGTCCAAAATTTCTTATATTCACCACTATGCCTCCAACCTCCAATAACAACACTGACTCAGTCAAAGAGCTCGGCGCACCGGGTATGTGTAAGCTATTGTTGATTGATATAGAGAACTTTGGGGAAATTATTTATATTAAAGTTCAATTTACAATGACTGAAAACCATAATAAACTTTAAAAACGTATAAAAAATATATTTAGAATTAAATTTTGTAAACTTTGGGGAAATTATGTTTTATGTTGGACTTGTTACATTTTAGGTTATTTTTTGATTCTTTTAGCTGAGGATTATCGTTTTGTAGGTCTAGGGTATATGTTAAATAATATTGTCATCGATTACTAGCAGTATTTAGTCATACGCAACTGCTTTTATTAATTACCACACGTTCTGTACCTATAACAGACCACGAAAGAATATGGTGTTTTGATAATGTTTCAAACTATATTGATACCTCATACAGAACAAATTCAACTACTTGACATCGTTGAAGGAGAAGTAGGAGGACGTGAAATACCAATTTTAACAAGACCTTCTACAAGCACTTCAACACTGAGATTAACAACGAAATCGACTACTGCAAGAACAATACCAATTAGTGAACCAGCACAGACAACTGAAACCACTAAAGCAATGGTGACGACACGCAGGCCAAAAGTTACGACTGGTATGTCAGTAAAAAGTTTCATTTTATTGTGAAAAATTTAATCGGTCTCAATGTACACTGGTAGCTACAACAGATTAGATTCAGATTTGTGAAAACCATGATAATCGGGAGTTATTTTATTTAGTCTGTATTCTAATTTAGTTATATTTAATACAGGGTGCAGAGAAGTTATACAAGCTGGAAAGAGAGCAATGCAGTTTGTTCCACAAAATCTTCGAAGAAAAAACAAATTTAATTGTGAATGGATATTCAAGGCTCCTCGGGGTAAACAAGTGATGGCTGAAATACGTTATTCAAACATTGAAAATTGCTGCGATGAATTTAAGGTAAGAAGTAATATTATGCCGGGTATGCAAATAAATTATTGGATGGTTTATAAAATATAGAGATTTATTTTAAACAGGTTACATTGTTTTGTAATTAATATTTGTATACATTCGCAGGTATACGACGGAGCAAAAAATTTGAAAATGGTAACGGGAAAGAGTTCGTTCAACAATAGATATCGAACGAAATCTGGTCGATTACGACTGACCTTTAAAACACCGGGGGCGACTGGATTCCGTAACTTTAGAGTTTTCTACGTTCAATACCCAGGTTTGTAAAAAATGCTATTTTGTCGAAATGAAAAAAACACACACAGGCATGCGAACCCTACTTTTTACACCACTCCACAACCACAAGCCTAATTAATCGCTTGATCAAATCATGCTAAATTAAAATGTTTTGCATTAAAAATGATGAAAAACGACTTTTTATATCCAGTATGTTTACTTTAGTTTCCGATAGTCCTAACCCAACACCACGGCCTACGACAACACAACTTTCTACAACGACGTCAGAAATTACTACTAGGGCAGTAACAGGTAAGTGTATACACTGTATCATAACATAAATTCGATTGAACACGATTATTTCATTAAAGAAAATGCAACAAGGATATACAAGTTACTGAAATGAAATCAACGCAGGTATTTATTCAAAAAAAAAATGTTATTTCAGCTAACTTATGTCATTCAACCGTCTTTGGTGGAGAGGAAATCAAAACTATCGATAGCAATGACCTGGACAGGTACAACGATCAAGAATGCGTATGGAAAATAAAATCGGGGAATGGCGGGAGAGTGAAAAGTCGAATTATCTATTATAGTACATCACCTTGCTGCTCATTTATGGAGGTAAAATTATTTCTGTACTTGAGCTGTCCTCACTACCCTGGACTCAGCATATTTTAACTAAACCGACCACATTTTGTTAGAGTAGATTTTCGTGCTTTAATTAAATAAATACCGTAATTCAAGTCAAAAAATGCCATAAGGAGTTTGCCGATAGCTTCATGACTGGCCGTTCTAAGTATTATTTGATAAATTGCAGTCTCCTTCAAACACCATGATCGATGAATTGTATAAAATCATAGAAAGAACTCGGCAATTTTTTTTTTAATAAGCATATGTTTTTCTCATTATATTGCTATCATTATCACTATGCTTAATTATATTCAAATTCTGAAAAAGGTTTACGACGGAGAAAAGTTGTTAAAACGATACAGTGGTAACATGTACAATCGTGGTGAAGATTTTGAGTCAAGTACCGGCACTTTAAGCATTATCTACAAACATGCTCCCAACGAGGGGAAATCTAGAGTGAGGGTCTTCTATCGTACGTTTGCAGGTAATAAAAACATGTATTCAACAGCAAATCCATGTTAAATGAATTCAGATAAGATATGTTCACCCAATGTATATATATATATTGCACATACAAATAGAAAACTCGGTGCTATTAATATTCAATATTTAATTTCCAACGTAAGTCTGTTATATATCCCAGGAAACGTGATGAGTTCATCTTCTGGGGAAAATCAGGGACGCCAAACTTCAGATCATACAGAACAAGCAAGCAAACATACTTCACCGACATCAAGGCCAGAGAAAGCAGGTAATAAAAACAATGGAGGTAGTTTATACGACTTTATACAAATAACGGTCTCGATAATATAAGAAAATTTGATCAGAAATGAAATAAAATAATCAAATGCAATAGTTTTACATAAGATTAGTCAAAAAAAAATTATACCTCGGCTAACTATTGCTATTATTTAAGGTTCTATTGAATGTGGTGGTTTATATCGCGCAAAGAAAGAAGTGAAAATGATAGTTGGACCACATTTTCAAGAAGGGAAAGCCTACGATTGTGAATGGAAAATTCGTGCACCACAAGGAAGCACCATAAAAACCATGATTTATTTTTATAACACCGTTGATAATGGAGACTCTCTACAAGTTTGTATTTTTAAGAAATCTTATCCTAAACTAACCTGTGTGAACTTTTCACTAATCTAATGTATTTATAAAAATTTAAATATACCTACAGGTACTTGATAATAGAAGGATGCTTGCAAAAATCAGTGGTAAAATATACCGAGAAAACGAATATGTAACAGCTACAAATATTCTGAAACTAAGATACGTAAGTCAAGGAGGAAATGGTGCCAGGAGATTTAGAGCTGTGTTTAAGCTGAATGAAGGTAGGAGTTCTATTACATTGACGAAAGTCTATAAAAATTCCGTGAAAAGTACTGTACGTCACTATCTGTCAGGCAAAAACTAAAATTTATTGAAGCGTATTATATTCGATGAACCGTCCCTTATTGAAAATACAGCAGTAATTCAAATTCTAAGTTGCTATATGGCTTTCTTCAGAACTTGATAAAAAATCGTCATTAATAAAAAAAGTAGTAATATTTGTTTCGCATAAATAGTTCTAGATAAACCTATAAGTTTTGATGTGCTCGTGATATACCCTTGAAGTCATCAGTAATTTTGATATATTTCAGAGCGAAATATTCCTGTAGTAACAACACGGCCATCTATCCACCAGAGGAGAATAAAATGTAAGTTTTTTTACATGTTCTCAACATGAACAGATTAATTTAATATTAGTACAAATTTCCTGATTATTTTTAGCACCCGAATGCGGAAATGTTTTGGTTGCAACCAACTACGTTAGACAAATGAAGTCTCCTCATTTTATGGCTGGACAATCGTATGATTGTGAGTGGAAAATAGTGGCGCCAGTCGGTCGTCGTCTCCAAGTTCAGTTAGAATATTGTAATGACGTCCAATGCTGTGATACAATGAAGGTAATGAGGCTCCAGTATATATATATATATATTGCAAAACCTATTACGAAATTAAAATTGACTGCGTCAGGTCAGACTATATTCGTCACAGTAAACTATGTTTTTCCTACTGTCTTGTGTAACTGCTATTTCGTTTCGTTGGCGAATTACTTCACTATTAAAGATATTTATATAGATAATATACGTTGAGTTTTCGGAATTCAATTTCTGACGACAACCGGGTCAAACTGGATCTACTCATAATCAACATGTGAAAATCAATAACGTATATTAAACAATGTGTGACAAATTGTGTATTCAGAAAAGGCCAAATACTATAGTCAAGTACGCAAGGCGTGAACTTCTGAACAACCTTCATCCTATGAACATAATCTGTGATATTGTATTTCCAGCCACAATTAGAAGGCGGCATAAATGTCGCAATGGAATAAATATGTATCATATTACGTACATTTTTCAACATACTTACCTGTATCAATTTTATGCAAATTGTCTCACATCACATCTAATACAGAATGATATTTTGAAACCATCAGCAAGATAAAAACCTTGATAAAACTGTTATTTGCGGGAACTAGTTTCTTTGTTATGCTGTGGTATGAACTGCGAACAAAAAATTTCAAATTCACATTATTTGCACATTTTCAAGTGTGTATTTATTCTACATGATACTAATACATCATTAGTATAACTCAATTTAACCTTTGTTAGCTTAGTTGACTTAACTAGCAATTGATATAGATCATCAACCTATTTTGAATTGGGCTATTGCAGATTTCGTCCAACTTCATGCCTTCAATCCACAATGTTTCACACAACACTTAGTGTTGGATATTTATATATATATATATGGATTGGATATTCATATATTCTTTAAATTCTATCTTACAATGAAGGTGAAAGAAGGAAATGTATTAATTGATGAAATAACGAAGGATACATTTTCGCACACAAAATACTTTACAAAATCAGATAGTTTGACTTTGCATTTTACAAGTGAAGGGGGTGATGGATTGAGACATTTCACAATATTTTACAAAGTTGAACCAGAAGGTTTGTGATTATGTTAGTTTATAGAATGGTAATATGTTTCATGTTATATCTTTTGTTAATTAAAAATCACTTAATTCAACCTAATGCCCCAGGTATTGTTTCATCAGTTAGTCGCCTGGATCGATTGATTCTAATCTTTATTAGATCTATAATAATAAGTTTGAGTCTAGAACTTTCATATTTTTTTCACAAAGCGATTATAGTTGCTTCCTATATCGATTTTACAGAAATGAAATTATCTTTTCCATCGAGGGAACATCAGATCAATCGAATTCAAAACCGTCGCCAACGTCGTCAACGACAACCTCATATCCATAGACATAATGGTTGGTGATAAGCAAACATGAGGAAAATTTTTGCAGGATTTTTTCCATGATGGTTATTTTTTTAAATTTTTAATAAACATTTGGGATTAGAAATTGATGTATTACTAATTCACTACGAACTACTATTTTTTATTATACCTCCGAATAACCTCGTTTCGTTTAAAATAGTTTACCAAATGGAAATAAAAATGCGTGGAATTTATAGTAAGCAATATATTTTGTGTACATTTATGGACTTGTGTGTAATAGACGTGTATGCAATCTGAAATACAATCATTCCAGGTTCTGTTTCAAATTTGAGGACGAGAAACAATGGGTTGAGGCAGCGCGCCGCGAGAATTAACAGCATTGTTAAACATAACTGAAATATGATTGAATATTTTTTGCCTTTTATTCCTTAGAAAATCACGATGCTCAATAAATGTTGTCTGGGCCAACGTTACATTATATATCAATAAAAAAATAATATTTTTCATCTGTCAAATAAAATAGCCAAAGGCATGTGTTTCTGCAATGTCGTGGGCCACGTCTATAGGAACACTCAGGAGCTCAAATGTAAGTTATCATCATATCGAATTTCGTGAAGTATTTTGTCAAGTTTTGTATGTGAGATAAACAAAGAATAAACATTTTACAGCATATTTGAATTGAACCACAACCGATAATATTTATGATTTTTCCAATCAAACAAAATCATTTATATTGAACAATAAGCATGTGATTTATTTTGCGAATTGAATCCTTACTATTTATCAGTATTCATTTTTCAAAGCATGCGTTCAAAATTTCTTATAGTTGGATGTTGGTAATTTCCTAAGGCTTCAGACGGCGTATTTTTTGTCGGGTTGGTCACTTGTTAGTAATACAAAACAGTTAATTGACCTTTTCCGAACCTAAAATAAACTAGGCTATAAACATTCGCGTTCGCCCAATTAAAGAGTAATATAAACTCAAGACAGAAATTGGTCGAAAATAGAAGAACAAGCTTGTGAACTATTATCGACCCGAAATAACTTCCGAATACTTATAAAAGCATACGTCAGCTATTGGGGCGATTGATTTCGTAGTGAAATACTTTTTCTATGAAATCGTATTAATTTTTTACATAAAAATTTACGTTTGACATCATTTAATAAACCTTGCAAATTGGAACGCAATGTGACTGAACTCGATGTAGCCTGTCCCCAAATATAAGCTGGAAACTCCGCTAGGTCAAAGTGTATTCCTTAGTTCATGTAACTTTATCGGCAATTCTTATTTGCAACATACATGCAGCTTTTACTGTACGTATACTCTGAGGAAATGCGATCTGCTAATCTGTTAACATAAGCAGAAAAAAAAATAGCAAAATTAAATGTAATGTAAATGATCAACAAATACAGCCAATAATTGAAAACTCGTACTCGTTTGTTCACATACTCACATTGAATCAACCCACAACGTGGTATAATAAACAACAAGCATGATTGAAGGGCAATTTCAAATATTTAAAACGTGTTTTCACAGCTTTTGTGCAATTATTCAAGATATGAACTTTTGACTTTATCAAATAAAAGGGTGCTGGGCGTTACCGTTTCACTTATATTGCATTGTTTACGATACTGTATTCAAACAAATAGCATACACCTTGTTTAGTTTCCTTATGATTGATTATAATTAATAGTATTTGTGGACAGTTTAAATTACAGTAATGCAGCAAAATAGATGAAGAAATGATAAAGACAATTTGTCTACAAATTAAAAATGATGCATTTATCTTAATAAAGATCGGCTTTTTATATTTTTAATTACTGAACCAATTATAAACCTGTAATATTGTCAGCCACTCATTATAATCTATGGCTTTACAATGTTCCGTATGAGATTATTAAAATATATATTTGCAATCAAAGTAGTCCATTTTACTTGGTCATGTGAACTGTTGACGGAAGTCTGTGACCAATCGGGCACATTATTGGCGTGTTTTGAACAAACAACAATATATTATTAAGAATGGGGAATTTCATCGTGAAGATTAGCAAAATAAAAACGCCTATTTAAATATCTAATCAGATAAAAACTCCTTGTTCGGAGGTTACGAACCTTAATTTTCGCGAATTACGTGGGAGTATATTAAGTTGAACGTAGTGTGACAGATAAACTAAGTATTGCACGAATGAACGCAACCAAATTACGCAACCTTGCAGCAATTAAACACACTGAATACTGAGTTCATCATAAAATAAAACTGTCTGAAAGATTATTGTATATATTTTTTCGGCACGAGGATAAGAATGATGTACAATATCTCAATCTTCTTGTATATTTTGACGGAGAGATTGATTCGAAATTGCAACTAATTTTTACTAAATTTTGTAATTTTGAACATTTTTTTAAAGTAAAGTGTTCTGACGTGATAAAATCAAATATTTCCGTCCACGCTTTTTTTCTGCAAAATTGAAAAATGGGAAATGCCTGTTTCTTTGTGTTATTCGATACAATCGACAAATGAATTGGGTGTTTTTCCAAAATATTTTCGTGGGCTACATGTTTACCGTTTACCTATGTGTTCATAATCTAAAAATCTAATTTTGCAGATGAAAACGATTTGATTACACTAAGGTAGGAACAATAAAACAAAAATGCATGAGCCAAAAATTGACCCTAAATTTATTATTGCCTCCACGCCGATTTATGTGGTAACAAGTGCTGCTGTATGGCGATTGTTTTGTAATAAGTAGCGTCAGTTCTATGTTTTTTACTTGATGAATGTCCCATCGTTGGTTGTAATTTAAAGTTACCGTAAGTTAATTTTGATTTTTAGAATTTAAAAATGTCTGGGAAACGGATGGAAGATTGCGACGAAGGTCGATGATTCCAAAGTGCTTGGAGAAAAAAAAAATTCTTTCCTGTGCATTCCAAAACCAGTTATTTGATATGCCAAGTCAGCATCGCAACTATTAAGGGATTTAATGACGTCATTACGGAACGTGTCATTGCAAATACGAAATTCGACCCGGTGCTGCGCATATTACAAAAAGGTCACATACACGTCTCATTGTGGCAGGCTTTTAACACAGCAATAGGAGGTGCAAGTGGGCGATAATTTGAATTTGAAGTTTATTGTGGCGATTGTTCGTAGGCGAAAATAATGCGACGCACATGCTACCGGAAATGTGTATATTCGACCCGCAAATACATAAAGTTTGCTGACCCATGCACTAAGGTTCAAAGTTTGATGAATTTCGTAGCCTGAGAACTTATGACATGTAACTAAATTGACTGGTGACTGGTGATTTTCAAGTGAGTGGAGTATCCCATGATCAACGCCGGGTTGTTTTGCTGTAGAATATATTTGAAATACATTTCACTCGAAGTGTTAACTACAACGAACATTGTCCCTGAGATATTGAAACCATTACTTGGTCAGGTAAAATCTTTGACTGCAATGGTTGTTATCTTCATAGTTCGGCATATCCCACATGTTTTAACAAGTTTTACATGAGGTCAGGAGCCCATAAATACGATCCGTACTTTTAGCCAACAATGTAATACTGAAATCAACGATAAATATGTTTTAAATTCGAAGTTGCGACATAGTATTCAATGCAAACTATACACCAAAGAGATAAAAACAAAACGAGCCCCAGGACATTTATGGTCGTACTTGCGGCATTCGCAACAAGGCGCGAATTTCAACATGATGTCAAAATGGCATCATAGGAGAGAAAATATGGTCTCGTTTCGTGACGGCTATAAAACAGGCGAGCATCGCAAAAGCGAAACATTGCAGTCGGAATCCATACTTCAACAGTCGTGTGGAAGGAAGCAGTAAATGACGATGATAAAATTGATACTTTTCGTATTTGTCTTGATTTTTTGTCAAGATACAGAATGCTCATGTAAGTACAAAGTTTTCTCAGGTATGCACGTAGAACATAGAACAGGACTTGATAATCGCATGAAGAAAAAGCTAGTATTTTTCAGCCTTTGTTGCAGCAAGAAAGTTTTTGGTGTATTAAATCCATCATTGCGCAATTACTTTAGATTATACGCACCTTTTATGTGAAATATCAACCAGTTTATCGGTTTCATCTGTATTTTATTTCGTTCTCTATTCCCCAAACAGCTCAATGTGGGAAGCAGTCGTTGAGGACTAACTACGGGCTTGAAAGAACCTTCAACTCACTGAAGCTTGATACTCCATCGTCTTGCAAATACCGCATCAAAGTTCCGAAAGGATTACATGTTAAACTCACATTCAGCGAATACGATTCAGACCCTTGCTGTTCAGATTTCAAGGTAAGTTTAGATGAGCGTAGGAACCCAATAACATTTCTTTATTTAATCGCACCAGCGGTTCTCACACATAAAGTATAATTTATACACTTATACCTAACGCTTAGTAAAATTCAAGCACAACTAGCCATTTCCCTGGACGTGTTGACTCGAGTTATTAGAAGGTTTTGTGTGAGGAAATGGGCCGTGGATGTTTGAGAAAAATTGCTGCTCTGTAACCAACTCAGTCAAACCAACCCAGATTTATTTAGCGAATAATGAAAACAAAACGGTTACTGATTATTCAATATAAAAAATCATTAACTAGTTCAATATTTGAATTTATCATATTATAAAAATATGATATTTATTTCAGATTTATGATGCCACACTGAGGCCATTCAGATGGAAACCATCACAGGTTCTAGCGTTACCAATTACTAACTCTCGCTCAATGGAGTCGCCTGTTGAAGTCGTGTACAAAACTGATGTGTTGGGAATAAAGCACGACATCACAGTTCCTGGGGACACAGAGATTACATTCGCCTACGAAGCAGTTGTACCAAGTGGTGAGTTTCGTTTCTCACATTGCCAAAGACTCGAGTTGATTTGCAAATAAGAACTGATTACAAATTACAAAAATCAAAAAGTAATCAGTAGCGAAAAAGTAGTCTTAATTGAGAATAAAGATGTTGAAAACAAAAAATGTCCTTTTGAAAATTGTGCTAATAGCGATTGCTGCTGCCTGTATTTTTATATTTTAAATTTCAGTATACAATATAAAACAAAACAATATCTAAAATATCCTTACTACAATAGAATTTTTTGCATACGTTGGATGAAAAATATTTCAATTAATTGATAGGCGTATCCTTGTTACAGAAATCACAAAGTGATCTGGCACGGAATTACCAGTTTATAACTAGTATCAAAACCTTATATGAAATATTTTATTGTATATTGATTGTATTGGTATCAGATGGAGACTGTGGATTCACAACAAACGCTGATGTTAAATCAAAAGTCATTCGGTCACCAGGATTTCCTAGACGTGTTTCAATGAGTGGATTGGATTGCAATTGGAAAATTAAGTCAAAGCCTGGCAGAGCTATAGTTCTAACATTTACTGGATTTAGAATACAAAGAGTTCTCGACTACGTAGAGGTATAAAAATTCAAAATTATTTTTTATTTGTACGTTCATTTTAGTCTATAAAAGTTCAACCAAAACCAGTTTAAAGTTAGTGAAAACCTGAAGCAATTGATAATGCCAATTCGCAAAATGGATTTTTGAGTTTTTTGAACAGTTTTAACATCGGTTAAGCATTAAAAATATCATATTAGTTGAGAGTCATACCTATCATTATTATACTTGTTATAGTTTTTGATCAAAAAATACTTCGTTTAGTTGGTAAATCGTGACAAAGAAAAATAGATCGTGAACTAGCATCAAACGATAGAGAGCCCTATTTAATCCTTCAAGGTTTCTTATAAACCACAGAATAATAAATATTCTACATTTTGTAATTTCCCATATTTCAGATTAGGGACGGTGATGAAATGCTAGGAAAGCATGATGGTCGGCTGGATAAGTCGAACCCGATTGAATATACAGCATATAGCGGACAAATGAATATTCGCTTCTTCACGTCAACATCGTATTCTAATGGGTTCAAGGCGGCATATAAAGAGATTCAGGGTACAAATGATTTATGGAACCAACTTGAACTTTTCAAATAAAAGCATAAAACAAAAGTTATAAAACAGAAAGTTATGTATGGATTCGCTACAGTGTAAGCGAAAAGCTAGTAATTTTATAATGTGATTGAGATTGTATTTGAGATTTATTGCTGAAAATTGTAGAATAAATATTTGTTATTAAAGTATTATAAAATATTAATTTACTTTTGGATGTTATTTCTATATTTTGATACTATTCGTACTTTTTAGTTATATTTAATATTTTTAGTTAAACGGATATATATATTTATACAATTCCATTTATATTTATGTCACATTACTCCAATTTTTCATTAAAATTACTTGATTATTTTCGTGACTTTGTTTTACATAAATATATATGTTTGTTTTATTACAGTAAACGAGACACTCGTGGACGACAGTTCGTCAACTTCTCCAGTAGGGGAAGGTAGGAAGGATTGTTTTATAAATAAAATATTAATTAATTAAAACCGACTAACCACTCACCAAACATATACTAAATACAGATGGGGTGAAGGATGAAAACAATCATGACAATTATCTCATTAGATAGATACTTATTCTGCGCTCATTTTACACGATCCTATCAGCTCAACAACAACTCCGAAAGTCTTGAATTATAAGAAAAAATCCAAAGGGTGAAATAAAATCAATTAATTGAATATCGTCAACAACAGGCGTGTTTTAGAAATAAGTTTGCTCAGATGAATAGAAAACGGGTGAAATATTTATCACGTACGATTTTACGGTATGTTGAGTTGAGTATGGGCTTTTCTGTCAAAAACGGCGCCACCCCATTTTGAATGGCCTCTGTATCGTATTGCAGCTTTTGGCAACTATACTGATACATTGTTAAGACAGTCCTTCTCAATCTTTTTTTATATCACGGTCCACTTTCACGGCGAATTTTACGTCGCGGCCCACATTTATTACCGTTCTTTTTTTCAGAGTCTGAAATAAGTTGAGGCAGGGTTGTCCAAATATATTCGAATATTGAAGTAAGTTCGTATTCAAATATGTTTTCGGATAATAGCCACTATTCGTCGTCAGTTAGGTGTTTGCTTTTCGAGAGAAATTTTGAAACGGTTTTCTGCGCTTTTTCACGTATTGTAATGACGATGAAATTGAATCGGCACTATGATTGTTTGTTATCTTCTGTACGAGCGTGCGCCGCATATGACTGCGACAATTTTGCACGGTTGCGGGATGGGAATTGCCGCTATTCCCTTGCAAGGTTTCCCATTTACGCAATCATATCTCATATCCATTACGTCGAAAAAAGAAAATTATGTAAAGCCGTTATTGTTACGGTACCCAAAAATAATTTATACTTTTTTCTGTTGCGTAAAATATTCAAATTCATGACCGATACCAGCATTTAAAATGTCTTACTTTATATTAATTTAATTTTGTTCAACGTAACTCATGGTTGCGCCAACTTACGAAACAATAAAAGCATTATCACTCCAAAATATCATGGCAATTTGCGAACATAAAATGTGTAGTAAGCTGTCCGATTATAGGTAATTTTAGATTTGTATTTTCGTACTTACGAGAAAATAAAAGCATTACTATTCTGAAATACAGCTGTGATCTGCGGACATAAAATGTGTGGTAAACTGCCCAATTTCAATTAATTTTTGATTTGTATTTTCGTACTTTTACGGAAAAGTATCATTACTCTGAAATACCACCATCGTATAAATGACATGGATGACTGCACACGAGAGCAGACGCATCCCGTAACCACGCTCGTGCGCCTAAATTAATGGAATCAAAGGGATCCTCATTAGGAACGCATTGGTATCCTATTAAAATTTCGGGATAATTCCAATTTCAACACAAACTATAGAACAATACAAATAATTTAGCAGCGAGTTCGCGGCCCACCATGAGATGCTTGGCGGTCGACTAGTGGGCCGCGGAACACCGGTTGAGAAGCATAGCATAGGACATAAGAATACAATTGATCTATCCATTTTTCGCAACATCTTTCTTTAAGGGGTGTTTGGTTTGAAGCAAAGGCGACGCAAAATGTTTGACGGAGAAAACGACGAAAACTACCGTTTGGAAAACAACATTTTGTAGACTTCGATTAACCACCCAGAAATCTGAAATAAAATTGTAGCCGGATGGCAGTGACTTCAATGCGATTGAAAGCCGATCGGAAAGTACAATTCTCTCAGATTGGACAAACAAATTTGTCGCATCACTTTAAACGCTTTTCGATAATTCATATACATGCGAGAGAATTTTCGCGCGTGAATTTCATAAAACCGATCACCAGAAATCGCTTCAGTCCTGATAGAAGTGCTGCATGTATAAAGCTCAAAACTACACAATACCAACCAATAATTATATAGGACTTGAAGAAAAGATGCAGCAGCAAATTTCTCATTGATGCAGACATTGATCAAAAATATTTGACCCCCAGTCTTCTTTTCTGCAATAAAATGGAAATTTTTGTCCCATTCATTGAATAAGCTTCGCTATCCACTTTTATATCGACTGGCCACTATGAATCTCCGGTGTCCTATGTTGACCACAATTATCTATGTATTGAATGAAGTGAAAATAGTTAAAACAATTACTGATTACCGCGAACTGAGCACTGTGTGAATATGTGATTAGTGAACAGTTTGAAAAAATTCGATTTTGCCCGTCTTTATTTTTGAGGGAAACGTTCACATCCTAACTATTTCGAAATAAAAATGTTACATTTCTTCAATATATTGTATCACCGTAAATATCTATAATTTCATGAAGAGAGCCCTTTTGGAAAAACGAATTCTAAATCATAAAATGTATGAGCAATTGTTTTATATAACTCTGTTTTCGCACAGTTTTTTAAGCTAGTTCTGATCTGATAGAACCAGTGGATATCTTCGTGCTGCATATGTAATAAGACAAATATGAATATTTTTGAATATAATCAATATATTTCGAACATGTTGATGCCATGGTTTGTTTGAAGTAAATAAGTTCAGTGGATTATTTTGTTGATTACTTGCATCTCAACAGACATGAGACATTTAAAATAAAAATTACAAGGCTATATTATATGTGCACGACATTTTATATTAGAGATAAACACTTGAATACATATTGTCAAACAGGGGATCTGAAATGTCACCGAAGAGAGCGAATGAAGAATATGGGAAGAGCCATGACAGACCGTCACACCTCCAGTACATGTTCTGTTGGACAAGTCTGTGGACGAATGGAAATGGAAGGCGAAACCTATGGAATGAAAAGTATGAATCTATTTCATAAAAGTGTTTTTTAAATTTTCCTCGCACTAGTGTCAAAATCAATAATTCAGATATCGATCATCAATACTCCGGCCAAAATTTCCAATCAGAGCTGTGAAGTCGGGAAAAATCATAATCCCCCAATCTGGGATTGAAAAATTTTGACTGTGACTCCAGATTGTAAAATATTTCGACTCTGTCTTCAGTTGCGAACTGAGAAAAACTTTTGCCCCTTTTACTGGATGAAGAACGCTCAGTAACTTAATGCTTCTGAATATGTTTACTAAATTTCGACTTCGGTTATCATCATTGATATTTTGACTACCGACTTGGTCGAAAATTTCGATTGGGGTTACGACTCCAGCGATAGCATGTCAAACTCCGACTCCTAAACCGAAAACACAGTTCAGTTTTCGAATTCTTTTCACAAAGTAACAATGAGTTCTGACTCTAGTTTGTGATTTTCAGTTTGGAATGAAAACGCAAATTGTATTCCTGCCAACTTGTGCAGTGACAGTAATTGCAGTTTACAACCAACACCACCAGAAGTAACTGTGACATCATGTAAACTGTCTTGTTGTTCTACTAACATGTGCAACGTGTCTCCGGATGGACCAGCCGTTCCCCCAGGAGAAGGTACAGTTCATACCCTGCTTATATTTTTACCCACTCGTGTTTTTTCAAGTTGACATCCAAATTTTCAACAAAAATCATGACATTTTTGAGATTCGAATTGAAAAACAACATATTTGCAAAAAGCGTTGCAATATTTGACTTCATTAAAAGAAACAGTTTAGACTGAAAAGCGGAAAATGGAACGTTTTAGCAGTCATATAACGAAAGGAAACTGATAAAGTTCGAAGCTTCATATCGTACAATAATCAGATTTAGCAATAATTGAAGGATAAATACACATATGTACGTAAAAAGATCATTGCAATGTCCACGCACATCGCACCCAAGCAATATTCGAACTTAGTAATATCAGAACTTAGATTCCGTTCTTGAAGTGCCAAAACACTCAGTCCAGCAAATACGCATTTATCATGCATAATTTGTACATAAGTCGACCAACAAAGCAAGCAATTGAATAAATTTGAGCAAATTATAAAATAAATTATCGTTAAAATAGTGTAAATGTAAGATTGTTTTCTTTTTCAGGTGTTTCTCCAGTATCACCCATCGATACATCCGACTGTGAATATACCTATATATTTTTTTTATCTAAATATTTTTGGCTAGACCTTATTTGTTTCTATTGGTTTGGATTCTATTTGCGCTGCAATCACTAAGTTTCATATTAACCGAAAAACTTCCCTATTCGTTTAAAATAGTTCAAACAAAACGATGCAATATTCATCAATATATAGTCTTTACTGTGATAGCCCGGTTGAATTTGATGCAAAACAAATACGTTATTTCTTCGAACCAAATTAATTGAAAAACTACTCGACTTGATAACATTTTATATTAGTCATCAAATGCGACGTGACATCAGAAATGACGTATGAAGATGGATCAAAAGGAGCGTCTTCGTCGGATAAGCCTTGTACTGCCGACTCTATATGTGCTCTGTATAAATTCGAAGGAAGTCACAAAGACGGACCTTCCAAGGGAAAACCAGGTACTTGCAATTTCTATCTCATTCACATAACAATATAAAAACCATCTTTATGTTTTAATGCTTACCGAAACACTTGAGACTAAATTTATTCAGAATACAATACTTTTAGAACGTACAGCAGTACGAAGCGATTTATACGAAATACACGATGTTCCATTTTCTAGAGAAAAAAATAATCATCTTATATATTTTCGACAGTGACCGGCTATGCAGCAACTTGCGCTCTTCGCTCAGAATGCAACCGTGAGGCATGTAATCATATTCAAGAAGCAGGCTTTATCGATATAACATCATGCGCAGTTTCATGCTGTGATACCGATTATTGCAACAGTGGAAGTTCACCGGGTATGTTTTTCTGTACCTAAGAAGCGTTTTACCTGACTTTTGTCAGAATACAGACTGAATTTGTACTATAACTATAGCTTTGTTTAGACATTAGTTCTTGTCTCATCCAGAATCAAATTGTGAAATCAAGACAGCAAGAAATAAATGTCTGTTTCACTGCTTCTGATAGTACTCTCAGTATATATTTGTTGGGATAAAACTCCGGACTCGAGAATTGGCTCAAACCACCGAGCATGGAAATGTCTATTTTTTTTACACCACCGCTTGCGTGGATACGTTGAACCTCCATAACTGTTCAGGAATTGGTACGCAAACTATCCTTTTCAAGACTTTTGGGAAAGCTATAAAATAATACCAGCTATATGTAAAAAATGCACGGCTAGCCCTGTTTTTACAATAGGTATTATCATTGCTTTGTTAGGAGAATAAACCAATATTCGTCTCTAACCGAAAATACCTAAACTATGCTCTCATTTTAGTTATATTTAATGAATTCGTTATTATATTGCAGTACCGCCCCTGCATCCAGACGGAAGACCCAGTCCTATACCCGCAGGTAAGTATTTATTGTGACAAAGAGAGATATATACAAACAGTTGAAATTCCATGTTCTTTTTTACGTTGCGTATTTTGAAACACATATATGTATATATTTAAAATTTTGTGCCAGTAATAAATACAATTTCATATTCGGGCGGTCGATGCAGGACGTGTGTAGAATAAATTTAAATTTTCTTTACAGAGATCTGATCTAATAAAATCTTTACAAAGAGTGGAACTTGAATATTGAAGTGAACATATTCTACATCAATTATATTCAAATATCATTTACTCACTGGCCTCATATTATATATTAATGTTATGTCCTTGAACGTTAATCTATAGATTATTTCACATTTTGAATACTGCTAAGATACTGCTAAACGTCCTGTATAAAGCACGAAATGAAGCCTATTCTTAAAATACTTATTTCATATCAGTATACTGAAATTACCTTTTTTTAAATTGTTCACAGGTCTGCAATGTGAACAGAGTTCTGATGTATATGCGGGAGATAGGAGCGTGTCGGGAAGATCGGGTGGTTACTCATGTCCTGCTAATACTGTCTGTGCCCTTTATATATTCTCGGGAACAGCAACTCAGTTGGATGGGTCTATAATTCCGGGTAAGATTTTATTTTATGGAAAAGACTGATATCAGCAATCTTTCGATCGAATTAATGATTAAGATACTCTCAAATTAGGCCGGTATATTAGAATAGTTTCAACTTTCGAACTTACTATTCATGACATAGCCAGGTGGCTGAGTGAGTAAAATTTTGCTCTAGTATAGTATTTCAATGTGGGTATATATCTAGCAAAACATTCGCAATTTTGTTTTGCCATGAGTATTTCATTAATTTCTACAGCAAGCGGATATTCTGCGAAGTGCGCTCCCAAATCTGCATGTCATCGTGAATCATGCGACCAATTATATGAAGCTACGCAGATGACATTTACTTCATGTGATGTTTCGTGTTGTGAAACTGACCGATGCAACAAACCTCCTTCTCCACCACTGACTCCTCCCATCATACCACCGTCTAGTGGTAGTATCGGTAATGTTCTCCTATTTCCATTTTTATCTTTGGATTGAAATCCCATGTTTTTTTGTTTACTTTACGTTATATTTTTTTAATGTGCTGTTTTTACGTTGTATTAAGATGGTGTCACGGAATGCTATGAAATTCTATCTTCGAAAGCTGGTAGCATACAAGTTCTCAACAACAAAAAAGCCTCTAAATGTGCTGTTCCTAATTCCAGTTGTCTTCGTATAGAAGCTGTTACAGCGAGTCCCGGAGGAATGAAAGGTATGTATATTTCAAGCGCTGGTTGTTGATTATTAGAATGATGCAGTTTAACCTTCAACCTGGACAAGGTGACCCGTTCCCGTATTTATCCGTTCCCCCAGTCTTGTCTCTGCTGAAATATATTTCTCAAAATCATTTTCAATTTTTGTCTAGCCGATGTGGTCTACGGGACATGTGTACCAACAATTGCATGTGAATCTATGGACTGCTCTGCTTTGGGTAGTGCGATGGCGGGTATGACATTGGAATCTTGCAAAACTTCGTGTTGTGGCTCAAATCTTTGCAACGGAGAATCGGAATCACCAGGCAAGTCTCTATACTATATAAGTGTCAATAGAAATTAAGGTGCGAATTATCAAAACATTTGAATAATAAAATGAAAGTTTTCAATTGATATCCATTAAAAATCTAAAACCCAAATGCCTCGATTGTTACACAGGTCGAGGTTCGTTACAACCTAGTTTAATTCACTAATTTATAATGAATGTCAAATATATATGTATGATATTGTGAATGGTAAATTCGAGTAGATTCAGTAGTGATTCGCAGATTCAGTGATTCGAAACTTTCTTTGTAATTCTTGGTCTCGTTTTAGATTCCGAAACAACTCTCAATGCTGGAGGCGATAATGACGAAACCGAAACAGGTTTGTAAACTTCTATTACATCGTATTTTTTATTTTTGCATTCAGTACGTTTACCTCAAGAACTTATTCTCTATACAGGAACAAAATGTTTCGACCTTCTCCAGGTGGAGGCACCAGGCATTGAACTTCCAGGAGGAAAGAAAACAAAAACTACTTGTGATTCTGGTTCGCAATGTTTAAAAATTGTCGCAGTTGCTACTCACGATCTTGTGCCATCTATGCAAGGTAACTAAATTCGATTAAATAGAAAATTAGATCTAATTATAAAAATTGACGTTTTGGAAAGTATCTACAGAAGTATTGAATATCAGATAGCCCTCGATACATTTATTAGCAATATTTATTCAAAATGAACAGTTTTTGCGATTGGAAAGATGAGACGAGTTTTGGATATAAGTCGGTCAAATATTCTGAAAAAAAAAGCTAGTAGTAAAAGTTTTCTTTCCAGTTGCCTACTCTCCCTTTCTAGCAGCTATCGCAAAGTTTCCATATGTTCAGTTTTATGCAAATACTAGGGTGGGTAGATAATTTCAGTGAGCATTGCATTATTTTAAAACCTCAAAAGTAGATTAATCTGTCCGGTCTCCTAAAAATGTATATATGATAAAATATAATAGGTCTGATATATCATCTTCTATATTATTATAATGTCCATCCTCAAATTAAATTAACTACTTGGTTGACATCAGTTATATGGTTTTAGTAACAACTACCTACGGATCCTGCATTCCAAGTATCGCATGTGACTACATGAACTGTGATTCTCTCCCATCATCAATGCCTAACGTTACTATTACTTCATGTGATGTCTCATGCTGCTCCGACGACTTCTGCAACAGTTAAGATTGGATACAATTGTTCGGAACATAAAAAGAGATTCAGCTGGATGGATATAATTTTCCCTGTCGTATGACAAAATTCAAGTTTCAAAAATAGTCGTAATCTATGTAATATTCTATAATCTCATATGTTGTCGAGAATACATGCATTTTGAACCATTGCATTGATTGAACCAATAAAATAAATAAAAAGCATGCCCTCTAATATCAACCATGCGTTGTACTATTGGGGATATAATTTTACATGGACGCGGTGATATCAATTCAAAATGAGGGCCTTTAGGTCCTAAACTCTTGATTCAGATGAAAACTAAGCATCAACACGCCACGTTAGTTTGAAGACCGCAGATTGGCGCCCAAATAGTCATCGTCCCATGCGCTGTTTGACCTTGTACAATGAGTTCTGCAAAATCGTTAGATACGCGAGAACATAATCTTTCTGCCTAGTTCCATTATCTTTGTATCCACGTACATTTGAGCCCAGGACATTTGGACCTACATACTCAATTTGGTTTTACATCCGCCAATTCAGATCAATAAAACTTGCGAAGCAGGTGAAAATAACTCGCAGCTGTAGACAACATGATGACGTGCCAATTTCAAGTAGGGCAGGCGTTGTAAACTTACTCGACATTTGATAGCAACAACAACTCGATATAAAACCTATATTCGCCAATTTGAGCAAAGCTCAAGCAGCTTTATCTAAAATGCATGACACCAGGAAAACATTTCGTACTCACTTGTCAGATCATCATTTGGACGACGGACCACGAGGCAATGAATTTTCCATTTGATTTTAACGCTCTGGGCATGACACAGAAACAAACATCATCCTTCACATTGACAGATAAGTAAATAAAAAAGGGAATTATTCGATGATATATTAAAAAAAGCCAATACACGTCTCATTGTGTCAAGCTTTCAACACAGCAATCGAAAGAGCAAGAGAGTCATAATATGAAGTTTAATGTAGCAATTATTCATAGGCGGAAATAACGCGGCCCGCACGCTACCGGAAATGCGTATATTTGATCCGCAAGTACATAAAGTTCGCTGACCACTGCTATAGCCGAACAGATTGCGACTACAAAATGATTTTGCATTTGACCCGATCTTGCATACCCGCTTCCTCTGGACCCCCACCTAAAGTACTAAAACACTCATATTTGATCATATCACACCGTCTACACCTTGGCCACCAAGTCAACTCCACCTTACCCAAACACAAAATGAATGCTTACATAAAGGATAGAAAGCCACATCAAACTGAAATAACCAACAGCAAATTAAATTTGAAGGGAAGAATCCGATATAGCTCGCCTATAGTTGCAATAATTAGTGATCTTGCAGGAACTCAATATATTATATTATTTATAACCCCCATCCGGAAATACCACTACTCAAACATAAAACAAAAGTCAAGATTGTGGTCCCACGTTAGTAGGCTCACCATACGTCCCGTTTTACGCGGGACAGTCCCGCTTTTCAACGTCCTGTCCCGGCGTCCCGACCGGTCAGTCAAAAGTCTCGCTTTGGCGTTTAGCCAGCCAGCATAATACACAAACATTACCAATTAACATGTTCTCGATACTGTTGCAGTGTAGCGTATAACCGCTAGATTACTTACTGAAATAGTGGACTCGTGGTTTTGTTTGTTTCTTTGTTTTCGCTAACATGCTTAACGTAAACTCCTTTCTATTTTTCGTACTGAAACCGATATTTAGACAGACAGCGCATGAATTCTCGGTGAAAATATGGTCAATGAAGACAGCCGGGATGGTTTTAAATGAAAGCTCCTAATGTAAAATCGGTAAATTTAGAGTTGAAAAAAATTACAGCTATGGTCGTCGGATGCGTCCCGCTTTGAGGTCACAAAAATATGGTAACCCTACACATTAGTAAAAAGTGAAAAGCATGCACAAGCAATTGTCAGAATGTGAAAGGCTATTTAAAGAAAATATCATCCGAGTATGTCAGCCATCATGTGATAAAACATATATCCATATCCAAATACAAATGTTTTGTACCACACTAGAATTAAAACAAAACTAATTAACAGCACGTCTAACCACAGAAATCAGAAGCTGCAGGAACAATAACAGTATTGTTATAGCTGTTCAATATTCCCGTGAAAATGACAAGTGTGCAAGTGAGTGCCCCAACTTTTTGTCATGAATCATAAAGAAATTCATTTGTCTTTGAGTTTTGATATTATTTTGGGCCTCAGCGTCTTCAAATTCATGGAAAGAGAATTCCAAAATTTGGGTCCAGTTAAATACATGAAATGGTGGCTCACAGATTTTTTCCTCATAAAGGGTTGGAACAAATCGGAATTAGTTTTTCGGTTGCAGGTATTTTTGACACGTGTGTTGTCAAAGCAGTTTGGTATAGCGCATTATTATAAAAGTCACCTAATGATAATGCTTCAAATTTTATCATATCTTCAATCTCAAATATATTTAGCGATTTGAAGTATTGGTATACTCTACACTTTCACATCTTCGTTTCTCGAAAACAATACGGTACTCCTGGAGTATGCGCACCAAGATGTTGCACAACCTGAACCCTAACCTGGTACATAACCTGAGTTCAGGTTGTGCGCCATCTTGGTGCGGATACTTCTGTAGGTCCAACAATACTTTAAAAATTATTACATTATTCTGTTCCCATGGAGCCAGATTGAGCAACAGTATCGATGTAGTTGAATAATAATGATTGAGACATTTCTAGCCGATTGATTGACACACTAAGAAACCTTGGTAGCAGCTGCCAAGCTTATTTTTGCTTCACCAATAGCATGTCGTCACGCTAGTAACCGAATTGCGTAAGTCATTTTTAGCAGTTTTGAGAAAAACGTAAAAAATTTCCTAATGATATTACTATGCCATTGAGAGTCAATAATTTGCCATAGTTCAATTTTTTGATCGTAGCCGGATTTAAGTTAATTTGTATGATGCAGTCATGTGACGTCATAATGGCGCACTGTGACTTAGGCAGAAATGTTTCTATGACTAGGGGACATACGCAATTTTGCAACTTGACTATATGTACCAGTCCTGAAAACTAAACAATCCAAAAACGAATGTAATTCTCAGTATATACGATGTCTAATCCCCAAAATAGCTAATCTGTTTCAATTACATTATTTTTTATGTTTAAAAATATATATTTCATCAAAATAACATGCTCTGCACATCCACCGAAATAAGACTAAAGTTAAATATAAAGAATAAAACAGCAATGTACCCTTATACAAAAGCCAACCAATGAGAATTGGATTCAGACAGTGAATATCACAAGTGCTCGCCTTCCTATACTGTAGTTTAAATTGAAATTTATAAGCGCTGAGCTAGAATCTGAGATGCAAAAACTTGAAAATCCTTCGCCGAGGTCATTTTGCTTTTGTGACGTCACAATAGTCCTGCGTTAACAATGATAATTCATTATGACGAAACAAGTGAACAACTTGCATATCATACAAAATCTCTATTTTTATGGGTTTCGGAATTCTCAAAATAAAATCTGAGTTAACAGACACGTGCGCAGCATTATATAAATACCTATTTCATGAAAAACTCAAAACCGCCTAAAATGACTTACGCAATTCGGTTATTAGCGTGACGATGTGTAATTTGTGGTTTCCAAGATAGATTTTCATCATGAAGGATAACTCCAAAGAATTTTATTTCACTCACCTTTTCAATTTATTTGCCATTGATCAGGGACGGTTTTGAGCAACAAGTTCTTTGTTCCAACTTTTATCGTTTATGTGGGCTAGAAAGAATAATGGGCCAAATATAAATTGTTGAGGAACTCCGTGCTTTGTAATACAAATTTCAGTAGAGAATGAACTGCCATACTGCACAAATTGTCCAATTGCATGTTATCGTTGTTGTTCTTAACGACTTCGCCTGATCCCCGGATCGTAGCGAACACGGATGTCATTAATGTGCCCGCGGAAATTTTCGAAATAAATAAATTAATTGCCTTTTAGCGACAAATACAATCCGATCAATATGTTCATTTCGTGTCCAACAAGACTGTGAACTATTATTGACCCAAAATAACTTCCGAATGGCGATAAAAGATCACGTCATTGTGGCTATTGAAACGATTGATTTCGTAAGAAAATAATTTTACGTAAAATTCAGTTGATTTCTAATATTAAAACGATATACTCATATTGTATATATCCATTGTTTCAACCTTGCAGAAGGGAACGCGATTTGGGAAAACTAGAACTAGCTTATTGTCAATCAAAAACTGTAAGGTCCGCTTAGTAAAACTGTATTTTTTAATTTATGAAACATTATCGGTAATGGCCTTATGCACATATGAAATTTTCTTACCGTTCTCGCTACAGCATCAGGTATTTCAATTTGTCATCTTAATGAATTACCAAGTTGTTGTAACGTTGCCAGTTTCGTTATGATCGATTATAAATAGTAATTGTGAACAAACTAAAGTACTAAACCATAGTAATGCGACAAAATAGAATAGCCACCACTTACCAAATAATGAGGACAATTCTTCCACAAATTAAAATAGATGTATCCACGGTTTTTGAATCGAGTGGGCATAAATTTTGCCAACCTTACTGGCGGGCCATTTAAGCGTGAGGTTAAAAGTTTATAAACCGAATTTTATTGAAAGTGTTATGAAAGCAAAAGTGGTAAACAATGAGCCTCGTGTCAAAACCAAATTTAACCGCAATCTTCACGAATTCATTGAGCATTTTTTTATTAGCTAAAACAAAAAAATTGGTTTTGGTTTGGCTGCATTAGCCGGGTCGGATTGAATTACCCGGTTTGGCCCGCGGGCCATAGTTTACCCATATCAGTTAATAAATATATGTTGACATTGTGTGAAAATTTAATTGCTGAACGAATTACCTTACTTGCAATATTGTCAGCTACATATAATAGCCGACGACTCTCTGAATGGCTCACATAGGAATATTAAACTAGAACATAATTTGTAATCGAATTGTTTCATTATGCTTGTGATAAATCGGTCGCAATATTAGAAAAATATATTACTATGAATGACGAAGTTTTTACCGCAAAGCTGAGCAAAATAAAACGCCTACTCAAATATCTAATCAGATAAAAACAACTTGATCAGAGGTTACGAACTTTAATTCGCACTCAAGTACGTGGGAATATAAATAAATTGATGAATATGGTACAAAAAAACAAGTATTACGCCTACTAAATGCAACCGAGTTACGCAATATTGCAGCAATAAAATAAAGTGGAAAACAGAGAATCAAATTCTCTGTGTAATCATGCTTATGTCTCGAAATTGCGAATTGCACAAGGAGAAGATTGGCGTAAACTACCTAAATTTTCTTTTGTATTTCGACGATAAGATTGATTCGAAATTACTACTAATTTTTACTATAGTTTGCCATATTTGAACAATTATAAACATTTATCGTTCTGATGCGATAAAATCAATTCTTTCCGCCCACAGTTTTTTTTCTTGTACAATTTGAAAACTCGGTAAATTCTTGTTCGTTTGTATTATACGATACAGTCGACAAATAGGTTGGGTATTTTCCCAAAATATTTTTGTATATGTTTACCGTCATGTGTTCAAGACTAAAAATTTAATTTTTCTGAAGAAAACTATTTGATGAATTTTGTAACTTGTGAAATGTATCCAAATTGGAATATGGCTGGTGATTAAATTTGGATTATCCCACAAGCAAAAATGAAGAACTAGACATGAATTTTGCTCTAATCAAAGCCGGGCCTATATATTAAATATTTTGTAATAGATACCACTCAAAGGGGAAACTACAACAAACAATTTTTATTATATATATATATATATATATATAGTCAAACCATTTCCTGGTCAGGTAAAATTTTTGACTGTGATGATCGTTGTTTTTATTGAGTCCATAAATACGATCCCTCATTTTAGCCAATAATAAAAAATGTACCAGTGAAATAAGCGATAAATATTCTTTCATTCGGAGTTGCAACAGAATAATGAGTCTTAAATGAATATTATATACTAAGCTCAAAATAAGCTGAGCCCTAGGTGATTTATGGTTGCACCTGCGGCATTTACAACAACGTTCGAATTTCAACATTATATCAAAATGTCAAAATATGAGAAAATATATAATCTCGTTACGCCTTTACGTTTTGACGGCTATAAAACAGGGGAGCCTAAAAAAAGCAAAATATTTCAGTCAGAATCACAACTAACAGTCGTGTCCTGGCAGGCAGCAGTGAATGATGATGAGGAAATTTGTAGTTTTCGTATTTGTCTTGATTTTTTGCCAAGATACAGAATGCTCATGTAAGTACAAAGTTTTCTCAGGATGCCAAGTAATTCATTGTTTTTTTGAAATAACGTACGCATTCACCGCTATACTGACTCTACGACATAATTAAAAATTATTTGGATTTTTTGTACAAAGCCCCTGCTACCAGTGCAAAAATGTGAGATTTGAGAAAACACCCCTTCCAATAACAAATTAGTATATTCAATTAGGGTTAGAAATGATTTGAAAATTTGAATTTTCAGCGCAATCTGCGGGCTTTTCCATGTGGAATGGGATTAATTAATTATTCAATTAAATTAACAATTTGTACTGAATTTTATTCCAATTGGAATCCCATGGGATGGGGCAGGCATAATTGCTATGGGATGGGAATGGGGCAGAAAAACATGTCCCATGGACAAGCCTGGCAATCTGCATTACCAACCATCACCATAACTGATATATTACTAATTTTTATTTTATTTTGAGCGGTGGTGCGGATCTTTTTTTTTGGCGGCGGCTTTGTACAAAAAATCCAGAATTTTTTGCACGCTGATCAATTAATGGTCGTGAGAACAGGATTTTCAACCTGCGACGAGCCAACGCGCGAAGTATACTCTATCTCGTTATATTGCATCAATTGCAGTTATCAATATCCAAATACTTCAATAAAAGTAACCTATACAAATTTATTGCTATTACATATTTTAAAATCGCCGACATCTCACCACAGAAAGCACGCCCCCATGCAGCAATATGAATGTATCTTTTTTGAAGCAGTATTCACATAACTGCGCCACTACTTTAGAATCATAAACAACTTTCTTTGTGAAATGTCAATCAATGAATTAGATTCGATTGTATCTTATCCCGTTCTCTATTTTCTATACAGCCAAGTGCGGGAAGCAGTCGTTGTGGATTAACTACAGGCAGAAAAAGACCTTCAACTCACTCAAGCTTGATACTCCAACTTCATGCAAATACCGCATCAAAGCGCCAAGAGGATTCCATATAAAACTCACATTCAGCGAATACTATTCAGACCCCTGCTGCTCAGATTTCAAAGTAAGTTCAAGGGAGCGAAATAACCCAACAACACTCATTTGTTAAATTTCTCTAGTTCTCATTCATAGACTAGCAGGATATTTTGTAAGAAGCCGCCCTTTTGTGATGCAAAAATTTGATATTTTGTGAAAACACCATCCGCCACGTTTTACGTATTGCAGATTGCGCTCGCCACGTTGGCGGTGGAGGGGTTGGTATTATTTTGGCTGGGGTGTTTTCCAAAAGATCCAATAAGCCTTTTTTCGATGCCGTTTTTACTCAATTTGCGAAGCATAATGAAGGTAAAACTGTTACTGAATATACAAGCGAAATAAGTAATACAATAATATAATTTATCATACTTAACAAAATATGATGTATATTTCAGCTTTATGATGCTAGCCTCAAGCCCTTCAGATGGACCCCTTCACAGATTCTAACGATTCCGATTATTAACACTCGCTCAATAGAATCGCCTGTTGAACTTGTGTATAAAACTGATACGTTGGGAATAAAGCACGACATCAAAGTTCCTGGGGACACATCGATAACATTCGCCTACGAAGCAATTATACCGAGTGGTGAGTATTGTCGTATAAATTAAAAGTATATATAAATTGACATAATGTAGATAAGACCTGATCACGAATTATTTAATACAAAAAGTAATCAATGGAAAAAAAATAGTGTGACTGAGGATATTGCAAAACCAAAACTGTCATTTTTTTAAATATTGTTAATAGGATGTATTTTTATACTTCAATATAACCATATTAATTGAATGAACTCCGAATAAAAAAAATGTTTGAATATATATTTACTACAGTTGTTTTTTTGGAAACGTTGAATGAAAAAATACTAATACTTAATATTTTCATTTTGTTAAGCGTAACTTTGTTATAAAAGTCGCATGTAACTCTGGCTCGGGGTGAACAGTTTATAACTCAAAACCTCATATGAAATAGGTTAATGTATATTGATTGTATTGTTATTATATGGAGACTGTGGATTCACAACAAACGCTGGTGTTAAATCAAAAGTCATTCGGTCACCTGGATATTCTAGAGGTTATTCAATGAGTGGATTGTATTGCAATTGGAAAATTAAATCAAAACCTGGTAGAGCTATAGTTCTAAAATTTACTGGACTTAATATTCAAAGAGGTCGAGATTATGTTGAGGTAATATTCCTGAATTGTTTTCTTTTTTTCTGCGTTCAATTTGAGCAGTAGAGTAATCTATAGAAGTATTCATACCAACTCACCCCGGTCTAAGTTAGTGAAAACATGTAGATAGTGAACTCGGTCTTGTGTAAACTATTTTCTGAATTTTTTAACAATTTTAACATCAGTTACTGATGATTTCAGAATCGAATCTCGAATACCTGGAGGAGATTTAAAGTAATACTATCTTATGTTTACAGCTCAATTTGTTTTGTGCGATTCTCGTTTTCGTACAAAGGTTGACTCGATGATTCGCCAAATCGTGGTAAAAAAAAAGTGAACTTGAAAAGTAGCTAGGTTATATTTAGTCTTATTTTTTTCGTTCCCGTCCGTAATAACCCACAGCATAATTATTCCATATTTTGTAATTTCCTATATTTCAGATTAGGGACGGTGATGAAATGCTAGGAAAGCATGATGGTCGGCTGAACAAGTCGATTCCGATTGAATATACAGCATATAGCGGACAAATGAATATTCGCTTCTCCACGTCAACATCGGAATCTAAGGGGTTCGAGGCGACATATAAAGAGATTCAGGGTACACATGATTTATGGAACTAATTTTGATTTTTCACATAAACGAATATATTAGAAAGTTATACATGTTTCATGTATGGATTCGCGACATTGTAGAAAAAATTGTTATAAACGTGTCTTAAATTATTAATTCAGTTTTCGCAAATTTTGTATAACACTTTGGATATTTTTTCCTGATACTGTTTACTTTATACCGTTTAGTTCTATTTAATATTTTTAGTTAAGCGAATATATATTTATGCAATTTCATTTATATTCAATTAATAATACCCAATTTTTTTTTTAAAATTACTTTTTTTTTTGTGACTTCATTTTTTATTTAATTCCGCATAAATATATATGTTTGTTTTATTACAGTAAACGAGACACTCGTGGTCGACAGTTCGTCAACTTCCTCAGTAGGAGAAGGTAGGAAGGACTATTTTATAAATAATTTATCAATCAGTTAACACCGAATAACCATTCCACTAAACTTATACCAAAGATAGATGAAGTGGAGGATAAAAATGATCATGACATCTCCTTAGATAATAATATTTCTTCGCGCGTTTCACAAGCCCATAATCAGCTTATTAGCCATCAACAACGCCGAAAGCCTTGAATCGTGAAGAAAAAAACTAAAGTAAAGCAAATTAATTTGATATCGTTAAAAACTGGCGTGTTTTAAGAATATATTTGCTCGCCTGACTAGAAAGCTGGTGATACCGAACTATTTTGACTAACCACAATCGCGCCGTGCCAGCTTTGTCATGCAGTATGGGCTTTCCTGTCAAAAACGGCGCCACCACCAGCTATAGGGTCTCCAGCGTTCTCGACAACTTTTTTCGTACGAATCACACATCCTTGCGATTGTTACGTTTTTCCTATGTGATGTCAGTTTGCTTCTTTTTTCATCGCACATTTACAGTTCGTTCTGTCAAGTGCGTTTGCATGTGTACTGCTGCGTCTGAATAAATTTATTTCTACCATTTTACCATCAGTCAGTAATAATTTGGGTATTTATTTGTCATACTGATAATACACATTGCAAACAAAAAAACAAAGTAGAAAAATTGTATGTCCTGGGTGGGCTTGATGGCCTATTATATGGTAACGTTGGTCCTAGACTCTAGCTAGGACCTAGACTAACTATCTTGGAATAAAACGTCAAAAATGTCGTGTTCATAAGCCATGCTTATCACTCCGTCTAGGTTGTAGTTTGATTGCAAGGCGATTTCGAAACAGATAAAATCTTCATAAAATATATGAAAGAATTGTTTTATATAACCCTGTTTTGGTATTTTATATTGGAGCTAAACACTTGAACACATATTGTCAAATAGGAGATCTAAAATGCCACCAAAGAATGCGAATGAAAAACATGGGAAGAGTCATGACAGACACTCACACCTCCATTACATGTCTTGTTGGACAACTCTGTGGACGAATGGAAATGGAAGGCGAAACTAATGGAATGAAAAGTATGAATCTAACTCATGGTTTGGAAACAGAACTTTTCAAATTTCCTGTCAATCTCAATAATTCAGATATCGATAATCAATAATTTGACCAAAATTCTCAATCAGAGCTATGGAGTTGGGAACAATTCATAATCTACTCCAATTCCCGACCTAGAGATTGAGCAAATTTTGACTCCGACTTCAGCTCCGAAAAAATCAATTTGATAGCAAAACTGTTGGCCTCTTTTCAATGGACTGCTGTTATGAACGCTTAGTGAACTTAATGCTTTTGAATTTTTTTACAAAGTTTTTAACTCCAATTATCATCACTGAAATATTGAATACTGACTCCGATGAGAATTTCGATTTCGACTCCAGTGAAAGCATGTCAAACTCTGACCCCCAAACCGACAACACAGTCCATTTTTTCGAATTCTATTTTTACAAAGTAACAAATGGTTCTGAATCTAATCTATAATTTTTAGTTTGGAACGAAAACGCAAACTGTATTCCTGCCAACTTGTGTAGTGACACTACTTGTAGTTCAGCACCAACTCCACCAGAAATAACTGTGACGTCATGTAAACTTTCTTGTTGTTCTACGAACATGTGCAACGAGTCTCCGGATGGACCAGCCGTTCCCCCAAGAGGAGGTACAGTTCATACCATGCGCGTAACTCAATGTATCAGTTTCATACGATACGTAGGCTAAATATTTATTTATTTTACCACAAACAGTAGCCAAATCCTATTAGTTTTCTAATTGGACACCGAGATTACTAGGGTCAGTGTTCGATCAATCTGGATCAATTTACGCATTTGGAACCCAAACGTCTACTTTTTAATATATACATATATATGTGGGTGTGATATTTCTCATTTTTGATCAGAAATTATGTGCACTATTTATATTGCTCAGAGACTATTGTTTTAAACCAGGGTCGTCCTCGGCCGTGAAGCATTTAGAGTGGCCCGCGCTTTATTTTTCAGAACGGAATAAAATAATTTGAGTAAAGATGTGACACAAACGATTTGTTTATTTTCTTAAAATGCGCTCTGTCAGCCCTTTCAAACGAGCCATGAATGTCATTTTGAATAGAAACCAACTGGGAGGAGATATCGATACATAAAAGTGCCATAGTCGCTTCCACTCTTGGCCTTTTACTACTCTATATGATTTTATCGAAGGAATGTATATTATGTATTGTTCGGGTTGCCAATGTTTTACGTCCGGAAATAAAAGAGGTTTTTGCAAAAATAGCTTGTCAAAACAGACTATAACTCGTCGTGTTGAAGAGTCTGGGAAATCTATAGCGGAAACTTTAATTGCAAAAGCGGGTAAAACTTCATCGTATTCCTTGGCGCAAGCACTGAGTTTACTGCTCAGTTGGGAACTTGGCGATCTTCTTGCGGGAAGTTAATGATGATTCGAAATTACCAAAGAGCTCGCCCCATCAATGGTTGGGAAACAACAGTTTCATTATTCTAATAATTGTGAAATTTTGATGTGGGGGTATTGTTTGTTTATTCATTAACCTGTAGAGTAGTCAGTGTAGCAAAACTAGAACCTAACGACCATGTTAAGGGGCCCGTGCAATTAGTGAACTACGTGTGGCCCTTCGACCAAAAAGGTTGGCCGACCCTGTTTCGAACCGTCTGCCTTGCACAATTGAGGTAATAATTATATAGTATCGGAATATCGGCAATATCGGTCGTTTTTCGAATATCGGCGTAATGGTATTGGCCTTTTTTGCTGGTATCGGTATCGGTACATCTCTAGTATATTTGATGGGATTAAAACCCCGAACAAGAGTTGACTCAAACGACCGAGCGTAAAAATAAATGTTGTACCAACACCACCGCTTGTTATCATGCGGATACGTCGAAACTACATAACTCTTCAGGAATTTGTACGCAAGCTATAGTATAAAGTATAACTGTAAAAGAATACCATGAAATATTTTCAAGTATTCTATTCAAGTCTGTTTTTACCTGTCCCAATGTTTAGATACTGCCCTCACTTATCGTATAAAATGTATTTTATTTTCAGGAATCACTCCGGAACCTCCGATTACACCAAAAAGTAAGTATTCATTTCTATGAGATTAACATTTTTTTAGAGGTAAATATATGAAGTGTTTATTTATAACAAAAAATTAGGTTGATGGAAATTTTGAATATTTATTTCTACAAATTTTATTGCAGTTATAAAATGCGACCACACTTCTAAAATCACATCCGCTGATGGACAAACAAAGGCGTCTTCGGCAGGTGATCCTTGTACACCTGACACTGTGTGCGCCCTTTACCGCTACGAAGGAATAGAAAAGGGCGAATATAACACGGGAGAACCGGGTAATATATTTAAAAATATTTGACCATGTCCGTATTAATCTCAGTTGAATTAAAAGATCTCGGTAAATATGCATGAACAATAAGACTGTGTAAGTAGTGCCGGATTCGCCATAAAGCAAAGCATGCTTTATTCGAAACATTCGTATTCACAAAAACAAAATATACCAATTTAATTTTATTGTACAGTTTTATCGTGATAATGCCTTTATTTTTTGAAAAGGATATTTCGGATCTTCTTTATCGTAGATCCGTTTAGTTTTAAAAAATGGCCATTTCATTTACCAGTAATGTTTTAGTTATCAGTGATTGGGTTGGGTTTCCGGGTGCCATGGTGTTTCATTATAGCTATAAGGTGCCATTACTTTTGAACCCGTAATTTGAACCCACGACAATTGCACCTGCATACTATTGCACGTATGAAATACTAACCCCAACCCATGGATTTTAGCAATCTCATATAGATTGAACCCGCGGATATACGGGTGCAAATCTAGGGGTTCAAATGTACGATCACCTAGCCATAAGTTTCTTAAAGGGTTCTTGACTTCAACTTACCCATAAAACAATATGGTAAGACACAATATTGACGTTATTTTTAAAAAGGGCTTCACAAAATGCATTGTCCAGGTTTGTTCATAGTCTAAATCCGTCCTCGGGTGTGAGTAATGTTACTGCGAACAGTAAACTATTTTTAGGTTACGTAAAATTAGAATGTAATATTATGAGAAGAATAAATGATTTCACGTCATCCAAATAATTGTAACCATCATTATACAGCGATGAGGTCTATCCTTTTTTTTATAACTTCTATAATTTTACAGTCACCGGAACCTCAGCCAAATGTGCTCCAAGATCGTCATGTAACCGCGAAGCGTGTAACCATATTCAAGAATCCAAATTTATCAAGATAACAGACTGTGTAGTTTCATGCTGCAAAACTGACTATTGTAATAAAGATGACGGCCTTTCTCCAGGTATCTATTTAATTATAAACACATGTTTTGAAAATTTTCATAGCTACAGTCAAACGTTTTCATTTATGACCGGGGTGAGCGACACAAAAGGTCATCTTAAACTTTTCACAAGTAAATGATACAGTATTTGGTGCTCCACCACGTTTGCTAATTTCAGTCATAACAAATGTTAATGGAGTTTGTAAGAAAATGCACGGTCCTAGCCCTGTTTTTAAAATAGTCATTATTATTGCTTTAGGAGAATAAACCAATATTCGTCTCCAACTGGAGATACCTTAACTGTGTCCTCATTTTAGTTATATATATATTTAATTAATTCGTTATTATATTGCGCAGTACCGCCCC